TCTCCTGCTTTCCGTTGATCTTAGGGATCCGTTGATAAAAAATGATACGAATATTCGAATGTTTCGATAATTTTTACTCGCATCAAATGCTTTCGCTCTTATACGAAGCCTTTAATGTCATATTCATTTTTAAACAAAGCCACCATTAATCACATTTGTTTGAAAGTTTCTTTCTTGTAACCGCAATTCTATTCTTATCTCTGTTAATGCAATTCACAACTACAAATACATACATATATATACATTACAAATAGGCGCAAATATTCAAAAATTACTTTCACTTCTCAATAAATAATTTTTCTGCGCAGAATTTATAAATTTTGTATTACATTTTAATAATTTCGAAAAGTCTCAGTACATTACGGGATTAAATCGCACGAAATATTTATGATTATTTCAATACCATATCATTTTGAAGTACCCCGAACCGCATCGTTTAAACAATAATTTTGTACTGGCGTGAACATTTACCATTGCAACGTGTTCACAAATAATTCCTTATACTCTCTGCACAGCTTTCACAACAAGCTTTTATAATATTGTGCAGACTGCATACATGTACAAAAATTTTCATGTAATAGATATATATTAAGTGCAGGACACTTATCTTTTCCGCCTCTGCCACTTGACGAACACTATCATCATGCAATAACGCCAATATTGAAGTTACGTTGTGTGTGAAAAGAGGATTTCTTTGACCCACAACTACACCATCAAACGATAATTTATAGTCCGCAGGGATTGAATGTATCCACACTCGGCTTGATAGGTTGAGTCTATTAAGTAGCGACATGCGAGACCAATAAGGAGAGCAAAGTCCATAGAAAATTCAATGCTTAAGTAGTGGAAATTTCATATCGAATCGTTCAACAGCTCAAAAGTAATTCTGTAGACATAGTTGCGGACATTTGAAACAATTCATTTCGGGCTTCAATTTTCATTGCATTGTCTTACTATTTAAAAAAAAAAAAAAACGTTCAAAATAAGATTTCTTAATGACCGGCAATGACACTCTTCGAAAGCAACACAATTAAACACCTTGTAGTGGGCCAAGGCCGAGGGAAATGGTCCAATCCGAACCATTTTCAACGGTATCCTTCCACACAACACAAATAAACACATACAGATAAGTTGCCATCGGCGCATACCGTGATTCTGTAATAAAAGTGTGGTCTATCTTCAATTACTGTGGGTGTTGCTTACATATGCTCAAACTTAATGTACTTTTGCACTAAATACAAATTTCTTAGTTTTAAATCAATATACCAAAAAAATTCTGCATCTCTTGCTAGATTTCGAGTCATATTTTCAAAAGTGCTTGATTTGATAATGTAAATGCAAAATTTGTGGCCTATACTGTGTAGTACAGGTGGTTCAGCAAAGACCAAATAAAGAAAAATTGATTCTTTGTAAAAGCCGTCGGTAGCTGATTGTACTTTTAACATTCTTTATGAGTTACACCGTCGTGATCCGCCTGACTGACGAAATAAGCAAAGGATCTCGAAAAACAACTCATTGATCGTGGGTTCAAACCTCAAGGACGGTACAGTTTTCGGGCAATGAAGCCGATAGCCTTCGATGATGCTGGTACTTAGAAGCCTTTATTAATAAGTTAAGAATTTATATCTTTGGCTAAACTTCGAACTAGACTTCTATATACCCTGCATAACTTTGCTTAACGTTCACTTTCATGATAACATATTAAAAATTATACATTATTTTTATGTGAAGCCATAATTTTCGCGGAAGCCCCCATATTGGAGGATGCACTTTGCTTGTCATCGATTTTAGTAATTTTCACTTTCTTCCATTATAAAAAAACTACAAGGTGGACTTCGTCGCCATACTTGCGTGTGCTTTTTATGATAGGCCCTTTAAGTTGTTAGGTCTAACTAAAGAATTTATTGGGTCCAAATTCTATATCAAATTACTTTTACCAACCAATTTTCATCATAAAATATTAAAAATTGCCCATTTCTGCCATTTAAGGGCTTATTATGAATTAATTTTCATCTAGAGATATTGAAAATTATGCCTTTTCACCATACAAAAATTCATTTTCCGTAGGGACGATTGTATAATCAAGAAGACAAGAAGTTCGAAAAATTACCCCATCCGATCCAAAGTTTTTACACCAATTCAAAATGCCGAAATACTATAACTAAGGGATTTTTGTCGAGAAATTCTAAAAATTGCAGTATTTTTTATTATAACAACTTATTAAAATGAAGTCTTATATACGGTGTGCAATAGAAAGATCTGAACCATTTTCAATACCGCTCGTCATTCGGCCAAATACGTAAATGTATTAGATTTCATCAAAATATTTTGAAAATTGCCGCTTTTAGGTTGGACAAAAAATACATGGACAGAGAGAGACTGACAGATAAGCACGATTCAGAATCACTTTCTGAATTGATCAGTATAATAAAAGATGGATCTATCTTACGTCCTTCTGGGTGTCGCACAAGTGGCATAGGATGTGATAATACAACTTCACGTGTATAAAATGAAAAAATGTTTCCATTGAGTTAAATGAAAATCTGGAAATTTTTTTTGGATTATGAACTGTACAATCAAAAGGTTAAGGCGGCATTGAAAATTATACGAAGTCCTAACGTTTTTACTACTAGTCTAAATTTGGTAAAGCTTTAGAAATTATATTTCATCAGATCGCTTAAGAAAAGGAGAATTTCCCTGAGGATTGTTGTGAAGCCGCCTTTATTGTAAAGATTCTCTTTTCCAAACACAAATTTTTGTGTCTAGATAGGATCACAGCGAGCGTCTGCGCTATATCGAAAGTGATTAATTTTTGTCATATTATGTAGAAGACATTTATACACAATTTTAAAGTTGAGTTTCGATTATTCGTCTCAAGGCTGTTAACGGCTTTCTTCCTTTTTCATAAATCCTTCAGTACTGAATAGAATACGAAAACCTAGAAAAAATTTTCATTACAAATGTATTATCTTTTTGTAAAAATGTGAACCTGCGGTTGCAACTCATAAGACTGCTAACTGCGCAAAAAGTGAAGACTGGTTTCGGCAGGATATTGCTACATATAAATTACAAACCACTCTTTGCATAATCAAAATCAAATCAAATAATTTCTTGTCCCAGCATATAACTACTTAACTTCTATATAAAAGTTGTAAACAAGAAATTTAAAATGTTTAAAAAACTCGGTCAAATGTATATAAATTTTCCTAATATTTGCTGACAGATCAAAGATAAAGTAGACAGAATTCGCTTCACAAAGCCTAAAAGAAAAATATTTAAAAATTGTATAATTAATCTCAAGACATCAGTTCTATTAAACATTTATGCCAAATTAAAAATTGATTTAATCCTCACACTTTTTTCTCATTTCCCAAGGAAATGCTGTTCACCAGAATTCTTTTTCAAACGACCTTTTTTTACCCGATTATGATATAACACGATTCGCCAGTAAGAACAAATACACTTTTTTATATAAATTCTTTGCTCTGGCACGAACACCATTTCCATTCTAATTTTGTCAATATCTTATGGCAACGAAATACAAGTGAAGGAATGCAGTGATCAAAAATTGATAGGTTTATGCCCACGCATGGTTAACGACTTCTGGGAAACATCTCGCGTTTTATCATATCATCACTTTTTCCTTTAACTCGTTGTCCATGGCATCCCGTTACTCAGTATTTATTTTGTGTGGTAGGGTGTTCGGTTCGTAGGATATAATATATAACTTCTATAAATTCTTCTAGCGAATATAAGGGGATTTTTAAGGACCCCATTTTTGGTAATACACGCCACGCCGTCTTAATTAAGGTGTTGTGTTAAAAACAATTATGAAAAAAAAAAAAAAACGATAATGGTGGTCTTAACCATGCAAGTAATGGCAATTCCGAAACAAATAATCTTAAATCATCTCTTCGACCCAGTTATGTTACGATAGGTCGAATACTTCGCATAACCTCTGAAAACTTTGACTGGCTTTAATACGCATAAGCGAAGCGAACAGCCGGATCTAAGAGCGGTTGCTTTTCATTAAACCCCGACCAAAATTCCTTTTCAATAATATGCTTGCTTGGTTTGTCGGTACTTTGCTTTCGGTTCTCATTGCTGCTGCACATAATTATTCACTTCCGTTATTGCTTCTAGCTATAAGTCATCAGAATATTTAGCAGAAAAATAGCTATGGAAAAACACCTAAATTTGGGATCCTACCGCGACTCACTCATATATTAACCTACATGACGTGAATCCCCAAGTGTAACCTAATCCTAACTAACTAATTAACAGAGCTCTGTTATGCTATTTACTTAGAGGCTCTGTTAAGGGAGATGGTAGGTGTCTTTGCTCGTTACATTCATATTTATCTCTACACTCTTATAAAAGCATTTATTTATTTTTTTTATGCAAATAGAAGAACAGAAGAACTTTATGTTGCGATATCCAAAAATATCCGAAAACTTAACACGCGTCTTATTGAAGTAATTTGCCAAAGTGCAACGTTCAATATCGTTATTTGCGTTATCCTTTATTTGAGTAACAATCGCAATGATTCACTTTGCATACTTTCAACATTAGATAGTGGGAATAAAAATCAGCTGTTACGTATTACGGCTAACTTCTAGTTATATAACATTGAAATGTTTACAATTCGAAGATCAAACAAAATGTATGTAACATGGATTGGTGTGAAATTTGTCTTTAATCATATTTACATCCGTAGAGGTTGTTTAAGTAGTCAAACGTTATGCATTTCAAAAAAAATATATATAAAGAAATAACAAGCTTTGCCGGCTTAAATTTATTAAACTTTTGTATGCATAATAAAGAGATGGAAAGAGAGAAAGAGAAAAAGAAAATGTTAATTATTTTTATTGAAACATTATAGTTATTTCATAAATAACTATGTAGTAAAAGATATAACATAAACCTGCATTAATTAACTGTAAATCCTATTTTCATTTTAACTAAATGCGTAATCAATAGAGTAGAATCTCACAACTCACCAGATATTTAGAAATTGTTGTTCGCACCGATTTGCAAGGTTTTTCCACATTCAAGTGCATGCATTTAGTTATACACGATATTATTGGTAAAATTCTCAGAAAAGTAAAAAAAAAAAAAAAATAATAAAATAATAATAATAATACTTTTAGTTAAATCAATTCATATTTATGCATGTGTGAATATTTGTGCATGCATGTAACTGGTTGCTTGATTACAATTGTGGTAATAGAGTAAACGGACTTATCGGGACAGAGCCGCAAAGCGAGAGAGAGAGAGAGAGAGAGAGTGAAAATTTTAACGTATTTTCAATGAGAAAAGAGAATCAACAACAACAACAATAACAACAACAGCAACACACAATGTATACACTTGATTATCAATACACACATTATACGTATATTTTATAATAATCGATATTACTTGATGCAGACCGCAATAAAATTAAACACACTGACAGCTACTAAATTTAATTATTTATATATGAACCGGTTTAGCTGGCTAGTTCTTTCTTTTGCCGCGAATTTATTATTTTAGATTTTGCATTGACCAACATCAGTTATCTCTCTCTCTTTTCATACAAACAAAACAAATATGTACACAATGCTATTTTATTTATTTACAAACACAACTGACAGATCCGATAACAAAAAAAACAACAAAAAAAATATTACATGAATGACGTTTTCGGAAAATCCCGGGTTTTTATATATGCAACGTGAAAACTTTCGAAGCGATCGTCCATCATCAATATAATTAGCTCTTTAGGATTAAGACACAATAACTAAGGTTGTACGCAAACGTTATTAGAAAGACACATCAATTATTTCAATTATTATTTTTTTCATTATTATTATTTTTATATTTTCAATCTGGTTTTCGCATTTTATTTATTTATTTTTTTTTTTATAAAATTTCACATCACTTCAAACGCTATCAAACTAACGCTCTTTCTTACATGTAAGTATGTGGCTTATGTAGAATACCGTTACTATATGAATAATAGTTTCTCAAGATTTACAAAATAATTATTCTCACTCAAACAAACATGTATGCAAGAAAAGAAAAAAAAAACAAAACAAAACACTCGCTCCAACAATATCGCGCACGCAAACACATCTCTACGATCTCTACGATCTCTACGAAAGCTAAAATGCGAATAAAGATATTCATAAAAGAAACGAATTTAAAACTCATAGTAAAGAAACTTATTCACCACATTCGTGTCGTTATTTGAATGCTCTTCATTGATCAATCAATAAACGAAGTAAATTCCTGCTCTCTTCTGGTAAAGCATATTACGGAGCATAAGAAAGAAAGACTGCACAACTGGATAACAAGTAAACTGTGTATTAATGTACCTGCACGCGCATATGTATGTAAATGTGCTAATAAAAAAAAAAAAAAAAAAAAAACGTTAATTTGAGTGTATTTTGTTAAACTAAACCATTTTCCAGGAGATGTTAAAAGAGTCAAATAAATGTTGGCGATAATTTGATTTTGAGCAAATATTCGATACTCATGATACTCATACTTATAAACAACTGTGCAGAAGGTTCTGACGGATGTGAAATACATGTGATACTTTTTCTCTGTTATTCAGAAGTCATCTTCAATTTTATATTTCTCTCCTGCCTGCCTATGAGGAAAACCTTAGCGCATTTTTGATCTAATCAAGCACTTCCCTTACTTTTCATTTTTCATAGATTACAAGTCTCCTGGAGAAGCTGATTTAACCAACTTATGAACTCGGAGAGCACAGTCCGAAGATAGTGAAGATTACTACATTTTTTATGAATTGTTTTAACGCCCTTCTATTTGCGGCAGTAGGGGGTTTATGATACTTCTATTAAGGTATACGCTTTCCAGCTGTAAACGCGTCTAGTTTATATAGGAAATATTTAAGTACAGCGTGCTTGCTAGACGATTTTACAAGCCATGACTTTCTTTGTTTCTAGCATGAGAACTTTTCAATAATGTTACTGTGACATAAATTCCTTATTCTCTTCTAGGATAAGAAAAGAAGAATAGGAGTCAGCAGAGGCGTCAAAGGAAAAGATTGCACGTTTTCAAGACTTACCTGTGTTCTACTTATGACGGGCAGGGTAGCATTTTTATGTAAGAAAAAGGCGTAAACAATCCTTCATTCAAATTACTCTCCCTCGTTATATACTTTTCCCATACTGTTCGCAATCAAGAGATACCCTTCCCGGGGGATTCATTGGTCTTTTGAAGCAAAAGACTCAATCAATTTTTTATTTCGGTCTTCAAAAGGATATCTATGATGTGTGTATAAACAATCGGAAGTCTGATGCAATCAAGCCTCAGGAGTTCGGAAACGAAGGAAGCACATCCCATACAAGTGCTAATCAATTTTGCTGCATTCGTTGATAGATTGCTGTGAAGCGAGATTACCTTATCCTTAAAGTCTATGGTAAAAGTAAACGAAATATGTGGAAATCACTTTTTGTTTATTACTTTTCAGTATCCGATGAACACTTTTATTGAAATTTTTTTTGTTCGAAATGAGTTTTCTACAAATTTTTTCTTCCTTTTTATTTTTGTATTGTAAAATCTGGCAGAAATTTAATGACAATTTTGGAAAGTGGTCTGCTAACATGACGACCGTAGAAATTTCTGAAGTTAGACTTATGTTCTTGCTTTAACAATGATTGGGTTTTTCTTTTATTCGCCTTATGGTATTAAGATTGGTTTTTACAATATTTAAAGGCCTTCGCCAGCTCGAGAACTAAATACATTTTTACAACATGGAATTTTTCATAAAAACACATTTAGATGTTCGTACATTGGGTATCAAATGCATATTTAGATGTATGTTATAAAAATTAGTAGAAAATTTTTGAAAAATTTCTACAATTTGGAAATGAAAACCCATAGCGCGTTACTAATGAGTACGCGTGTGTGTAGGAAATATCGAGAATCTAACAGAAGAAGACGATACAGGCGTTAAGGCTTTTATCGAGGCAAAAAGGTTTTTCCTTTTAAACTAAGTTAAATACCTCTCTCTCTCTCTCTCTCTCTCTCTCTCTCTTCAGGTAGAAAGGATTCGTTTCAATTAACGTTGGAAAGAGAGAAAAGAGTGAGAAAAGGTAAAGGCATGTTTTCAAATATCCTTACATATGCGTTGGCAATGAATCATGATTTTAAAAAAGTTATGAATGATTCTCAGTCTGTACGTTACGTTAGTAAAGCTTTTGGATATGTGCAGACGAAAGAACTTTTATGAATGAATGGATTGTTGCTTTTATAAATCTGCACAGGAGTCAACTTGTCTTGGAGTACTATTTAGCACGTGTCAATGGTGCTTTTTTTTTTGTTGCTTCCATACGTATGCTCGTATTCATGATTCACTGCAAATTTCTTAGAAAAGGTGATCGAATTATATCTTAACCTTATTATTGAACTATGGCCGTGACTCATATTGCGAAGGAGTGAAGTGCCATTCTAGAAGGAAAATGAAAGTAATTTTATTTGCAGAAAACACCATTCTTTGCACTACATCAGACATCTACACACATAAATACATGGAGAGACAATATGAGCGCGAGCAGAAAGTTTAGTAAATTAATAATAATTTAGAAGTAACCTTGTGTTTATTCATTACGCCTGCTTTTATATCATGTAGTGGTATAGTGGTCTTATGAAAATGTCTGCTTCATTTAAAACTACAATATGCATAGTATACATAGTATACATACATGGTATATATCCTCATTAGTGCAATATTTTGAACTGATTAATTTTTTCTTGGCAATTGGGATAGGCACGGGGAGACTCACAAATGAAATTTGACAATAAGTGTTATCTGTTGTAAAAACGAAAAACTTAAGATTAGCCAATAAGATTATTCTCCGATTTTTTTTTTCCTACATCCAGAAGGAAGTTTCGGAGATGACCTAAAGTAAATATCATCATGATCAAATTCTCAAATTCTGAATAGATTTAATGTTGTTCGTCTGGATATTATGTCCGTATGGGCAATCGTAAAAGGAAAACAACCGGTCACGGCATTAAGCGTAGAAAGTTCACTTTTTATGGCCCTTTTTTTAATGGTAGCGGCTGCAAAATATTTAATAATAGATGAACGAAATTTTTTTTTTGCTTGCCTCTAGTGCTTTGCTTTTTTTGGCTTGAAGCACACTTCAAAATGTGTACAATTTCAAAAATTTGATTCTCCCTCATAGAGATATATTACAGTTGTTGTGATTTCATTCTATAACTTTGTAAATATGAACAGCAATTGGAAATGAATATTAAAAACAACCTCGTCATACCCAAAGGCTTGTTCAAATCCATTAAGGTAATGATGTGATGGGAGAGTCGCAGATTAGAAATGACAGACGTTGAGCTTTTTTTCAATAAACTGAAAACATCAGTTTTTTTTTTTTTTTTTTGCTTAAATCATTCTTTAAATATTCGGCATTGATACGGAAAGATGTTTGCGGCATGGCAAATTATCCAAAGATTTAGATTATCGAACGTAATTCTATAACAACATAGAAGTGCATGAACGATTAGGGGGTGACATTAGTGTAAATTTATCAAAAAAATCTTTTTTGATTGGCTTAATGAAACCCTAGTGAATCCTTTAGAATTCGTGAAAAGAAATTCGTTATCTGCAACAAATTTTTACCTTAAAATTCCATGAATTTTTTCAAGCTCTTTGGGAACATTCCGGAATTTCTGTTAGCAGCCCGTAGCTTAACGTTTCTTCACGAATGGTATCAATTATTAAATTGATTTAGGCATATGTATTCGCCTATATATGCGAATTTGTGGTGAAAACATTGTCATGGTTGCAAAAAGTAAGGTATCTGTGTTAAATTTCGCAAAAAGCTTGGCAATCACTACAACCCGGTTTGTTTTGAAAATGGGTGAACTTATTGAAGGGACGTATCAACCAAATAACATAAGCTAACAACACCCCTGTTTTCACAATGTCACGAGTAACTTAACAAGTAAGAATGGCGACTACCAAGTCAGTGTTCGCAGGTTCAAATCGCAGTAGCGGTACGGTTTATATTAGGCGTAGTTATAGGGAGTGCTTTGTTTCCTCAACAGGACATCGCCTTGAGTGACTTGTCATATTAAAAACAAAGAAGCATCACATACGAAGCTTTCCTCACTTCTTTCTGTCCCTCATTGTGTTACACGAATACGGAACTTCCCGTGATTGATTAGACTACACTAGAGAAACCGAAAAAAAGGATAATTTTTTTGCACTTTGCTTATTGGTAGTAGCAGTTATGTGATGGCAAGGAAAATTTTCAGGTATCTTCTCACTGTATGTGTACAAAAATGATAAAAATCAACCAAATTTGATAAGCGCAGATCACGTGAGTTGAAGTTTTGGGCAACCTCCAACAGAAATGCGTTTGCTTGAAAACAATATATTAATGTTTGGTGTATTATCAGAAGTGTGAGCTGTATTTGGCGAAGTGGCGAAGTGTACTTAATAGTTAACCTTACTTGTGTATAAAATTTCTTATTATTTAAAGTCATTTTTTCTAAAGAATTTTTTTATTAACGTATAACGTGAAGCGCTAGCTTTAAAACTTGAGAAAAATCCTTGCTAAGTTGAGTATACAAACCGGGGATCCTCCGATTCACTCGTTCAGTAGCTTTCAGCTTATTAGATTTGTATTGAGGGAGCGCATACTTTATTTGCGCCTTAAAGCGACTGTATAGTTCTTAGAGGAAGAACCTGGAACACTACGGCCGTAATCTATTCTGCTTTGTAGGTAGAATGAAAAAATTATTACTATTCTAAAATTCAATAATGGTCTCTTAACCTAAGAGCTAAAATTTGTGCTGGAGTTTTACCCGTGCTTAGAAACTTAACATAAATATACGAATTTTGCTTATACTTCGAACGTTTTATTTGCAATTAAAACGTAGCTTCAGCACACTCGAGATCATAAGATATCTCTACTTTGTTTAACTGATTGTTTTGAAAGAATCATGGAAGGTTGAGATAAGAAATTACCACTGTCAAGTGGACTGGTCCCGAGAAAGATCATGCACAGCATCGGCTTAGCTCCGCAATTGAAAAAGTGTTGTTCTTAGCAAGCGGCTAATTGTCAACAAAATCAACGATCCAGCTTAGACGAATAACCTCGTTGAATAGTTCCGAATGGTCGTACAATGGTCGCACATTGGTCCACCGGATTAGCAAAAATTAATTTATTGCGAACAATTTTTGCGTATTGTTTGGAAAACAGGACAAGTAATGAAATATTTAGATTGCATTGGTAACTCTGATCTGTTACGGGTAGAAACTAAACGCTAATGTGTCGATGTTTGTACTTCACAATACAAACAATAAATATATTGTGCTTCAGTTTTACTTAGTTTCCTTATCACACTTAATATTTCATATAATATATGTTTTGCATAGTAGCAGCTTTATAAAGTCATATGCATTCTGCAAATTGGCAATAATTTCACAACTAGTTCGTGGAACTCGTATGGAGAGAGGAAAAAAAAATTTTTTTATATACATGAATTTGTGTATGGAATTAAAGACATTTTTCTCTCCATTGACGGCAATGTCAAGGACATTTTTACACACCCCGCAATTAAACGCCTTTAGTAACAAAATGTGTAGTTTGTTTGCTTCAGTTGTCACAGTAACGCTGACAATATACGAATCGATATTAATAATATACGTACCTATGCATATGCTTGAAACAAGAAATCCTCATATTCGCTGGCCAAATTACTATTATAAAGGTGACCAACATTCGTAGAAATAAAATGCGGTTATGTTAAATCATGACTGCAACCTATTATGCATAATTATCCATGACTGTTCCCTAACCCCTAATGAGGGATGATACGTCTTAGGATAATGTCCAAAAATCGTCATTCAACTACATACACATTTACTGGTGTAGGCAAAAGCTCAACATATTTTAAAGCGCGTGAGAATAGTATTGAAATTATAATCTCCCCATAGTAGAAGAGATATAAAATTGACTTTTCAGTTCCTGAATTTCACTGCCAACATTTGCGGAAACTACATTGAAACGTTTTTAAAGCAATTGACGCCTCCCTAGTGATGTGAACAAAATACAGGTACTTCCCGCTACTTATCCCCTGACTTATAAGTAATGCGATGACAAAGTTCAACTTACAAAAGTCCATAAAAGAAGTCTTGCAAGCACTCAGCTGATTTAATTTTTGTATAAATAGGAAAAAAAGCTCTGACTAAGCTCTTCATATTTCTCGAAACGAATAGGGACTTTGCAAACACTATATAACTGGAAGCAGCTTTGACTAAATTCTTACACTTTCCTGACATGAACGAGGACTTTAAAAATATTTTATAACTGAGCGCTATTGAATAGTGGCTGAAATAGATTACCGCAATTACCATATCGAGCGCCTTAGATCAACATGAAAAGCTTGGTACGCATAAATCGAAACCTTTGCATGGATGGAACATTGACTTCGCTGAAAAAAGTATACCGCATCTATTTCTAGCGTGCCATTCTACTATGTAACCAGAAAAGCAGAAGGTACGAAGGCTTGCTCGTAATAAAAGCAAAAAACGTTACAACTATACTGTTATACATGCAACGTATACGTATATGGGGTCATTTCCTTCATGGTTGCGAAATAAAGTTTTGATCAATTTTTTTTTTTTAATATATTGTTTGACCCTTGCTATTATTTCTGGAATACAATGCATGCATAGTTGTACATCGTATAGAAATTGTTAAAACTTTTTAGGAAAACAATGAAACCACGTTAGTTATCCAGGATGCAGGATTCGCAGCATCTGGGTGCAGCGCAGTCAAAGGCAGCCCAAAAGCTATGTCCAGCGCAGTCGCTAGATGCAGGGGTGTATCTGGATGTAGCGCAGCATCTGGGTGCAGCGCAGTCGCTGAGGAGTTCGGGCCAAACTTAAGCGCTCTGTCTCTATACGGTAAAATTTGAACAATTTCTTCAAAACTTTTAATGAAATTAAGATAAAATAGTAAAATTTTTATTTAAAATCATTCTATTGAACCTTCGAAACGAATTAACATCCCTGATGCAATGATATGTGTAGTAGTAGCTAAGACTGTGTTACGAAAGTATTTATAGCTAATTTTGGATTAACTATGCAACAGTGACTTCTAATTGCCATTTAATTAATGAGCGACCGTACAGAGAGAGTGGAAGGGAATCAGGCGCCTTTCGATCCTTCTTCTTTTTGTTTGAAAGAGCTTTCACACAAATTAACATAAACACTTTCTAGGGACAGATTAGATGTATTAGACAAGTTAGAAATGAACAGATTAATCTAGACATGGGAAACCGCCGGCCCATTATGTCGTCGAATACGGCCTGCTATCTTCCAAAATTTCCAATAATTCAACTTGCTCGTACATAGCACATAATGGGTACATTAAAATTGCCCTCTTGATGAAAAATGTTATCCATCTCTGCCTGCCTGACATTGGGCTATATCATCTCAAACGGGATTTATTTCATGCAGATAGCATTTTTGAAGTACTTGAGGAAGAGCTAAAATGCTAAAGCATCCATTAAGCCAATAAAAAAATGGGTTTTTCTGAAAAATTTACGGCAGTTTTTCCTTCACGCGAGTAAATTCAATTTCTTAAAAACATGCATACACACAACAAACACAAATATTCCTACTACAACGGCTACGCACCATTACATACACTAGCACACATACATCATGCAAATGCGTGAGGTACGTACACGAGAATGTAAAGGAAAATATTATCCGCTCATGTCTCAATTTATTATCGCTCTCTTGCTTTCATAGCGCCCGCTTACATTCGACGTTTATATTTTTGCTTAAATAGCTTCGTAAAAAAGGATTATTGCCTCTTTGGCGTAAAGAAAACACACCTGATGTCCATAAACGACTTTTATAGTTTTGTGTGGACCGGGCAGGCCATTTTCGAATATGAAAATAGCATTACATGGCACATTACATTACGAACATTTAATTTAGCAGCATATCAGTTTTTTTCTTTTCCTCATACAATTAATTTGGGCGTTCTCGGGCTAAACCCTTCTTCTTTCACGTACCATGCGTCCTAAGTGCGTATTTTATAGTTTTTTAATATACTTCGGTAGCTCACGCTCACAGTTTAGTCTTCTGAGTACTTCAGCATAGAACCATGCGACCATTATATTTTTAGAATTTCGCGATAATACCGCATCTCAAAAGCTTCCAGTCTGTTCATTGTACTGATTTCTTATGTTCTTAACTCTAGACCACATAAGAGCATGGACCATACATATCCGCATATTCAACGCCTATTAACCTTAATAACTGCTTTGAAAAGCTTCTTGAACGACTACCTCAGAGTAGACGTTAAAAAGAAGAGACGACAGTATGCACCCTTGGGTATATAATTTCTTCTGACATCATTACCACGGACCTCTCCTGGTTATCTCCAATAAAAAATTTTTGATGTAGGATATATCTTTTCCGTCACTACTAAGACCTTTAAGGATGTCTACCAATTTTTCGTGCCATACTTTGTTAGACACTTTCCCATTATCTGTGAAACAAAGAAAAACGTCTTTATGCACGTCCCTACAATTGTGGACTGGAATCTGATTGCAAACTAAAGCTTCTCTGATGCCTATGCCTCTATATTATAAGCATATTTTTTTTATATTGGTTATCGAAAATATCTGTTCCTTTCAATTTAAAGGTATTGGGATTGGCAGGAATGTAATGCTGATAACGTATGATGACAAAGCAGCTAAAAACAGTGCATTTTATGAAAAAAGACTTAAGTTTTGATAAGCTTTAATTATGTAATTAAACGGATACTACGGGTAGCATCGCCCATTAAATATAGGTTCAAATTTTTAATGATTTATCTGTTGTACTATGCGAGATAAGGATCATTACTTTTGAAAAACAAAGTTGTTTTCAGTTTACGCGATACTGTAGGCATGTCCTTCGATCAGTTTGACCCGATTTCAACAGCAACCTACGTGCAAGAACTTCCAATGTTTTTGGTAAATTTAAAGATGATAGTTTCTTTTTTTGCGCCAAGGAAAATGCTTACAACATATATATATTATGCAAACGTACAGATGTCCATGTTTAAATCAACTCACAATTTAATGATGATCGAGTATATATATATATATATATATATATTTTGTGGGGGGATCTCTGAAGCTTGCTTTTGGGCGTTGCAAAAGTTTTGATGAATATGAATATATCCCTCAGCCTTCGGTGGTGGAAGCAAACATATCGAGCCAAATAAACTAAGCAATTCTATTAGGCATTTAATAATCAATTGTTCTATTTTGCTTATATTTTGTTTGATTTACAATGAGAACTGTCAGAGATTTTAGTTTGAAGAAGTGACGCTCAAATCGAAATCATAGTAGGACACGAGTCAACAGTCAAAATTCCTTAAGATTATTTTTAAGACGTTAAAATTGTTAACAACGATATTTAATTAATTAAATTGTTTTTTATATTTCGGATTGTTGTGCTTCAGATTTCTGCCGTACACTATTTATACTTATTTTTATATACACATTGCGCAGATAAAAATTCTAGTTTGCAATTGCAAATCTAAAATTCATTTCTAAGCTGTTAATGTTAGTTACGACTAAGTCTAGATCTTCATATTCATATCTAATATCAATATCAAGCAAAGAAGCGCTCGTGCCATTGCTATACAAACGGGAACAAACCAAGAGACCAAGTCAAATCAAGCTTCGCGTGTGAATGAGAGGGAAATGAACAGGAATATGAGCTATCACACATTCGAAATTGAAGCAAAGGAAAGTTATTGCTTTGGTAAAAATCGCAGAAGGGATTTCAGTCCCCTCAAGTTACGTTCTGAATATAACATAATACCGGATAAGGGAATGTATGTGGATAGCGACTACAATAGTTGCAGCGAATGCAGTTATTGCAAAGGTGTTGATGACGGCATAAAAACCGCCGGTTTAAAAATATTCGCAATGATTATGTGTCATGCCTGGCGCAAGCGTCGTGAGCAATTACACGAACTGCGGCGTACAATGGAAGAACTAAAGCAGGGCGTAAGTGTATTTAAAATATTATCGGCATAGAATTCTCGTCAAATTTCTTTCCGATTCAGTCGATTAAAGCAAAAAGTCAATTGCAAATTTACAATCAATTATTACGCGTTGAACAAAAGCGTAATGATGAGCTTAGCGAACAGGTAAAGGAAGCCTTAAACACTTTAAAAAACTCGAGGGCCTCGTACGAATTCTTATCGAACAGTATTGCTAATGTGAAGACAGATAAAGCAATGCTAGAAGAAGAACTTAAATCTAAATATGAAGAGTATGACGCTTTGCATGCCGTGCTTTCACAAACTAAGACAGATTTATTTCGATGCATGATGGATCAACGTAACCTTCAAGTGCAGCTCTGTAAAGAGCAAAGATCAGTTCAATCTTTGGAAAATCAGAAAAATAAATTAATTAACGAGGTAAGCTTTCTTCATTACACTAAATTTTATTAAAAAGGGAATTAATTTTTTCATTTTTTATGCAAACACAGATATGTGAAATCGGTTCAGAAACCCGTAGAGTAGAAGAAAGATGCAAGCAACGAATGGAAGAGAAAGATCAACAATTATTGGAAAACAAAAATAAAGCAAATCTTTTAGAAATCGAAGTGTTTGAACTTAGAGAGTAAGTATCGCTTCATTTAAAAGTATGAAAATTGTTAATAGTTTTTTTTTTCACGTTTTTCATGCAGAAAAATGTTGCCATTGAATAGCATCGAGGCGAACAATGATCGCATGAAAAGTGAAATTGAGTCTCTTCGCGCTCAACTATTCCATCTGAAGAAGAAACTTGATTCTAGTCTTAGTCATCAAATTTATATGTGTTGGGAACAGTTACTTCATTATCAAAAATCCACTTTCCAATTTTTACATGTTTTCGCTTTCTATTTGCTACCAGCTATGCCACCGCCATACAAGTATGTAGGACAATTGATGCTACCTGAAATTTAACTGTTTGGAAATTGATTCCAAAATTGTCTTATCATTTTTTTATGACGAATTCGCGTAACTCCGAATTCGACTATATAGAACCATTTCATCATAACGATAATCCACTTTCAATCGCGCTGGAGAACTTCTGTAATATATTTAAGGGATCGTTTTGTAAACATATGCACTCACTAAAGTACATGTATTGATAAAACGTTTAAAACAGTAAAAAAACAAAAAAAAAAAAAACAAAAATTTAGTGCAATATTTTCCAAAATTAAAAAAAGAAAAAAATTTTTTAATAAACTTATGATTGGTATCAGCACAAGATCAAGGGCAATCAAGCGACTATTTGAAGCTTTTGACCTTGAATTGATATTAATAATAATAATAACCCTAGAAGCAGTCTAATCATAGTAGCTAGGGCGAGAGTACGTCTTGCTGACATGAGGGTTTTGATTTACTCACATGGGAGAGAAAAAAAATCCTTGAATAGCGACGATTCAAATATCATAAATGCTTTTGATAAAGTAAACCATGACTTGCTTGCTCCTAAACTTACTTTGTGTGGCTTTGCAGGCGTCTTGATTAAATGGTTTTCTTATCAAAACGTGGGTGGCCATATCGGCGCCCCCTTCTCGTATTCGATTTATAAATGACCTTTTGTCTGCGATTCAATACTCATGTGTCCTAATGTGTGCTGATGATATAAAGCTGCGTTTGGCTTTTGAGTATCAAGTAAAACAAGATTTACAAGCCCTAGTAGGTTCGAGTAGTGTAATGTAGTGTAGTCTCTCTTGTCTATTAATCTACGTAAATGTAAGAAATTTTCATTTTCTAGATGCTCGCCTATACGGGCTACGTATAACATACTTGGAAAGACCGTTGAAAATGTCTCATAATTTCCAGATTTAAGTGTAAGATTTTCGATTCCAAGCTGAGCTTCCATCTACATACATGATTGATGGTTAATAAAGCCAGAAGTACTCTGAGATTTATGAAAAAATGGTCGGATGAGAGTGAAAGCCGTACCTAACTAAAAGTCTATTCATCGCTTTGATTAGATCTCTTCCAAAGTATGCATCAATAAGGCGGTACCCAAGCTATGATTGTGATATCGAGTTAATTGAGTCTATGCAAAAACAATTTCTTATACTTGCTTTACGTTGGCTAGGATGGAGGTCCAATTGCATTCTTCCTTTATATGTCAATCGCTTGAAATTGATGCCATTTGAGACAAAAGCATATGCTTTAACTTTTAATTTCTTTTATATGCCAAATTTCATTACTTTTTATTTTCTTCAAATTATTTAAAAGTGATTAAAAATAGAAAAAATGCTGCTTCACACATTATAAATAAATGAATAAAAATAATAAAAAATGGCAAAAGAAATGGGCAAATTGCTCGGCAATGCCACTGGTATGGAAGTGTTCTGAACAGCAAATTTACGAAAATCCGAAGCTAAGCTACAAGTTACTTAACCAAGAAATTTTGAAAACGGCGAACTTGGAAATCTGTCGCTGGTCTCAGCGTGAAACCAAAGGCTTTGACCAGGTAACTCTGGGGAGAGTCACCGACGCCGCCACCTTTGTTCACACATAACTGTGCGTCCGACCCGCTGCCGTGCATCAGAAGACCATCAACTAGATTTCACTCTTACACGTCCGCCAGTATGTTTTTATTACTGGGAGTAGATTAATGGTGTGACGGATGCCACTGAGCAGATCTGCATACACTAATTACGGTCTAGCGATCAATGTCCAGCTACGTGCCATCACAAACAGACAACACACACTTCCGATGGATAGTGGTATAAAACTTCTATTTAAATAATGTTTTAAAAAAAAAAACTTCTGCGAATTATATGCATAAATAGTATCTAAATGTAAATTGTTACCATATTAAAGTTAGTAATGTTAAGCAAAAAACGTGCTAATAAAAGACTCATAGCAATGGTAGATGTCTACACTAACAGCAATCAAATTATTATTTCTATCCACTAGAGGGTTATTAGTACCGTAAAGTAGATAGAAAATTTATTATACATTTTTTTACAAACACACAAGTGTCTTATGTGCAAGAAATTTTAAGGAAAGTAAAGACGTAGCAGAAGGTTAGTTTTGTTCATCTTACATAGACCTCATGTGGAGCATTTTAACAACTTCTAACCTTTATCTTCAAGGAATTTCATTTTATATGATTGAGAAATAAAATAATTAAAATTATAAAACAAAATGGCTAAAAAGTACTAAACTTTTTCAATTTACGTTTTCGTAGAATGTTAGATATTTACTTCGATATGACAATGATATGGTTTCTTATTTAACTTTAACCGAAGGGATTTTTCGCCGCTATGCTATTCTTACGCTCTCCATTTTTGTATTTACGATGGTAAAGAATAAAGTAAATAAAAATAAGCGTTTTTTTGCGAATTTGCATGGATGGTGGAAATGGTAATTGAGTAATGATATTCGAGGAAGTTACTAAGCATACATTTACAAACTAAAAAATAATGACAATTGCAATATATATTAACGTTGGCAACACCGTAGTTACTCTTGAGAGAGGACTCTCTCTATTAGCCTGCAATCTTCTAGATCCTATATCACCTTCATTGAAATATTCTTGTTTTTTTTCATCGATTTCATGCTCGAAAGTGATTGTTTTGTGGTATGTTTCATAGATATTGAAATTGCTATTGTATAGAGTGATCTTTCTTCTTCGTTATTCTTGCGATGATTTAATGGATCATATAAAAAGTCTTTGCGGTTTTTCTCGTTTTTGCCGTTTTGAGCTTCTTCTTGTAGGCTGCTCTTTCCAAATGACTCCAAACCGTCGTAAGGTTGATGTTTAGTGCCTCCCCTATTCCTGACATCTTACGTGCTGATCTTGCCCCACCAGTTCCAAAATTTCATCGACTTTTTCGACCCGAACGAGGTGCATTTTTGTCATTGAAATTACTGGAACGGAATCCAGCCGATCACGCCTGGGTTCGCTCACAGCAGTCTCACCCTACATAATTTTTTTCTTGCTTTTTTTATAGTAAAAAAGGATCAAATAGCGTATTTCTTTAGAGATTTTACCCATTTTCAAGTTAATACAACTTTTTGCAGGAACAAAGAATTAGACAACTATATTAACAAAAAATGTAACCTGAAATGTCATCTTTTAGGCATACGTTCGTTTGAGATAATCAGATGAGTGTTGCCCGATATATTACCATCAACACCTTGCCGTGGAAAAAAAAGCCGCAAAGACTTTTTATATGGCCTAATATTTTCAAACCGGCATCACTGTAAAGAGTCTTTAGAATAAAAAAGCCAGCGCTCTTCTCACATAAAGAAAAAAACAGAAGAAAGTTCACACGGAAAAGATGATGGAATAAGAAAATGACACGATTTTTATGACAACGTCGAAGGAAGATTGTTGGCCAAAAATGGCTACGATTTTTATTCGTCACAAACAGAACTCAACCGTTAAAAATAGGCCTCAATGGTTGTACACACATATCTCAATCGCAATTACATTATTATGAAAGCTAGTGACTTCCTCGATGATCATCAGAGCTATTTGTAAATTTATTTTAAAGTTTGTTGTATTCGCATAATTTTGAGAAGGTAAGTTTAGACCTCATATTAAATCAAAATATGAAAGTGCACTTAGGTAAAGAACATTCAAAATTAGATGAAAATTTAACTGCTAGCGAAACGCTTAAGGCCTTGCAAGCTCAATTAAACGAAAGAGAATACATTTTCTATTATTTTCAACTATAAACAAGCATCAGCATGGGATTCCTTAACAAATCTATTGATACCTTTTGTTCTAACGACATCTAACGAAAGTCTACTTAACAGCCTGCGTCGTCACTGCAAAAATGTTAAATTGAGAGACAGCCCAATGATAATTGTTAAGACAGGAGATAGGAAAGCCCGAGGAAAGCTTCTCAGAACATCGGCCCTTGAGATACATGATATATGATTTTCTTATTAGGATATAGTATTAAAAGAGTAGGCCACTTGCAATTTTCCTCTTTTTGTGAAGAGAAACTGATCGAGATGAATTAGAAATGCTGAAGATATATGTGCTTATCATTATGAAATTTCATATTCATAGTCGAAGACAAACAAAGTTTAGTTTTCATCAGTAAGAAAATTCGAATTTTTATTGAAAAGAAAAGTATAAGGAAAAATCAATTTTCTCTTTTAGTGTTCGTTAATTTTATTCTCTTAAGGCGCCTAAGGTGCATAAATGAAAATAAATATTTATAAAATGGAAAAAGAAGACAGTTCTCTTTTGATTCTTGCTGGAAGAGGACCGCTTGCAGAATAAACTAATTTATAATTATCGATCTATTTTTTGTGCAAGTGGAAAAAACACCAAAGATACTATGAACATAGTAACGCATTGCCTCCTGTTCTTTCAACTTTTTTCTTTCGTTTGTTATTCCAATCAGTTACAACAACTTAATATAGGTTTTTTGCAATGATTTTGTTTTTTTTTTTTTTCAATAAACATAAAATGAAATTCATTTTTAGGAGCATTCTTCTATGAAAATGAATTTGAATATCAGAGAGCTTTTGAGTCGGCAGTTTTACGAATTAACAGCGAAAACAAAAGTAATTTTAAATTATTACCGATGATAAAGAAGTTATCCTCCTACGATGGTCCTATTGCATTGAAAAGAGAAGGTAAAAAAAAATTAGTAAATTTATGAAAAGACAATAAATGTGAATTGCAAAAAATTTCAGCATGTAATTTGATTGATGATGGCGTTGAAGCTATTTTTGGACCAAGTTCACAAGCAGAGAGCGGTGAGTCAAAAGTACTTCTCATTAACTTTCTTTTAAGTAAATGTTTCCTCTTTTATACCCTACATCACTTGTGATGCAAGGGCATATTAAGTTTGCGCGTGTGTATGCAACACTCAGAAGGACTTGAAGTGGACCCAACTTTCACTATACCCGTTCAATTCGGAATCACTTTTTTCATCGATCCGAGATTGTCTGTCTGACTGTCTGTCTTGTCGATTGTTTACAGGTCGCAATTTTTGGGATATTTTGATGAAGTTCGGTACAACGATGTGTTGCGGATCGAACCACTTTTTCGATTGCTTGTCATAGAACGCCCTGTTTTGAAAAGTCGTTATATGAATTATTTAAAGGTGATCTCTGTTCCACTATAGGTTTCTTATTTGTTTTTTATTTATTTCAGATATAGTGGCCGTTATATGTAACAACACTGGCATCCCACATATTCTTTTTGATTATGGGATCGAAGAGAATTATTCGCATAAATACAAACATCAAATGACTCTCAATGTATTTCCTTCACCATCAATTTTATCAAAAGCATATGCAGACATTGTAAATAGTTTTGGATGGAAAAAGTTTACCATTGTTTACGATGCTGAAGATGGTAAATAATTGAAAAGTTGATAAATACGAATAACGAATATTTATAAAGTATGAATATTACATTTCTATTTCTATTCAAGTTCACGCTTACACGAAATTACAAGACTTGTTTCAATTGCATAGCCTGCACTCAGACATTGTCCGCATACGCAAGTTTAAACGGAACGAAGATTATCGTATCTTATGGAAAAGTATAAAAGGTGAAAGGAGAATTGTTTTAGATTGCAACCCGAATATTTTATTGGACCTATTAAAAGCTGCGGTGCCATTTGACCTTACCGGTCAATTCAATGTAAGTTTAATTCATTCTTTGTTATAATGGCTGTATCCATACACGTTCTCTCTACGTAGCATTTGTTTCTAACGAATCTGGATACGCATAGCAGTGAAATTAAAAGTTTTCGTGATAATCCCGCATATGCCATGAACGTTACCGCTGTACGGTTAAAGCTAAACGATGGCTTTTATGTAAGAAATATGGTGTTATGTATAATGGTGTTTCTAATATTCTGAGTTAATGTTTCGTTTTTAACAGAAACACTCAATCGCACACAAAAGAGCGATTGCTAATATCAAGTTCCATCGACAGCCCTTGAAGGTAACTCTCATACACGATGCTCTAATGTTGTATGGAATTGCTTTGAAAAATATTACTACGAATTATCCAACTACTCAACGTTATGTCAACTGCGATTACAATGAATACAATTCTACATATTCCTCTCCCGCGGGTAGTTACATTTACAACTCAATGACAAATGTTCGTATAAATAATTGCATTCATATATAATTGTTAAAAAGTTTTTTTAATCCACCACCAAACAGTAAGAATATGATAGGCTCGTCCGTCCATTCATAATATGTGCAAAACATTTATCTAAAAATGTTTCTGTATAATAAGTGACCGAAGCGATTAGAGATACGATATAATAAAATTTACCTTCTTGTCTTCAAAGGGGTCCATGTAACAGGCAAAGCAGTTACTTCAGCTCTTAGCTCAGTCCCCCAAACATTTTCATGCGGATATATGGGTTTCAGCGGATTTTCTTTTATACCTTCTATTGATCCTCATCGTGAACTTATCTTTGCAATGCCGGAAAAGTTGGGACAGTGCTTGTCCGGTCACAGCGCTTAAGCTATAATTACCTAAACTAGACGTTCAACAATACACTCCGCACCACAAATATCGATCAGACAGCTCTGAGAGATTTATACGATACGAAATTCGAGTAATTCGAGGTCCCTGCACTCAAATTTGTAATTTTTATAGATATGGCTCTCTGTAATATTTTCAATCACTCGAAATTGGAAATTTCAATTAGTTTGGAATAAACTACTGGTTTAACATTGTGTTGTAGAAACTTCAGAGCAGTTTTAAGTGTGGAAATTTCCGAATGAAGAAAACAAGATGTCTTTAAACACATCCAGCGAAAGTAGTGGTAATTGGAGGGGCCATGGTTCGGGCTATGCGATGGATACATCTAACCTTCCAACCTACCCTCGCTCAGTTTTTGCAATCTTTAAAGAAGTGTGTGATCTGGCATTGTGTGGATGTAGAACGACCCCATTTTAATTGATGAATTCTATACGTTTCATCTCAGTTTCATGCTTAATCAAGTTAGTTGTTGATAACAGAGAGAGAGAGAGAGACTAATCATCTAGCTAAATTGGAGAAGCCCATAATGTACAATTCGGCGCCAGTCTTACTAAACCCGGAGAATTGTTTAAGAGGCGTCAATCTAAGCTTTACTTCCGTTTGTATGAATCCATCCCTCTTTGACTGCGATCTTACACCACTTGTGGCACAGATTACATTAATTTTGTAGGCTTAATATTCACCCACCATTTGTTATACCGATCGAGTCAGAATTATTTTAGCCAACCAAAGCACGGTGCCATTACAAAACCATTCTCTTCAGCCTGTGAAGCGTTATCAGCTTTGTTATAACGATATCGAATATACCGAATTTTTTCGCCGCTAGATTTCTTCAAATTATTGATTGGGTGTCACTTTTCCATTGTCTCCTAAGTTCGAAACTCTAAAGTGGTCCATTACGAGAAACGCCGCCAACTTCTTTCTTTAACACGATATTATTGACAAGTGTAACATTCCAAGTCGTTATAGACATGGCTGGCCCTTTACCGTCTGTTGTCAGAATGTTGATGATTCTTAGAAGTTAACTTTGAAATCCACTTAAAAGAAGTAGAAAACTGTAAGCTATACCTACAGACGAGACGTTGATTTAAGTCTTGTTACAAGTGCCATTCAAAACGTCAGACCATAAACGGCCCAAATAAGAAAACTGATACAACACGAATTGTGTAAAATATTTTGAATTTTTAACCTGAGGTGGTAGGTATCATATATACGACATAAAGCAAATAAAGTTGACATCTTTGTATAAATATTTTATCTAATCGGACTACAGATAAGCCCTCTTGACGAAGTTCACTTTCGTTCGGGATCGATGCTATTTGATGATAATGGACAACGTACTGGTTTTGAGATCGAAATGTATGAACCTCTTAACGACTATGGCACAGCATTTTGGAACACGAAAGGTCAAATTACACAACAACATATAGGAGCAAATGTGTTGAAGAAAATTGTGTATCGAGTTGCAACCCGCATCGGGGAACCGTACTTTATGGAAAAGTTTTGTTTTTCTTTTCTATGATTGTAAAAATAATTATTTCAACCATATTCTCCACAGTTTGACTGCAAAGACAGAAAACGTTACTCATAACAGGCGATATATGGGTTATGCGGTAGATCTCATAGAGGCATTATCTAAAGAAATCGGTTTTGAGTATATTTTCGTACCAGTAGCTGATAATGGCTATGGAAAGTACAATAAAGAAACGAAACAATGGAATGGAATAATAGGAGAACTTATAAACAATGTAAGCATGAAATAGATTATTTTGCTAGCATTTTATGACACATGTCTTGCTCTTATGTCCAGGATGCTCATATGGGTATTTGTGATCTTACAATAACGCAGGCTCGCAAAACTGTAGTCGATTTTACAGTTCCCTTTATGCAATTGGGTATCAGCATATTGGCCTATCAAAAACCTACGGAGTCGAAAGCCTGGAGTGCTTTTTTGGATCCGTTTACTGTCGATGTATGGATCTACGTTATGATATCAATATTCATTATAGCCCTTCTTTTCATTTTTATGGCTCGGTAAGCATTAGATTAAATCAAAAAGCATTCAAAAACAGGAAAATCAACCAACTGGCTTAAAACCACTTGACCAACATTCGTATGCAGCCGGTCGGGTAAGAACTGAGACTACCAAGTCAATGCACGCGAGTTCAAATCTCATCGTCGGCTCAGTGTATTTCGTAGCCTTTAATGAATACTCTGTCGATAAACGCATAATTTTTTGACCGATTAAGCAAACTCGCACTAGACTATGAACCTCACCTTCGCTTCCTATCTGTTTCTGCTTCCTCACTTCTTTGTAACCGCCATCATGTTACACGAATGCGGACCATCCCCAAAATGATTGGTTATATTAAAAAAAAAAAAAAAAAATATATATATATATATATACATATATATATATATGTTAATTTAAAAAATATCTCGTAAAGAAACAGTTTTTTTTTTCTACTGCAGAATTTCAAGGGATGAATGGGAAAACCCTCATCCTTGTAACAAAGATCCGATTTGTCTGGAAAATAAATGGAACATATCTAATAGCTTCTGGTTAACTATGGGCTCAATAATGACGGCTGGCAGTGATATTTTACCATGCAGTGCATCTATGCGTACCTTTAACGCGATGTGGTGGATTTTTGCTGTCATCATCGCTAACTCGTATACAGCAAATTTAGCCGCTTTTCTAACCAACAGTAAAATGGAAGGGTCTATTAGCGGAATACAAGACTTGGCCGAGCAAACAAAAGTGAAATTCGGAACAATGGAAGGCGGTAGCACCTTTACGTTTTTCTCCGAATCAAACGAAACTACCTACAGGTTAGCGTACAACTTGATGCAAAATAATGATCCACCTGCATACACTAAAGACAATAAAGAAGGTGTTGATAGGGTGTTGAAGAATAACGGTTCCTATATGTTCCTAATGGAAACTACAAGTTTAGAATACAACACCGAAAGAAATTGTAAATTAAAAATGTTAGGTGAAAAATTCGGCGAAAAGCACTACGCTATAGCTGTTCCATTTGGTAGGTTTTCTAGAGCGCTTACCTAAAGAAACTGTTACACTTTTTACTTTTTAGGCGCTGAATATCGTTCGAATCTAAGTGTTGCTATTCTGAAGTTAAGCGAAAGGGGTGAACTGTTTCAATTGAAAAATAAATGGTGGAAAAATCATAACAACACCTGTCACGAAGGTGTTCAAACGGACGCTTCCGAAACTCCCGATATGACATTTTCTGAAGTTCGAGGCATTTTTTACACACTTGGCGTAGGGGTAATCATAGCTTACACCGTTGGTATTTTTGAATTCCTGATTTACACGCAGAAGGTTGCTGCTGCAGAAAAACTTACTTTTAAAAAAGCATTTTTGAAAGAAATTATATTTGTCCTTTGCGTTTGGAACAATAAGAAGCCGCTTAAGTTGGCGTCATCGAATAGTTCAAAAACAACTTCACCCAACGCTCCATAGTCTTTTTCATATAATTATCGAGAACGAAGGCTGGTAAAGTTGATATACGTCTACGTTCTCTACGTGTTGTTCATTGCTTGAGATCACGACGATTACAACTCCAAGATCACTTTACCTGGCAGAATAAAATTAGTCTTAAGTTTGTTCTCCATTTTTGGATGAAGTTCAAAAATTCATTAAATCGGTTCGTGCCAACAGTTAATCAAAAAGTAAAAAATGTTCACTTTATCTTAAATCGTAATATCGAACTTGACCTTAAGTTTGGCTTCTATCCTTAAAAATTACTTACACCGATCCTTAGATTTCCTCGCATCCACCGAAGAATCAAATAAACCTATGGTGTAGGATAAACGATCTTAGGATGATTACACGGTTCATAGATTTTTTTCATAGGTTCATAGGTTCTTTTGTCAGACAAGCGAATTTTAGTTTCTTCACATTGCCAGTGTTTTATTCACTTTATATCCCGCACCATTTATCGTATTGAAGTGTTGTAAGTTTACGCAGATATATGTAACACTGAAAAGAGCTCCATGTGCATTCATTACACCTATCGATTAAGAATCATTTTCTGAACCGATTTAACATTGTCTGTCCATCTGTCTGTCCATGACCATGTATTTTTATGTTCAATCAAATGATGCAACTTTTGAGATACTTTGAGACGAAATTTGATGCACCGACGTGTTTTGGAGCTAGTCCTATTGAAAATGGGTTTGATCAGATCACTTTTGCAGCCAAACACCGCTTAACGTCTTACTTTAAAAATTGCAATTTTCAAAATTTCTCAATAAAAACCTAAGCTAATTAATAGCACTCCGACATTTTAAACGAATGTGAAAAATTTCCATCGAATGAGGTAAATTTTTGAAACCTTTCCATGAAATCGTTTTAACAAGAAGACTAATTTTACTAATTAGGGACGACATCAGTGCGTGCTTTGGGTCTACTCCGTACAAGGGCTTCTAGGAAAAGAAATAAAACAAAACCAAGATATAGGTTTTAGTAATGCATCACAAAAATAAATAAAGAAATGTCTTAGGTGAGGTAATGCGGAGTATTGGAAGATCGGTTTCGCCCGGCTTGTTTTTGTTTATTTATTTATTTATTTATTTATTTATTCAATCGACTTGTTCCAGATCTTACAAAATAAAAATACAATCTTGTCAATTAATAATAATTATATTGTTACACTATTTTATCATATATATCATGATATTATGGTCTTTACTGACTTCAATGCAAATTATTATTGGAAATTAAAAAGGGTCGCAAGATAATGTTACTTTCTTTGATTTAATACAAACACGTTAAAACGGTGTTTAAAGTTAAGAAATTTATTGTATTAAACAAAATAAAAGCTATTTAACTTATTTATTTATCGTTTTATTTAAAAAAAAAAAAAATAGCAAACCGAACCCAAGACGAGTAGGATGATGTTACTCTCCGTGCGTAAAATGGTGTAACGCTTGTTCTGTTCGGTAAATTATGCTGAAGTAAGAAAAAAAAAATATGTTTTTTGTAGAAATGTGCCTGAAGCAAAAACTACGCAAATAAAAAATTTTAAAAGAAGCGCTTCCCTAAATACGTATTCAATATAAAGCTTTAATAGCAGCTCCACTCTAAGCAAAGGTAAATTTAATATGTTCTATTGATCTATAAAAATGAACGTAAAAGAATGAAGAAGAAAGAATTTTGCAAACCTTCCGTTATCTTACAATAAAAAGATATAGGTTTTCTTTATACCCTACATCACTGTTGGGTATATTAGGACACATCTTTTATTGTACCATTCTTTACTTGTCTGTCCGTCTGTATGACTTGTATTCTTGTTTTCAACCTATAGGGGCACCTAAGCATATCCGTCTGTTCTTTTGGCCATCTGCACAACTGCGTGGTAGCTGTGAGAAACATTCTCGTACTTGCAAAACTGAAGATACCGCCTACAAGCCCGCAAAAGGAACAAGGACATGCCTATGCAACAAAAGCAGTGAACATCTTTCTTTTCCGTGTTTTTTTGTTTGTTGCTCATAAAATACAACACATTCATCATATCAATTTCCACTTTTATTCAAAAAGTATAAAAAATAAGCCACGCCCATCCAATGTTATAAAGTATGAAAACTGAACTCTTTGGTTCTTTAGTACTTTTAAGGATAAAGGTGTTGAGTATAAAAGATTCGGTCACGACCGAATATAATTTTCTTGCTTGTTACTATTTGAACTCTATTCAATATGAGGAAATATGAAAAAAATAAACATAAATTAATAATTATTAAAAAATTGGTCAAAAAATCTATGCCAAGTTTCTTCCAATGACTTTTGTGTTTGTTGTTGTGTTAGAGTAACGAGCAAAAATCTATTTTTTTTAATATTGGGATTTTTCTCAAGTTAGGTTGCACTGTAGGCACTTCCTGGACCGATTTGGATTATTTTTAAAAAATTTAAATCCGAAATCTTCATTTCTGCAACCTTACGAAAGGGCGGATGGATTAAAAATATGCATTAAGGAAAACGCTCATCAAAAATGCATAACTTATAGGGTCTGTGAAGCTTCTGCCTGTCTAGGTTTTGCAAAGGTTTTAGCAAAATTAACATACACCCATCCTTCGCTGGTGGTTATCAAAACCAAACAACTTATTCGCCCTATATGGCAAAAAAGCTTAAAAAGTTCATCCGTATAAACCGCCAAAGAAATTTTAAGGTATGAAAGCATTTTCGGGCGAGTGTAATAAGCTTTTGTTTGTCGTAGTCGAATCACGACTTTCTAGCTTTCTTTCTGCAAAAACTGTTAATAGGTATATGCATAGCACACGCCATTATAAGCTATATTGATAGAGTGTGCGTAAAAAAATATTGAATAATGAACTAATTGATAAAAAACATTTGTGAAATATCTCTCTTTCATTTGCAATCTTATTATCATGTCCATCATTGAAGAAGAAGAAGAGGTATACCGTATTTGTCGCTTCGTTTGTGACATCCAGAAATACGTATTCAAAATCTCATATATTTGATCAGTTCGGTTCACTGCATGTCGCTAGGTTACTCACCGAGACTTAGCACATGTACTATTACTTAACGCATATACATAGGTCAAGGTGTAACATCAGATCCGATATTAACTGAAACCAGCTAAAAAATCAATGTAAAAAATGCTTATGACCGACCAACTGATACCGCTTTCACCAGAACATTACGCAATTATAAAATTTTGATTGGAGATACTACTCGCACTAATAATTTCCATGTACGTGGGCAAAACTTTCCTACTTTTATTTATTCATTTATTTTTTTTTTTTTTTTTTTTTCTTAATGAAAGTGTTACCAAACTACCAATGAAATGGAAGGCAAAGTCGCAAAGCGGAAGCAAGTTTCTTCGGCAAAGCAACTGAAGGATAGGTATCGGTTAGCCCGATGAAAATTACTTACTCGTACATGTTCCTGCACTTGAAAAATAAAGGTCTGTTATATGATGTTGGTTGTAAGACTTACACTAACGCTCCTTATCATAGATATCAGAAGCAGGTTATAGCATATGAACCTGCTGTGTCAAAGAACTAATTATTAATTAGGATAAAAGATTAATTTAATCTTTTCGCTTCTCATTACATTATTCATTTACTGTTGGCGATCAAAAGTTCTCACTCTAAGACAGGTACTCAGATTAAAAACTTAATCGGAGACAACTAATTTTTCGTACTGTCAATGGAAAAACAAATCGAACACCGCTTAAGTCCATTTCAAAATTCTAATTAATTATCTGCACACGACTTGACGGATGGAAATTATGTTGAGTAACACTATCTGAAATTTTTATAAACAATATTTTTTTATAAACTTACTCTGCGTAAGAAGATTCCAGTTTTTATTTTTTTACCATTTGAAAGGTCTTTCAATACATATCCCATAGGGCGATTGAGATATGGTTGACAGCTCCTTTAGCGAATTTTTTTTTATGCCTCAAAGTGGTTTGTTTTATTATCTGAACCAGGAACACGTGTAGAAAGAATACATCTGGTAGGATCTGGTCAAGCTTGCTAATAGGCGTTGCACTACAATGCTCATAACAACAGTCAAAGCGCTACAAATGGACCAAAAAGCTATGCTTGCTGTCTAAATCAGAGGAAATACGTCCGGGGGGCTTTGTCCGATCGTGCTAAGTCACCTAACACCTAATGCGCATAGAAAAAATTTCAAGCATCGACATCTTATATGATATTTTTCTTTTTTTGTAATGTGACCAATCAATGAGGAGACGTCCACTCCTTGTGCAACATGGCAGTGATTAGAAAGGAACCAGAGAAGATGGAGAGGTAGCCGCAGCTTAAAAAGCGTGTGCCCGATCGGTAAGTGTTACCGCCTTTACCGGCTGAGCATTCACCAGGTAGCTGCGCCCAAAGTAAACTTGACTGCGAACGCTGACTTTATGATTCTTAACTATTCGGCTGCTCATGCGCATAACGTGATATGATAAACGTTTCAAATTTTGGTGATCGTTGATGGAAATGAGGTGTTCCGTCTTGCATGATACTTAAATTGAAATAGAAAATTTACGGTAAATTCTTTGATCCCGAAAACTTTTCTAATGCAGAGATCAATAAACGCACCGTTCCAAACGAAACCAACAGCTTTAACCCATTTCAAATTTCTAGTGTTATCTTAGTACACTGCTACGAATGACTAGCGATAAAGACTTTCTCAATATTTTCAATGCGATTCTCAGATATGCTAAATTTTGGATGCTAAGTATATCATATATTCAACATTTATTTATTATTATATTATAATATATATTTATTGTTATATACCATATAAGGAGCATTGTATTCAGCCGTTTATTTCGCTATCATTTAAAATTCCAATCTTTAAATTCGGTCTTCGTTACGTGATTTGTTTGTAAATCAATTTTATTTATTTGTATCTGCATTGAAAATTCATACGATATCACAGATACGAATGTCAAGTTGGTATTCGCACAGTGTTTAGTGTTTTGTTAGACAGTAACTAATGTTGAGTCAAACAACAACAAATAGAAAGCAGTCTGTCGAGCGGGCTCAATGTTAACAGACGTATTCGCAAACGTTCCATAATAACAAAAAACATAACGGTTGTGAAATTAAAATTTAGAAAAAAAAAAAAAAAGAAAAAAGACATCTGCAATAACAACATAAGTCACGAAATGTGCATGCAACTTGTGATATTAAAATAAAAAAAAATATATTGTATACTTACTTATATGCATTAGTTAGTTTGACTGTGTGTGTGTGTGTGTGTGTGTGTGTGTGTGAGTGTGATCGTTCAAGCAAAACCAATCTACAAAAATTGCATATTATCAGCACAACATCTAACTTCCAACTTCAACTGCAATTTGTTCCTTCAAATTGTTATTATATCAAAAGAAATAACATAAACAATTATTGTTGTTACCGCTAATTCAAGCGAAAGTTTGAAAAAGCTTCGATTGATGTTCGCGTGCTAATTGCAATATTGTTTCATTATTCATGTTTTCCTTTAAAGAAACAAATTCTTTATGATTTACTTTTATTTATAGATATATTTACTTATTACCATTTTTATAATCGCTATATTCTTTGAAGTATTTTGTAATTTAAATATATATCTATATAACGAAAAAGTGCAGAAATGAATAAAGTTTTGCAAAATTGTTTTAACAACAAGTGAAAAAACTCTAGTGAAATACGGTCCACCATAACATCAACCTGCAGTTATTGGCTTTTCAAAATAAGGTGTTATATGGGAGGTAGTCGAAAGATTGGTCCGATTCCTCTTTGGTCTAAAACACGTCGGTATAACAAAGTTAATCAATTTATCTCAAAAATTGCGGCCGTTACAAGAAAAATCAGTCACACAAAGTCAAATCGATCCAGAATGTGGTTCTGGTTGGTGTAATGAAGGTCTATCTCAAGTCCTTCCGGGGGTTCCGTATATGTACATAAACTTAATATTTGCTTGTAGTGCATGTGGTTCACGATGTAGTAATGTATAAAATTTTGTTTAAAAAAATTGACTTTTTTTAGAAAAATTGACTTTCTTTTTCCGTATAAAAAAAGAATTAATTTTTTTCATGTAAAGAAAAATTGAACTTGTTTTTCCGTGTAAAAAAGGAATTATTTTTATTTTCATGTAAAAATCAAAGTCAATTTATTTTTCCGTGCAAAAAGAACATTCATCTTACTTTCGTATAAAAAGAAAATTTGTGTTTGTTTTTTCCGCCTAAAAAAATAATTCATTTTATTTCGTACAAAATAAAATTTTTTCGTGTAAAAAGAAAAAGAATTCATTTTATTTTCGGTGTAAAAATAAAATTGCTTTCCTTTTTCTGTGTAAAAAAATGGCTTGATATCTTTTCTCTGCAAAAGAGAACTGCATTTTTTTTCCGTGTAAAAGAGAATTTCTTTTATTTTTGCATAAAAATAAAATCGAATTTTTTCGTGTAAAAAAAAATGTGGTTTATTCGGGGATTCGGTTTTAATACCTATTTTTGGGAGCCAAGTCGATTTTTAGGTGCCTCAAAATACAAATTATCCAAACGATGATATTGGCAAAAATTGTGGAAGAGAGTTCAAACTTACTCATTTGTTCTCAGCTGAAAGCCTCAGATGAGAATGAAAATTGTTTTTGAATTGATTTAAGAGAACTGCCTGTGCTTGATAGTGTAGAGACTAAAATATCTGGAAATTCTCAATATATTCTAAGAATAACCTACGATTCGTAGCAAGTGTAAGAAACACATCTAGAGATACTAGGTATGTAAATTTGTCCTTAGGCAAGTATATCCGTTCATAACATTTGTTACCTTTAATGGTTTTAATCACATATGCAAACGACGATTTTCGCGATCTAATATAGTAGACTGAAGGCAAATTTTCATATATTTAATGTAAAATGACATTAACGTGCATCCTCTAATCCATAAGTTAATACTTTTTCCTTCCGTCATGTCCTAATTATAATTTGTTCAAATTCCAATATTCTATCCGCGTCTCTTACGTCCGTCAATTAGTGTTAATGGATTTATAAAATACTCTGGCTTTGAATGCTTATTAATTACTAAGCCTTAACCTTAAGTTTATAATAATTTTAACGATTGTCGTTATTGTATTACGTTATTATTGCTTTCGTTTGCGGTATTCAAGACTATTGCAGATGTTTGAAAAATTTATGCATTGGCGTTTTGTACCTGTAAAGTACACTAACCCATCAATCACTTAATTTTTAACACTAATACACTTACTTTTGTGTAAGCTTCAATTTCGAAGATAATTTTAGCCTTTAATAATTGAATAAGCAAATGAAGAAATGAAAAGGACTTTAAATTGTCTCTTATATTAATTTTTTATTGTACCCTACACTTATACTAGTTGTACACCGGTATATTAACTTTCTAAGAATGTATGCAGCCGCCCGAAGAGCGCATTTTTTATTACACTAATCGATTCAGAAGCACTGTCTGCATCAATCTGGGCTTGTTTGTCCGTCTGTCCGCCTTGTGTTCTTGTATGCAACCTACAGGTCACAATTTTTGGGATATTTTGATCAAATTTAATACAAAATTAATATGCTTTGTCCCAAGGAACAGACCACTTTTTTGAGTACTTACCATACAACACCTGATTTTGATAAGCCATTAATAGCGTAGTGTGTTTAATGACGACAGTAAGGCTTTGAAATGGTGCCGATAGTGTTTATGTTAAGAACTACATAATGACCAAAGAATAACTTTCGTTACTTTTGAATTTGCTTGCATTGTCGGGCAAGGAATAAATTTGCATATAAAAGTTTTCTTACATATATTTTACATTTAGGAATTCAAAGTCCATACTACATGCACTGATACAAAGAAATGACTAATTGACAATTTATTACGCTCAATAGGTTTTAGATGAATAAATCCTTTCAATACAATAAAATTGAAAAAAAAAGACTAAAATAAAAACAATTAATGATGGCATCGGAGATCCTGCATATGGAAAATCCTTTTAAGGCTGTAATGCAGTTAATAATCGATTTAATAATTTTCTGGTTAAAAGCGATCTTTTACACGTTGGAATCATTGTATTATACATTAGCGCCTAATCGACTAAGAAAATTAAAGGTACGTCATAATTTTTCTGGTAAAACACGTATACTATATATAAATCTGGCTCAACGATAAACCAAACATGCGAATAAATTTAAAATATTGAAAACTGCAACCTCATGTTAAATACTTTGCAAATTTTCGTTGCTTAAAATGAAAAGAAAAAAAAAATCTTTTTGATTAATTTTTTTGAATAATTTTAAATATGTTGAAATAAAGAAACCGGATTTTTAGAAAAATTTGAAAGAAACCTAACTGGTTTATTTTCACATTTAATTTGAAAATATGAAAATTTTTAAGTTAAGTCTGTTGGTGTTTGTTTGGTAAGTTGTAACATTTAAAATGTTCGATCATGCTAAATACTCGTAGCCTCTACGATTTGGTTTTCTTACCTTGTTTACCCTAAAGAAATGGTTAACTTTCAAGACATTCAGATTATAATGAATCAGTCATTTCCCGAAAATGCAAGTTACAGAAAAATAGAACTGGGAGTTTTTCGTTTCAAGACACTGTCTTTAAGCTATAAGCTATATATAAAAATTATCACACCAAACATAATTTCTTGGAGCATTGAATAAAGGTAGTTGTGCGTCAGCAATTAAATGAAATTTGCGGGAAACTTTACTCTTCCGGATTAATTCAAAGGATAACGCAACTAAATCCCTATGAGGGATGATTTGTGAATGTGCCACAATATCCAAAGCCCAAATAACCATATAAAGAAAGATAATATCGGCGATAAGTTTGAGCATCCTTGATGACTAAGGAGGACTAAGGAACTGAGTTAAACCATCTTTAAGAAATACTACGTCCAATAATTTATGCGCAAAAAATGGGTGTAATATACCAAAAGTTTTGATATCGCGAGCTTTTAGTGTGAAGTAATTCGATTCCATCAGGAAATATTTGCAGTTCTAACCTGGATTGTCGTACTTTCCCCTCAGATATTACTTCTTCCGATTAACGCTCGTCTCAATAGGTTACTTATGGTTTGCTCGAACGGTGCTTCGATTCTTACGACGATGCACACATATGACTTTTTTTAGGGGTGGCCTTAAAGGACAAGACTTTTTTGGAGATGGAATAGCTAACGATGGGCCGTACTTGGAATAAAATGCATTGTACAAATTACAAAGGCGCATAGACTGACATGCTCAAATCGATGCAGAATTTGACGCTGAACAAAAATATTTAAATATTGTGTGTGGCCTCTAAAGTTTTTCTCAGGACGTTGCAAACGTTTTGACAAAGTGACTGTACTTCCACCCTTCGGTGGCGAGTATAAGAAATCATGAATAGAACAGTAAACGAACAATGTGCTCCGAATTTCACACCGATATAATAGGTGTGTGTTTGTATGCATATATTTATACAATTGGGGATTTTCTAATGCGTATTTTTACAGAAAGAAAAATTGGAATATATCGGCATTCTTTGGTTATGGCTATAAAAATATGTGTTTATTCGAAATTTTGTTTCAAGTTTATCAAAGTCAAAAAATACAGATCTAGCAATCAAATTAAGTGACAATCATTTTAAAATCCAATAGACTGCACCCAGTACAATTACTGTACTGTCTTTTCAAAAATGCTGTAACTGCTGTATAAAATAGGATAAATGATAGAATCTATGCAACTGTGATCACCAATAGCTAATATTACAACTTGCGCAACTACACCCTTACAACATCTAATATAACAATCGATGCGTGTATGCACGCCATGCATAATGTGGAAATTCATAAATCATAGATATTTCGGGCTGAATTAACACCTTTGTGCCTCTCCTGCCGTCAACGAAGAAAAAACTTTGATATCATCATATCTTGTGTATATCGAAAGTTTATAACACCCATACAATGTGTGTATATATATATAATTCTTTTTTATTTTTGATCATCTTCAATTTATTGTCTATCGGTATCACAAGCCAAATATTGACTTTTTAACATAATCTGATATTAAACTCATCTATAAGAGGCGCCATCGGCTCATAAAAATTCTAAAAACTATAAATCGAATCCTTTTAAACTAATGGTAGTCAATTTTTCCCCTCAGACCTATCTCAAATTTTATTTCATAGTTACACCAACATGATGTTATATAATAACAATATTATTATATATTTTAAAATAAATTTTTTGTTTTTTTGTATTAAAAAAAACCCAAAGCCAATATTTGTCTATAATTAGTAAAATTTAGTATTTTTTATGCATAGAAACTTTTCATTACGTTTGATGTGCTTTGGATACATAATATTAAAGCAATAGCTTGCGTTTACCAACATATTTGTGCGTTTCATTACAAACATTACGTTTACAAACCATGTTATCTCTCCTGTAATTATCACATATTATACTTTCTTCGGTTTCGTGTTGTATTTATTAAAAAATAACAAAACTAAATAAACAGTGGGCAACGAAAGTTCGATTTAAGCCGAATATAGTCTTTTTCACATTTTCAAATTCATTTGTTGAAGATGAAGCTCATGTCAGATTACATGTAACTACAATTTTTTTCTTTACAAATCATACATATATATATATATATATATATATATATATATAACGAAAATGTTGCCTCAAATTATTTTAAATTGCGATTCTGCAATGCACTTTCTAAAGTTTTTTGTAGTTATCCGTACTTTCGCTGCAAATCGTCACAAGATATGCTTAGTAAATGCATTGTAACGAATACAAGTAAGAGGTCATGAGAAAGTGAGTGAAAAGGGAAACTGGAAATAAAGACTTCATGCTATGAAACATTAACCAACGTTAACAACTACGATGCCAGTGTTGAATTTTATTGAATATAAATCACAAACTATGCGCTTCAAAGGAGTTTTACTTCCGCATTATCGTCGAACAATTATATACACATATATGCATTTACATATACATTTGACTACTGCGACACTACTGCAATGGATTACCTCCTAATATGGATAAAACATGATTCTTTTACATTTTAGGACATTTCTAGCCAAATCGTTTTAATTACCGGAGGAGGAGGAGGGGTTGGCCGACTTTTAGCATTAAGATTTGCAAAAGCAAATGCGATAATTGTTGTCTGGGATATAAATAGAGAAGGTAAGTACTAAAGATCACAAACCATCCAAAAACTAGACACTTCGCAGCAAAAAAAAAACACCGAGAGCAAAAGCGTTCAGTTTTTGTCACTTAGGCGTGTCGGTGCTGCAGGCATGTTTGGGTCATTTTCATTTTCTTTTGCAAATTTGTGAACGATGTCTACATTTTTCCGAGGAGGGAATGTTTACCATAGATATTATATATTTGAGCCAATGGACAGACGGACATGCTTAGAAGCATTCCGAACATAAACCTGAGCTAGATTTTATATACTTTATGGGTTTTCTAAAGCTTCCTTCTGGGCATTACGAAGGTATAGAAAGAAAATTTAATTTTGATACACTCTATTATTAGGTAGGCTTGGTTAATTTTTCCTACATTTATACAGGTACTACAGATACCTTCAAGAGATTGTTTGTAGGTTTATCTCTACTGTAGCTTATGAGTAATGAGCAAAAAATCAATTATTTATTTCTTTTGAAAAACAGACGTGTTTTCAGTTTATGTAGTGTCGACCCAATTGGCCCATTGGCTCATGCAAGAACTTCCAATATTTCTGCAAACTTTCAAGTCGATAGCTTGAGTTTTGCGACCAGGAGTATGTTTACAACAAACTGTACTTAGGCGGACAGATGGACATGCTTAAACCAATTCAGAATTGAATGCTGCCATATAAAAAGTAATCCGTAGCAAAAACACGCAGACGATTACAGACATTTCCGTATATCTTTCGAATTTCTCAAGTAATTGATAATACATGTGATCTTTGTAATCTTTAAATGCTGAACCATGAACACGATTAATTGCCCACTAAAGTGAGCGTATAAAATTTGGCGACTTTAAGGAATAAGCTCATATAAGTTAGTGTAATAATAATATATGTTCTCAATAATTCGTAAAAATTCCATACAACTGAGAATAAGCAACAACTGAGTTCGTTTACAATTCTCGATAATTTTGCATGTATTTGTATGAAACTTGCTGCCTTTAAATAATAAACATGAAATTTGCTGCCTTTAGAGAATAAGCAGAACAACGGTAGAAATAGCTAAGTATGATGTGTTATAAAACGAGGATGTTAAAGCTTTTGTAGTCCCAGCAGAAGAATATAAACATTTTAGTACGAAATTTTGAATCGATACAAAAATGTTTATATTATCTGTATAACTTCAATTAAAAGTCAAAGAATACAATGAACCTTACTTTCTCAGTTCGCTTCTATATATGTAACACATCACCAATGTGGCATTTTTCCTTTACTTCCATGCAAAAATGTATATGTAAACGAATAGAATTTCCAGGTTTGTGTTGCCTTACTATGCAACCAAAAATTTATTTTATTATCTTTTGTTACTTTTTTTAAATTGAATATACAAAAATAAAGTTTCTTGTATATCTTATTTTTTTACATAAAAACAGCTAAATACAAGTATATATAAAAATTACTGTCAGATACTTTTGTTAATTATAGGCAAATAATCTTATAAATCAATAAATCAATAAAATCAATACCGTGCAGCAATTATCAAAATATTGGCTAAACAACTGATCGTTGACAGTAGCACTCATAAGAATCAATTTCAGGTCGGATCGATGGGGTAAAATCTAAATTAACAAAATATTAGTTAACACTAAAGATTTAGAGAGAGTCGTATAATTAAGAAGAAACAAAATTAAAAATCTATTATTAACATATTTGAAAATTGAATCTTGCTAACCCCGCAATGGTTTGTTTATTAAGAGGAAAGAGGAGTATTGAGCTTCAAACGAAGGTTGTATGAATGTTTTATGATCAATTACATAGAGAGACACAGACACAGATTGATAACGGACAGGCAAGGTTAAGCGGTTTGGATCGACCGGATGCACGCAAATTCCGTGAGCACTTGCTGGATATCAAAAAATCCGTAAAAAAATTTCCTAAAAGAATTAATTATGTAAAATGCGATTCCCAAAGTTCTGCTCTGAAAAAGTATTAATTAGTATAGTTTTACTAGCACGCAAGCGTTCATTCTAAACATATCGTTTCAGCTATTCAGACTACAATTGATTTGTTGGCAAAGTATGGCATCCACAATTGCACTGGTTATACTGTCGACATCTCTAATCGCGAAGAAGTGTACCGAAAGGCTGAACAAACAATATCTGAAGTTGGACATGTAGATATACTTGTGAACAATGCCGCAATTGTATGCTGTCGACCATTTTGGGATTTACCCGATCGTGTTATACAAAACACATATAACGTTAATATAATTGGGCAATACTGGACTGTAAAGGCGTTTTTGCCCTATATGATGCATAGAAACAATGGACATATCGTCACAATTAGTTCTGTTACCGGAATGTTAGGCACATACGGTTGCGTAGACTACAGTGCCACCAAATACGCCTGCATAGGTTTCCATGAGAGTCTTTTCACTGACTTGAAGACTCACGGTTATCACGGCATTCAAATGACGCTTGTCTGCCCGTATTACATTAACACAGGAATGTTCAACGGTGTTCGTCCGCGACTAGTTCCGATGCTGGAACCCCAATATGTAGCCGACAAGATTGTTGACGCTGTTCGCAAAAATGAGGTTTGGTGCGTTTTGCCAAATTCCATACGCTTGCTAACGCCGTTGAAATGGTAAAAAAAGAAAATACATTCCATTTATACTATTAATGGAATATGTCATTCTATATTTCAGCTTATTGCCTGCAAAAGTATGTTGGGAATTAATGTCCCGTGTGATTCGTGGACCCGATTCAATGATGATGTTTGAGAGAAGAGGTTGTTTGGCCACTGGTTGATTTACTCATTCAAAATTCGCCTATGTATTCATTATTATTTAGACGTAACTATGTAGACATATTTACACGTAATTATTTTAAATGTAAATAAAATTAAAATCACATTTTGTTACCAAAACCAACACTCTTTATTTATATATCCATGATCACGTAGTTATTCTTTTTCGTACAACATACATATTATTCTTCTTTTCCATAAAATAATCTTCCTTGTTATTTAGGGATGACATCCGATATTCCTTAGCTGCTTAATGCAGCAAAGTTCACAAGTAAATTTTCGTTATTCTGCAATATAAATGTGGGAAGGATTTCTATTAACAAAACATGATGCCAGAGAACGTCTATTTGTTATACAAGAATAAGTCAGATTTTAATAAAACTTGATAAATCAGTCAGGAATCAGATGTCCCTATCGTGTGTATTCATCACGTATTCAAACCTTTGAAAATAGTTTTACATTACATTGGTACTGTACCTGCCGACATTTCTGAGAACTCGGTTTGAGACACCGGAGATTATGACATTTTTCAGCTAAATTCGTTTAGCAGCTAACGTCTTCCTGCTAATGATCGATTCGTTCGTGGAGATATCACGTAAGCTCGAGTTCTTCTGTAAAATCAACAAATATTTCTTGTAATGAAACATTTTATATGAAAATGTTGCATGGTTTTATAAATATAAGAGGAATCAGATTTTAACGAATTTTGATAAATCAGTCATAGAATTCAGTTGTCCCTATCATAAATTGCATCATATTCTACAGCCTAGAAATCTATTTAATGGAATATTACTTTTGTACCTGCGTCATTTTTAGGAAGCCCGGCTAACCCACACTTCCAAGGATTGACATCGATTGAAGTGCGCAGCTGCTCTTTATTGTACCATGCGTAGGAAAAAAATTGTTGATCCGTTTGGGTTTCTTGCAATTATTAACAACGACAATGCTAAGCTCCATACAATTAATAAGTTCAGTACTTCATAGAGTTCATTTGAAATATCTGCATATCAGTCCTACAATTCCATTAATTGTAGATTATCAATAACGAAAGAGGATTTAAGAGAGACTTACCGTTCAATTAAAAGATTTCTTTATCTTTTCCCATTTTTTTAATGCTATTTAAAAACCCAAGTATCAATTTGTGATTTTTAATATATTCGTATATTATTAGTGTATTTGCTAACCGCAATATTAAATGCAAGCAAGGAAACAACTATTTTTAAATTGTACATATCGTGGCAATCTAGTCACGTGGTCACGTTCAATCTGAAAAACGAAAGACACACTTTATTAGATTGTTACGTTGCGTGTGCATAAGCAACCAAAGCAAAACCGAGAGTTTGCATATGCGATATATCGTTTTATTGTGTTAGTTAATATATTTTCAATAATATTAATTTGAATTTTATTAACATCAGAGAATTAGCTTATTCTTTTCGGCTAGTTTTTATATAAATTCATTTCTTTAAATTATTTGAGAGATGAGAAATGAAGGATAGCTAATATTGAAAAAAAATTAAAAAGAATAATAGAATTATTATTTATAAGAGTTGTAGGGAAGAAAGTTAATTGAATAATTTTTCTTAGTCCTATAATGGTATTATCAAAACTTAAAACAATTAACTTGATTCGTTTGTTGATATTGCATTTTTTTTTTTTTTTGTTTTTAATAAAAAATATGTTTTTACTTTTTAATTTTATAAAAACAAAAATTTCAATTTCAAAAAATGTGTGGTTTGAAACTCTTTTATTTACAAAGTAAATTCAGCTCTCTTTTGACATAATTCTATTTCTGAGAGTAAAATTTACTTTACTGTGCATTTCTTATGGAAACCTTGAAAAACTGCTGAGAATAAAATTCTATTTCTCAGTGTTATATATACATTGATACAAATGCAAAAATATGCTGAGAACTGAATAAATGTTGCTGCAAGAAATATCGATACGTTTACCACACTAATCCAAAACCAAAAATACAGCAATGTAAAAAAAGGGACTGTTTTATTCTTAATTCTAATTGTTTCCAACCATGGTGATGTTGTAAAAATAATGCGACACTATTCAAGCAAATCCCAGCTGTAGACAAAAGTAATTTTTTTGTGAAGTTTTGTATACATATATAAACAAATATATCTGCTTTTGACCCATTCTCTCAACTGATCACTAAGGCCAGCAAAATGCCAATTTGATAAGTTATCTTTCATTTCTCAAGTATGTCGTTAATAGTGCTGAAAAGTGCCGTTTACTAAGGTACGAAATTTTTCCTTCCATCTTCTGAATAATTGTATTTTTAAACCAATGTTATGGTTATTGAATTGAAAATTTATCTAACCAATATTTTTTTTAGTGTAAAGTTTGAAAGGAACACGTCACTTCACATATTTTGACAATTCATAACAACAATCACAACAATCACCTTCCTATTTAGCCATATAGTCTGTTTTGTAGTTTGCTAAATTTCTAAAACGGCTCTCAAACGGAATAATTAATTAAAAACAGATTAAATCCAATGAACACTTGAATACGATCAAAATCGGGCTAACATGAACCACAATAAAGTAGAAAACTATGTAGAAAACGTAGATTTTTTGGAGAATCGCGATGCGGTTGTGAAGTGCAATGTAGTGAAAAATAGTTTAGATGATCTGGTACAATACATGACACTTTATGTTCGAAATCCTGTGTTGCTTAGCGGCGTGATATTGCCATTTGTTCCTCTTTATTTGCTGACATTTTATTTTTGGATTGTCGTGTACGGTATTGAGGAACATCATGAAAGCTTTCTGATTGCCGTGGCTGTCATAGCATTTGTCCATGTGCTTACTCTTCTGTGTTGCTATTGGAGCGTACATGTATTGGCTTTTCTAAATTGCCGTAAAGTTAAAGTACCTAAAGAAGGTGTGCTTGTCAAAGTAGTACCTACTCCAAATAACGGATCTTCTGAATTGGTGCCGATACGGTTGGCGAAATTGTCAGATGGACAAGAATTGTATTATTTTCACTTTCAGAAAATTAAATACATTTGGGATGAAAATAAAGCAACATTTCGAGGCATTGACTTCCCTGTTAGTGAAACGCTGCTGCATTATGCCAAGTCGCGCGGTTTAGAAACCGAGGCCGCAATAACTCTGGCCGAACAGATGTATGGTAATAATGGAATGGAAATGGTTGTTCCCGAATTTTACGAACTTTTTATAGAGAGGGCTACGGCACCATTTTTCGTTTTTCAAATATTTTCGGTTGGCCTGTGGTGTTTGGATGAGTACTGGTACTACTCCCTGTTTACGTTGTTCATGTTAATCGTATTTGAATGCACTTTGGTACAGCAACAGTTGCGCAACATGTCTGAAATACGTAAGATGGGCAACAAACCTTATTTAATTAACGTATACCGCACCAACAAGTGGCGCCAAATCGCATCAGATCAATTATTGCCTGGAGATTTGGTTTCAATAACCCGTACGCATAATGAAAATCTAGTGCCGTGTGATTTAGTGCTATTGCGTGGAAGCTGTATAGTAGATGAAAGCATGTTAACCGGTATGTTTGAGTGTTAATCACTTTAGATGAGAATTGATGTATTGCTTCCTTACTAATGGTTCTGTTAACAGGTGAATCCGTGCCGCAAATGAAAGAGCCTTTGGAATCTTTAGATAATTTTCATGCTAACTTGGACGTGGAAGGAGAAGGAAAATTGTTCGTGTTATTTGGTGGTACGAAAGTTGTGCAGCACACCGCACCTTCTAAGGAGGCTATGCGCGCTCCGGATAGTGGCTGCATTGGCTACGTTATTCGAAACGGATTCAATACATCTCAAGGCAAATTACTACGTACAATACTATTTGGAGTGAAGCGCGTCACTGAAAACAATTTAGAAACTTTTGCATTTATAGTATTTTTAATGATATTTGCCGTTGCTGCAGCCTCGTATGTCTGGATAAAAGGTGGTGAAGATCCAGAACGCAACCGTTATAAACTCTTTCTGGAATGTACTCTTATATTGACCTCAATTATACCACCGGATCTCCCAATTGAGCTGACATTGGCAGTGAATACATCATTAATACAACTTTCAAAACTTTTCGTTTTTTGTACGGAACCATTCCGCATTCCTTTCGCTGGTAAAGTGCAGATTTGCTGTTTTGATAAAACTGGCACATTGACTTCCGATAATCTGATGGTAGAAGGAGTTGCTGGTTTATCTAAAAGCAGTGAAATCGTTCCAATGGATCAGGCTGAAGAGACAACAATTCAAGTTTTGGCGACATGCCATTCTTTGGTAATGCTTGAAGATGGGTTAGTGGGCGATCCGTTAGAGAAAGCCACCTTAACCGCAGTAGATTGGAATTTAACTAAACAGGAGAGCGTAATACCTAAACGAGGCAAACTGAGACCATTGCGTATTTACCAACGGTTTTACTTTTCTTCCACCTTGAAACGTATGTCAGTGCTTGCGGGTTATTTGGCGCCATTCAGCAACGAGGTGTGTTATATTGGTACTGTTAAAGGAGCGCCGGAAGTTCTAATGAACATGCTTAAGGAAATTCCAAAAAATTATGAGCAGGTTTGTGTTTTGCAATTTTGCCCACTCTCATTATTAGACTTTACAAGTAGCTAAATTATTGAGCAAAATAGCCACAATTTGTCAAAGTACATGACATGAAAGATTTTCAACGTGATAACGCTCCGTCACATGTCGTGCTAACCGCCCAGCGTTAGCAGTCTGCAGTTTGCTATTTTCTTCGCACATTCGGAAATAATTATACCCTACGTGGGTTGTATAAACATTCAAAACTTAAAGTAGATCCGCCTGTTCGTCCATTTGGCTTCTGATGGGTATTTTTGTGTTCAACCTATTGGTCAAGGGCGACGAAAATTAATTGAATGGACCCCTGCCCGCATAAACTTATTTTATAAAAAATTGTGCAATTTTAAAAAATTTTTGCACCAAAATGGTAAAATAATTCCTTAATTAGAGTGTGGAAATTTGGATGAGATGGGTCAATGAAACATAAGCTTTTGCAGGGCAGAAAAGTGTAAGTGTTAACTTTTTATGATAAAAATTGGTTTATAACAGTTAACTGTAGCGAATTTATGCGATAAGAAGGTCTTTGAGAAGAAAACTAACTATTGGTAAACTTGGACCACGTCAGTTCGAGTTTTGGGATTGGTATTTTATTATGAAAATAAGCGTAGAATCCTTTTATGTAAAGTCGTGTAGATTGTTCAGCTGGCCACATATAATATTTTTAATGGCTTTCGTTTGTTTTAATTATATCTCTCCGTTTCTTTTAGATTATATTGGATACATACAATCGATAATTTTAATTATTGTTTGTTTTTAGCATTTTAGTATATAGATAGATAGATAGATAGATAATTTGTGTAATGGAAACAATTTCTTCAAATTTTGCATTTGTTGTTGTCTTCATAACCTTTCAGACTTTCTTAGAGTATTCGCGGCGAGGTGCCCGTGTTTTGGCTCTAGGAATTAAAGAATTTGGTAATATGAGTAATCAGCAAGTGCGTGAATTGAAACGAGAAGATGTCGAAAGTAATCTTATATTTGCCGGCTTCGTAATTATCTCATGCCCTATGAAGCCTGATTCGAAAAATGTCATTAAAGAGCTCATTCAAGCATCTCACAAAGTGGTAATGATCACTGGTGACAATCCTCTGACGGCATGTCACGTAGCAAAGGAATTACGTTTCACTCGCAAGAAATTGTTAATACTGTCCTCATGTTCGAAGGAGAAGAACGACGAATGGCAATGGATATCCATTGATGGAGAAACTATATTCAGCTTTCAGACGCCTCTTAAAAACATAATTATTAGTCACGATTTATGCATTACCGGCGAAGGCCTACAATACCTAAAGGAATATCAACAACCGTATATGATGAAAATACTGCCACGTGTCACAGTATGCGCCCGTTTTGCTCCAAAACAAAAGGAATTTATTATAACCACACTGAAGCACTTGGGTTATTGTACATTGATGTGCGGTGACGGCACTAACGATGTGGGTGCTCTCAAACATGCCAATGTAGGGGTGTCATTGCTCAGTAACGCTCCAATTAGAAAAAACAACGTTAGTAGTGGGCCCCAAAATGCGGTGGCACCAATTGCTCCTACTACACGTACAGCTAGTAAATCGGGAAACGCACCAACCGGTCGGTCGAGTGCGTCTAGCAATGAACGCCAACAGTTGACGGCGCGCGATAGGTTATTACAGAAGCGAGAACAACTTGCTCAAGCCCGTTTACAATCAGCGCTTAAAGAAGTTGATGATGAACAAGTATCAGTAGTAAAATTAGGTGATGCAAGCATTGCAGCTCCATTCACTAGTAAATCGTCGTCTATATTATGCGGTAATTCAAATTAAATATTGCAACTTATTACAGAAATTTGAAAAGTTATTTTCGATCTATTAAATTTTAGTTAACCACATCATCAAACAGGGTCGATGCACTTTAGTGACAACTCTGCAAATGTTCAAGATATTAGCTCTAAATGCCCTCATATCAGCGTACTGTCAGTCTGTTTTATATATTGATGGTGTCAAATTTAGTGATACTCAGGCGACTTTACAAGGACTCTTTATAGCCATATGTTTTCTATGTATAACAAGATCGAAGGTAAGGTTCGCTTTGTGAAATATTCGATAAATAGAATCTTTGCGCATAATATTTATTCAATTGCAGCCTCTTAAAACGCTTTCAAAAACAGCACCATTACCGAATATATTCAACCTTTATACAGTTTCCACAATATTGCTTCAATTTGCCGTGCATTTTAGTGCACTGTTTTATTTAACAAACGAAGCCACCGCAAGAGCACCACCCAAGTAAAGCTGATGCAATGAAAAATAAATATTTATAGAATTAATTTTCTTAACTTAATAGAGAAGGCAAAGTGAAATTGTACATTGACATGAATCCCGAGGAGAAAACACATTTTGAACCCAACATAATCAACAGCACTGTGTACATTATATGCTTGGCTCTGCAAGTCTCGACTTTCGCTATCAATTACAAGGTAAGCATAATTTTTATTATCAATCTAAAGAGATTTCATTACTAAAAACAAAAAAAAACAAAAAAAAAAAACGTTTTAGGGTCATCCGTTCATGGAAAGTTTGAAAGAGAATCGTTTACTATTGTACTCAATCTTAATACCCACCGGTTTGGTAACTATGTTATCTCTAGGTCTATCGCTCGATCTAACTAAAACATTTGAAATTGTTGAATTCCCAAATGATGTACGTATCCATTATTAAATGAATTATTAATTATTAAGATGACAAATGAAACGCATTATCATTTTCAGTTTCGTCAGATTTTAATTTATGTTTTACTGGCCGATACAATAGCCGCTTACGTCGTCGATCGCATTTGTTCATTCCTTTTCGGTGAGACCCGAAGAAAATCAAAAGTATTGAATTGTTAAAACATTGGCGTAACGCTGGACTGATTTCTAAGTTTTTCTCTCCACTTTAACAAATTGTGTTTTAGTCAAATTGTTTATTATCGCGAAGAAATTTGATGCTTGCGCAATAATCAATGTTAATATAATTATACACCAAATTCAGATGGGACGGAATATTAATAATAATAATGAATGATAATATTAAAGAAATGTAGAAAAATTTAACATTTGCGAACATGTTTGTCATTTTAAAAAGGATGAAAAGAGAAAAAGAAAGATTTATGTAATTTATATGTTTATATATTTACCATTTTGTGATTCTATATCGCTTTTCTATTGAAAGATTATTAAATATATGTAAAAATATGAATGAATTTCTATACATGTTTGTATCGGTGTTCGTCAATAAAATTGAAAAACCAATTTGACTTTTATTTCACTGTCCATGATTAATGTTTTCCTCTAGTTGCTTAAATTGCATCAATATAACTAAGTAAGTTGTCACTGCTGAAAATATCTAGAAAGAAATAAGAGATCCATTATACATATAATTCAATAACATTTCTAATATCTCGTTAATCTTACATTAAATAATGTTCTATTGCTGATTGTAAAAAAGCCTCGAGCCGTAAATTGTACTGGCTGCCCAATGCGGCTTGTCAGGAAATTGTCAATCTAAACGAAAATGTGATTAAATGTATAAATTTAGCAAAAGATAATGGGAAATATATGGATCTAAGGAAAAGTGGGCGGAAGAGTGTACAATTTGCACGTCTAGAATGAAAACTGCAAGGTTGCGTAAAGCTCATTCTATACGTTGAAGAATGTTGTAAGAGTAAGTTGCATATTTTGTTGGGAATGTTCGGTATATATAGTAGGTATTTTTGTGAATCAATTATGATTATCTTTAAACTTAATATTTATCCAAATGCTAGAAATATTTACACCAAGAACTGAGAATTGAGAAAGAAGTCGGAAATTTAGATACGTATCACATAATTATTAGAAAGAACTAAAAACTTTTCCTCATTTTATCCTAATGTTCCCAAAAAGAAGCCTAAGAGACTCTATAAAGTGTATATATGTTGACTTCAAATTTGATAGTGGAAATTGGGCAAATTGGTCAGAGCACACGCACGCAGTAAAGAGTTTAGTAAACTAAACGCGACTTTGCTTCTGTAAGAAAATTTTTTGCGTTTTTGCTCATTACTCCAAATTATAATAAAAAAAAAATAGAACGCTGAAGAAGGCCTTTCTACATTTACTTTACGAAACACTTTGCTATGCATACGCAAAAATGAAAAAAATCGGAAATGTCTCCTCGCGGTTGTAGGTGACTTAATGTCTTTTTATAGCACTTTCCTTATTATACTCATAAGGCAAGTAAGACGAGAATGTTTAATCACAATACCGTCAATATTAATATCACATAAAGAGAGGGAAAGAGTAAAATGCGCCAAGCTAAGTAAGTGAATTCAAAGTTAGTTATAACGGACGTCGCGACTTCATGGATTAATTGTGTTAATTTTCCCGCCATAATACCGTCGATATGGTCATCAAATAAAAGGACCAAGTGCACCAAGTTAAGTATGCTAATTCTTAAATAGTTATAGTGGACGTCTTGACGTGCTGGATTAATTTTTTCTGAAGAATAGCTTTTAGTGAACCAAAAGGCGTAAGATAAACGGTGTCCCATTCACCTTTTCCATAATTGTAAATGAAGGAACGGGGACAAAAAAATTGTAATGGTCACGGGTATGCAATATTCCTCCCCGGCCGAATATAACTTTATACTTGATTAATAAAAGTTACTAGCAAGCAGGTGCTTCACGTTGAGTATAATTTCTCATTTTTGCCCTTCAAATTGAGCCCATCTATTTGTGGTGTCCAGTGCCGAATTCTACTAAAGCCCTACTATAAACTTTTTATAACAAATTTTAAACTTTCAATTCGGGACAGGGGCACAGTTTAGGGTAAGTAAAATTACTAACGGCCTAATCCAACGTTGATAAGAAGTATATCTCTTGGGAAATTTTGATGTTTAAGTCTTGAAATTTTATTCACCCTTGTAGTGTCGTGACGGTTCAAAAATTAATTAATTAATTAATTAATTAATTAATAAAACTTAATACTTACAATATTTTGATTCGTCTTTTCTGCAATGTGAATTCGTGCCAATATTTGCGGAAACAAGTTAGCCTAAGAAAGGGAAATGATGATCGTTAACTAAGGGATTTTAACGTATTTTACATTGCTAGTTTGAAACACCTTTCTGGCCACCAGGTTGAAACAGTGGCATAGCAGGATTAACAAAAGCGTGTGCATAACCACAATAATAAAGGATAATGAGACTTTTGATTGGCTTATTTCCTGCGGGCTAATAATCCAAACGAATATGTAATAGGTCTTGCTTGCGATGGCGAAGAAAGCGTGACCGACATAAAAAAGTAGGATAAAAGTGCAATAGTCGCTAATGAAATTGTGGATGCGCAATAATTTGCGGTACATTTGCAATACGAAGCCAAGCACACGGGTATGCGAAGATGTTCGATTTTGGACCGTTCTCTCATATATGCCGCATGTGAATGTTGTAGTAATGTTGTTTAGATAATTGAATTGCGTTGCAACCGTACGCATTAGTGATGAAATAAAAATAATATATAAATCTGGCACGATTTTCTGAAAACCATACAGTATAGCTTGTATGCTTATGTGAAATGCAGGCGACACATCAATGGCAACGATTTTCAAAATGATCACACAACACTGCAGCGTTAACATAATTATAGTGAAAGTGATTGAGAAACGAGCCTCGTTCGCGTCAACACATTTCCCATATTCTTTCATTTCTTCGTAAATTTTCAAGATTCCATTAATAATTTTTTCAAGTAACTGATAGTGTTTCGTGCAAAACCATATTGTTACGATGTAGTGAAGAAAGTTTAACGAGCTGTCTATCCATTGAGGCTCGTCGCTTGTTTCCATGGCGGTTATCAAGTGTAGATTGTATAAACTGTAGACAGGTATTACAAGCATCAGAAATCTCATTACAATGGTATATAAAGTTTTTGTTGGCGATCCTAACTGGTATGATGATGCAGTCCCATATAACGGTATTAAACTAATAATTTTCAATGGAAACATTATAATCCTTAAATCATTTAAAATCGTATAATTTTCTTGGCTGATTGGTTTTACTTTTGCGCTCCATTTACGTACAACTTGAGACTTGAGACTACGAACTTTAAAGTACATCTTCGAGAAGCGATTAACGTAACTACACTGTTATTAACATTTACACTTCATTTTGTTGTTCTTCCACAAAAGTGCATTAAGACAATTGAATTTTTATCTTTCTATACTAAATTATGCATAAATTTAATTATACATGTAATTAGCTGGAATATGTAACAGTCGCATATCATCAATGTCGCAAGTGTTTATTATTGGGAATTAAGTTTCGTTGTGCAGCACCCTATTGTCACCTAGAAGTTGAATATGTTGATATATCATCAGGTTGTGGTCGAAAAATCGAAACGAGTTTAAAGTCATGGAAAAGAAAAAAAAAACTCCTCTAAATAAGAGAAATTCGATCGATATCGTCCGTGTTTCCTGTGTGTGTGTGTTTCAGCTTTATAGCTCTGTACTTTGTAGTGCATATAATACATAATATGTAGGTTTAATTTTTATCCACTTTGATGATTCTAACCAAAAGTGAATGGGTTGGCGATCTAAACACACCAACCACGATCTTGTGTTAGAACGAAGTGACCGTTCATTTACATCTTACATTTCATCAATGGTCAAATAAAAAGTTCGTGATGTTGTCAATAAAATTTCAACCCATTTTTGTTGGCTTTTGAGCAGGTTCTATTAAAACAGACATATATATCCTTCTGATGGAAAACATTTTGTCCTTGTTCTGGTAATACCATAGTATAAAATTTCTCCTATTTATGGATTTGAACTGGATCAAGTGATTTTCCAAGACCTCTTTTCAAGAAGAGAATTTTGCGGCGAGCAAAACAAATGTTAATCGAATACAGCGAGATCGGGATTACCCGGTTTTTGCATTTCCCAGCAAAGTATTTTTTTGCGTGAAGTTCAGTTACCCTTACCGTATATTAGACACTTTTCATCGTTGTTAATATTTTTGAAAAAAATCTTGATTTCCTTTTTGCATCGATGCTGTTCCAGTTTTTTTATTGGTAATTCAATATTTCGTTCCTCAAGGATGTTATAAAATGAATTGTCAAAATACTTGCCTCGCCCATTTTTTTGAAGAATTTTATCAATTTTGTCAATAAGTGGTCGATCAGCGATCGTTGGAAATGGAAAAAGATAAATTCCTGATTTTGATAAACCATATTCATCATGAACGCTAAACACATGGGCTTTATAAGCCTGCGAAGACTTATCTCTGAAGTGGTGCATTGGAGTATGGAGCGGATTGCTTTTAGCTCATTTTCAAAACACAATTAACATATTTGGTTTGCTTTTGTTTTTATACCCCACATCATTTATGGTCCAAGATATATTAAGCTACATCAGGGGCATAAGACTTTTGACCCACTTTTTACTACACCGATCGATTCAGAAAGTGATTCTGAATCAGTCTAAGTGTTCGTGATACTGATTACTATTTTTGATATATTTGGAAGCCCTTAACTCATTCTTTCGGGTATTGCAGAGAAGATCAACATTTCCATTTATGTAAAGTGTTGACGCTGTTGGAGAGCTGATAGCGAATAGTTTAACGAACGAAAGAACATTGCAGAGAAATATAAAGAAGCGAGAGACAGTCGTTAAGTCCAAGTAGTCGAGTCGAAGTTTTAAATTCACACAGTTGTCAAGCAGATGTCGTCGACGAGCCAAGTTGTAAACTCTTACAAGCGTTACACATATTTTGCTTAATTTTATAGATTCCTTATATATATAGACAATTTTGATTTTAAAATACTTTTCAATTCTTTACTTTCCTGATGCGCATTTATCAACACTTGATGATTTTTGAATTTGAAGTTTTTTATTTTGTTTTGTTTTCTTTTTTAATGAATTTATATGTAATTAAAACTCAGAAGAATTTTTTCTAACTGATCGTTGTTGTAAAATAGCTTTAAAATTTTAAAAATGAATAAAATTATTTTGTGCTATTATTTAATTACGGTTATAATTGTTGGAGCTCTCTTGGGCTTTTCATATCTTCTTTATTTGTATTTAAGCATGGATGATAATTGGTCTGAGAACACTGATCAAAGCTTAAATTTTACAAATACTCCTGGCTGGTCATGAAAAATGTGCAAAAAATTGTTATGAAAAATTAGAACATTAAGATTACGATTTATTATTGTTACTTCAAGCTGATGATGGGACGATGGGATTCGCCTTATTTATATAATCGGGGAATGCAGAACTTTGTGAAAGCATTGAAGCTTGCAAAATATCAAAGGCAATTACAATTAATCCAAATATTGATTATGTCGGGCATATCTTCTCCCATTTAGTTTCGAACTGCTTTTTGGTTAGTCCACATGCAGACTAAATCGAATTTATTCGGGAAACCATTTTGAAGAAGACTCAAGTTTTTTGTTTTTCGCTGCCCAAACCACTATGGAGGCAATAGCAGAAGGGCCGAGATAAAGAAATATTATGGAAATGAGGCATTCCGACTTAAAAGAGGCATTCGCATTTCATCCAAGTATTTTCAATATTTTTATCAGGTATCAAAATTTATTCTAATGCCTTTTGATCAGAAATTAAGCTCATAATAGATTTTCTTTTTTCAACAGGTTCCATAGTGTCGGTAATTACTTTAGAATATGGAGACCTTACTTTTTGCGATAAAACCAAACTGGCGATAACACATACTTAAATCCGATGGCAATGCTAACTAATTCGATCACGACCAATTGTTGACGTTAGACGTTTGCTCAATTCGGCATTTTTAACAATTTTCCCTTATATTTGTTATTAATATAACTAACTGAACTCAAAGTGTATTATAACGACAACGCTGCTTGGCGCGCAAAAGATTATTATTTGCTTCCTATTTTATAAGAAATATTAGGTAGGTTTTGTAGTCCTAAGACTTCTGAAATGCTAGCGGAATTCAGTTCGTTTCATATACGATTCGCGAAGTGGAATCTTTATATATACGACAATTGATGAATAAACTCTTTTTGATGTAGTTAAACATTTTCGTCGCAACACAGCTTTTGAATAAAGGTCTTTTAAATGATGAAGATTGGCAAGCTAACCATTTCGGACAGACCTTTCAAAGTGCAAGTGAAGATCTAATTGATATTGCAACGAACATAAATCCCGTTGAAGTTAATGTAGCGGCTGCTGGGGTTAATCATTATACAGGCAGACAGAAGGAGAGACGGACTTGGTTAAACCGATGCAAGGTTTGATGCTGATTAAGAGTGTGCACGTTATATAGGATCTGTGCAGTTCCCGTCTGAACTTTGCACCGACTCGCCATCCTCTTATTAGATTATAATTTATGAAAATGTAGTTTTTTCTCTTTACATTAGTTCGTTTAGGGTACACGGGGTGAGTCACAACTGCACTTATTATTATTATTATTATTAATTTCGCCAGAGAAATAAATTCTAAGACTAAAACTCTTAAAAGCACTAGCGTCTAAGGCTATCGGCTTTTTATTAAAAACTCTACCGCACTTGAGATTCGAACCCACGACCATTGACTTGCTAATCGAGATTCCTCCCCTTCGGCTACTCAGGCGGATAAATTTTTTTAGTTGTTTCCCTATTTCAACCTCATGCCGATTCTGTCATGCCTTTTGTGATATCAAAACGTCAAACAAGTCGCGATGGCAATTATTTATCTTTGTCCGTGAAGCCTGTTCGCACGAATGCAGTTGAAAAGCGAGACATCAATTTAAAAGCAGGTACTTGCGAATAAAATATTTCATCATCTTATTCTGATCGAAAAGGCACAAATGAATCGTGGTACACATGGTATAGGAAAAGGAAAACGGACTGAAATGGTCTGGTTTCACCACAACAATCCACGGTGTCTTAAGTTGATGGCTACAAAAGTGAAATTTGAAGAATTCAATTTTGAATTGCTATATAATCCATGGTATTACAGATCTGTCCATGATTGGCCATTAGTCATTGTAAAAATTCAAGCGTATCATAAAGGTCTTCCCAAATGCTTGTATAAAAGAGGCATCGAAATGTTAGGCCAGTGTTGCATTGGTTGGACCACCCTTGATAAAAAAAAATTAATTTAAGTAACAACCTTTTTAGAAGGAAACATGTCGAACAACCTTCGAATAGTTAAGCCAAAGTCTACGCACTATACTTATGGTTAACTAAGTGTACAAAGGGAAAAGTAGAAATTAAAAAATTGTTTTTATACCTATCGCTGATAAATGAAAGGAGATGGATGTGACAAATGTTTGTGGTTTCGTCAAAATGTAACATCCAGCAGAAAGCTTCAGAGGTCCCACAAAGTTCATATTTTCATGATTAGCATCTTAAATTCTAAATATGTGCTATGTCCTAGCGTCCGTTTACGGTTCTCGCTTTATGCCCGCAGTGTCGATGTGGATGGCTCTTCTGGAACACTTTTCCCCTTGGAATTATCGTAATAGAAGCATTTTTCATCGCCAATCACTATACACCACAGAGAAAACTTTTTTTTTTTTGTCTGGCTAGCAACTAAACTGGGATGTTGAAACGGTCCCAAGTCGAATTTTCATCCACTTCGCACGGTAGGCATCCCACACCCGCTCCGCTTCCCGTCCCCGTCCCCATGCCTTTTTTCGACCTTTCCCAACGAACGTAAACGACTAGGAGCAGAAGCGCTCCCCAAAAGTGCTTTGAGAGATTGAGCTGGAATATACTAAATCGAAAACCGTGATTTTATGCAAAGAAAGGTCAAAATAATTGAATTTAACCATTATGTCCGTTGATATTTCGCTTTATCATTTTCATCAATAGATGTCGTTGATCGAAATACTTGCAAGCAACTAATATGTTGTTCTTCTAATATTTCCCACGACCGCCGCTCTATGGTGGAAATTTGCTTGAGTCTTGTCACTGTAGATTTGTAAAAATCATCTGTCTTTCTAATTGAATGGTAGTCGGTCGCCCTTGCCTGACTATCCACCAAACCACATTTCCAAAGTACAGAGTTTGTAGTAATCCCATATTTCCATTTGTTGTCATTCCGCCGTCTCTTTATCTTTATCTTAGTTTCTCAAAATTATTTTTTATATTTCATCTTGAACTTCACGCATTATTTACAGTTCATTTTGTTTAAAAATAGAAAAGTGGAAATGTTTGTCTTTTCTTTTTTATTTTTTTTTTTTGTAGAATTTTTTTGAAATTTGAAAAATTCTAGTAGAAGACATGGTTACATTTGCAAAATTTGCGAATATTGAGTCCTCAAAATGGTGTATTTTGATATGTGCCTTATTCATTCTCAGCGTCGTTTCCGGTCTATCGCATTATTTGTACAAATATTTTGATGGCAAGAATTACTATCATGGGGATCCAGTGGATATCAAATCGAAATCATATTTTATTGACACGCCCGGATGCAGATTAATGGCGTTGAATGTTATGAACGATCAATTAAGAAAATATATTAAGAATCTTGAAAAGCCCTATTGCGGCACACGTTTGCTGCGTATCAGCAAAAATGGTTCACAATTATGGATCAATGTGGACGAAAAAGGACTATTAAAAATGTACAATGTCACAAAATTGGAAGATATTTTGTGCATTTATTCTATATTTGAGCGCAGAACAGATTTTCAAAACATAATTCGCGATACAATGGCCTTTAAATTGAGTTATCGGGAACCAGTTAATCTAAAAAAGGACATTGACCTTTTGCGAGTGGAATGTTGGCGTGAAAAGGTATTAATTAATATACCAAGATTGTTTTTACGTTTTAAACCGTACAAAGCTAAATGACTCTACGGAAGGAGAAGATGACAAAGTAAGTTGTTTTTGTTACGATAAAGAACTTATTGGATACATTGACTTTTGCAGACAAATCGGCTGTCGGTAATGATTTTAGGTATAGACGCTCTCTCACATATGAACTTTTTGAGGCAGATGCCCGAAACCGCTCAGTTCATTAAACAAAATTTATCGCATGTGGAATTCTTCGGTTACAATAAAGTGGACGCAAACACTTTTCCAAATTTGATTCCATTACATACTGGACTTAAGACCAAGCAATTAAGCGAATTCTGTAACATATCAAGCGAAATGGACGATTGCCCTATCATTTGGAAGCAATTTAAGGATGCTGGTTATAAAACGGCTTACGGTGAGGACGTTCAACATTTAACACTCTTTCAATACGCTCTCGACGGCTTCAAGACTACAGACCTACAGACTTTTATTTTCGAACCTATGCATTGAAGATGGCCAAATTCAAATGGTGGAGAGATAGAATTGCTATTGGATTACATTCGAAATTTGGTTCCGTTTATGCAATACAATGATTTCTTCTCGTTGTTCTGGACCATCAGCCATTCTCATGTTGATCTGAATTCACCACAATTTTTGGATAAACCCATTCTGAACTTATTGAAACTATTTGATAGGACTAATATTCTTAACACAACTGTAATATTCTTAATGAGTGCTCATGGTTTTCGTATGGGAGACTATCGCCTCACGCATCAAGGAGAATTGGAGGATATGGAACCCCCTGTTAATAACTCTTTTTACCGAAATGGTTTGAGTCAAAATATTCCAAAGCCACAAATAATATGCGTATTAATGCCAATCGACTGACAACACATTTCGATGTCTACCCAACTATGCTGGATTTGATTAACTTGGAGCATATTTCTGACATAAGCATACAAAATCGCATTATCGAGCTGGCGAAAAAGTCACGCATGCCACGAAGCATAAGTTTATTTCTACCGATATCCGATAGACGTACCTGTTTCCTAGCCGATATTCCAAATACTTATTGCGGTTGCTTTGACAGAATTTCAGTACCAATTAAAGATAGCATGGTTCAGTTCGCCGCAAAATTCATTGTGGATGAAATTAATCAAATACTAGAACCACACCTTACGAAATGTGCACAGCTTAAATTGCATCTTATTCGTCATGCCAGCTTTATGTCAAACGCTATCCGCTTCGCGGAATATCATCCATATTGGCTTCAAGATGTATTCGTTCAACTGCAAACCGAGCCCGGCTACGGTATATTCGAAGCAACCGTCAGAAGTACGACAGGAAGAACAACTCTAAGTGATGACATCACGCGTATTAACCGTTACGAAAATCAAAGTTATTGCGTGAACGATGCCAATCTAAAGAAGTTCTGCCGATGCAATTTACTGACAACGTTCAACATTACTGCAATTACTGACAACGATCAACGATTGTTGGGCTAAAAAATGTTAAACTTTATGTTGACAAGAGTACTTGCATTGCCGTTTTAACGTGTTTACAAAGCCAAAGTACGAGCACTTTATTGTGAGTACCGTTTTTGTATTCATATACAAATACCTTATATATGTATTATTGGGAAAGTTTAAAATGCCTAAAAAGCAATCAGTAAATGTTTATACCGTTTTCATTGCAGTAATTCATACATTTTCATTAAATCATAGTAAAGTATTTGAACTTGAGGAAATGAAAGTTAAAAATAAAATTTAAGTGATCGTGCAAACTAACATTGTCTGTTGTTTTGCAAAGAGAGTACAATTTTCCGGACATAAATAAAGAAATCATTTTGTTTAATTTATTCAATTTGTGTATGTAGTCATCTAAAAAAAAAAAAATGTTCCTCATTAGCAACTGATAGATCACTTTGGAAGACGAATTGAGAAATGGTCATGATCAAGTTGTTATATTGCGCAGCAAATTGTATATATTTTATAGGGTCTCTGGAACGTAAGAACAAAAATAGTAGTGGTTGGCTGTAACAGAAACCCCATTGGACAACCTTTCATTTTCGAAAGCTTGCGTATATTTAAAATCAAATCAATCATTGGTTAAAAAATTATTATAGAACTATAGCTAAGAATATGCTAACTATAGGTAAATTCGTACGACTATTTAGGTCACACTATGAGCAATTTCGGGGCTCGAGAGAAAAGGTTTTGGATTTTAGTTCCAACCTCAGCGGGTGGACATGCATAAGAAAAGACTTCACATTCAAAAAACAAATCTGTACACTTTTGCGTCTACACTTTAAAAAAAAGTTGAAAATTATCAGTATTTTGTGCAATTGTGTACGGATCGACGGTAATCTGATGAGAATGCAAACTTCGAATTTGGAAAAAATTATATTGAATGACAAAGATTTGAAATAGCTGTCCTTCACGTTATTACATGGAGGGACACGGCCGTCGCGATTTCCTTAGTCAGATGTATATATATATATATATATATATATATATATTTGTCGTCTGAATGTTTTAACATTATCGTTTTGTAAGAATATAAGAAATTTATATATTTTATCTTAATTTTCATTTAAATCTATACCTGATTTCTTAGTAATTATAGGAGAAATGTAAATCCGAATAAACTGAGTACACTAAGGGAATATTTAAGGAGAAGTTAACACTACGAACTAGGCTGACAAGTTTGTATTCAAAATGTAAGAGATTTATAATAAAAAAACCGGCATCTCTTAATAGATTCCTGAATTCGTCGTAATTAAGAATATTTATGTAACTCATGTATGCATTGAATATAAAATATATCTTAGTTTAACAGGGTTGTATTTTTTTTAAGTTTTTTCAAGTACCGAGTTATAGAAATAAACAAAATTTGTCTTATCATTTATAATAATCGGTAGCATCAGGTGCATCGATCAATGGCAAAGTGTATTCAAAGTTCTAGGAAAGGTTTTTCGAGGCAAATTTTGTTTCGATAATAGTAAGTGGTCTTCTTTGATCATAATTTTTGTGGCATAAATATTGATATAAAAAATTGTGTTTCCGTTCCGTTAATTTGATATAAGGAAATGTTCACTTGCTCTCAGAAAGTGCACCATAAGGTATATTCTAGGATTTCACATATCAAATACAGTACTGTTGCTAATTTTTCGCTCGAACACAAAGTTCAGTTTTCTTCATTAATCAGCCAAAAAAAAAACAACAATTTAATGAATAGCACAATATTATATTTGGAAATTTTGTATTTGATCTCTCTGCCTGTGCAAAATTCAATCGGGAATGATATCGGAAGGGAAATATATTATAATTTACCTAAATTTTGGACCAACACCGGCCTATGTCCGGCTGGTAAGCTTACACACGACGATATTAAAGCATCTCTCCTTTCCGAAGCAATGCAAATGAATTTACTCCTGATATCATCTTTGCCTGATGGTGCCATAACGCACATACGCATTCACTGGATGCTTGAATTAATTAAATTTATACAATTTAATCAAAGTGGTCAAGCACAATATAATTTTGACGTCTTAGATCGTTTCTTGGATGATTTGGATGAGATGCATTTAAAGCCTGTCTTTGAGTTTATGGGAAATTTATCGAATCTTTTTACCAAAAATCCAGCTCATAATTACTTTCTGTGGGAGGATTTGAGCTATCAAGTGATCAAACGTTATCACAGTATGTAAAAGGTATGTCGATTAATCGACTTTTTAATAGTTGTGTCATATTCATGCAGATCGCATTGGAATCGAAAGCCTTTTAAATTATCGGTTTGAAACATGGAACGAACCAGATTTACTTGCTTATAACAAATTGAACTTTACCCTTGAAGGTTAGTGAATAAAGAAATTAAGAATTATTTCCTTCGCTCACAAAGACATAGAATTTGATAGATTATTTAGAATACGCCTTCGCTTTAAGACGTGGTTTAGATAAAGCTGGACAAAATCTACGCTTTGTTCTCCGCGGTCCAGCGGGTCTTTTCAAAACTCCTCAAAAACATCCACTCTGCTGGGGCCTCTTGCAATTTTGTGATACTAATATATCCACATGTCCCATCGACATTATAACATATCACCGTAAAGGAATTAACGAGAATGGTGCTGAACTTATTGAGGACTCTAAAAATTTGTGGAGTAACATTTATATGAAATTTCCGACGCTAGCTCAACTACCCATATCGAATGAGTAAGAATTAAAGAAATTTATTTTATCAATGGATACGCTAATCTATGGACAGTGAGGCAGATCCTATTGTAGGTTGGTCAACGGCTCGCGAATTTCAGGCAGATGTTCGTTACGCTGTTACCTTGGTTAACATAACATTGCAGCATTGGGAAGCTATAATTGAGAAGAAGGAATTGCGAAATCTAGAAACTATAAGCCATGACAATGCATTTCTTAGCTATTATCCGAATGTATTTACACAAAGGACTTTATTAGCGCATTTTCGAATCAACAACACCGTGCCGCCTCATTCCCAATTTATACAAAAGCCAGTTTATGCTGCCGTGGGCATGTTATCAAGATTAGCTGAGCTATCCACAAAAGCAGAGTTCGTGACTTGTTCGAGAAATTATTCAATGAAACTATTGAAGACAAAGAGTCTTGAAGCGGGAAAGCCACTATATTTCAGCTGGCTGCTCTTATATACCGATATGGCATATTTTTCTGGTCGATGCATTATAAACATACAAATCCCATTAAACTCTCCAGAAATGTTTGCATATATTGCGGAATCGCTAGACCAAAATCATACGAATCCATATAAGGTATGGCAGAGTTTCGGAAGTCCTGCCTATCCTAATGCCATTGAACGGCAGACGATGAGACTTCAACAAACACCCATTGTACTTTCCTCAGGTTCATTGGACACAAATAAAATCAAAATTGATTTGCAACAGCTTAAACCGCCTTGGATATTGACGTTAAGAGTATGTTCCCATTTCTTGCTCCATAGTATTGGTCCGCCAAGCAGTGTTCTCGTATCTGGCGTAACACATAATGAAGTCCTAATTACTTGGAAAGAATCAAATAATAAATCTAAATACTGTTTGAAAACTTATCAAGTTTGGTATCGCCCTAACTCTAACTCGACACAACAATGGTTGTATATCACTAAAGCAATTCATCTACCTTTCCCTTCGTATCAATATGCTCCTGAGCGGAATGGAATGACAGTAAATGGTGAGCGAGCTTCTCTTATGCATAGTTTTGTAATCATGTCCGCTTATCTGACAAAGTTCCCAATACAATCAAACAATGAGCTTTGTCTGGGGTGTTTCTGATAACACTTGCGTGACATAGTAGCATTCTCTCTTTGGTCGGCTTTTCGATTAATGAAATATTGATGAGAATAAAACTGTATTTAAAATTTTGAAAAAAGAAAAAAATTTCAATATTTGCTAACTATTACTCTTTCTTTTACTTTCAACATCAACTTCGACATATAGGTTACTATAAAGTGAGAGCAGTTGACGTATTTAATAGAACTGGCGATTTTTCGATACCGTATGAATACATTGAAATATAAAAAAAACATTTAGAATAACATAAGCGAACGTCTTTATTTTACTTATGACGAATCGGTTACTCCTTTTTGGACAAGTAGTAACGCTTTTATAAATTTTAAAATTATTAATAATTTATTTTTTATTTATTATTATTTTTTTTTTTTTTTTTTGTTAAGTTATTCTTAAAGCATATTATAAATAACAATAATTTCTTATAAAAAATAAATGGAAATTTACAAAGCAACCTAATTATAAGCAGTACTATCCAACACGTTTCAAAAATCTCGATCTTTCTACGAATCTAATACTAACCACTTTTCCTCTAAATGCTCCAATTGTTTTGTTAAAATGGGATTGCGGAGACGTAGTTTAATCTCTAGTTTCCCACCAACAACCTTGCGACCTTCCATCAGCTGAAATAAAACATAATTATCTCTTTTTCATTAATATCGTAAATTGCTTACATTAAAAGTATCATGCACATCGCATTTCGTTTCCAGCGGTTGCAATTTCACAGTGGCCGTACCGATTAGGTTATCTGAACGTAGGAACCCTCTGAAACAACATATGGGCAGTATACGACTTAATCCACAACAGTTAAATGAGCATCTATTAGAATACGAATTTAGATTCCCCTAATAATCAGCTAAGTATATACACATTCGTTCAAATAATGTTTGCTTAATTGTGAAACAGAAACAGCGAACCGATCAAACTTACTACCGCCTATACTCCCTGATCCTGTGATCCTTTATTCTTCGCGCTTTTTTCGGTTAATTTCAATTTTTTCCTATTCATGAGCAGATCGAATTCGATGGCTGACTTACACGCTTTAAGTTTCAACTCAGATTAACAAATTATACTGAAAGAACGCACCAGACTCATAACGGTATTCCTTGATAGTGGGATAGTAATAACCCAATGCCTGGAATTTCGCGCATTAGTAAGGTAGAGTCGCTTTCGTCCAGGAAATTGAAAGATTAGTTAATGTTGCGACACGGGATACCAAAAGAACTTACGAAAATTGAACAATGCAATGAAACGCCTGAATATAGCATAGCGTTAGCTACCGCAAATATGAAAGGTGATGACACATGATTGTGAGTTTATGGCACCTCACCAGCAAATGCGACATACAACCTATATAATCTAGTCTTGTAACGTGACATATCCAAAGCAATGCATATATATATTCGATTCACGTGACAACACGCAAGAATGATAATGATACCCGTAATAGATACACTCGAACAGTGCTTATAGTAATAGTGCTTGTTATCCAAGCGACAGTACGATAGGTTTTCATTACCCATAGTACCTACGCCTTCTTAATTGTGCGTCTATTAATGAACTCATTTTCATGGTAAAACGTTTGATATGAACTTCTGGTCAATGTGTTATTTTATTTATTTTTTTTTTTTTCTTGTTTTTCTTAAATGACTAATCACTCAGACTACGTGAAAGAAGAAAGGGAAAGAGGTAAAGAGATAGCCGCAGCCTAATATTTAGGTATTGATGAAAATAAAGCAGATGGGATTTTGCTAAATGTTAAAAGCGGAAAAACAAAATAACTATGTCGGGTGCAAAATTATGATAAACAGAACCCAAAGTTTAAATTTATGCATACCCACGTGAAAAAACTTCAAACTTTACACCATGGCGTTTGAAAATTCTCTGAAATTGGCGATTGCCTCTCACAATGTCTACTTTAAATCGTTGATCGTATTCAGGCGAATCCGTGTCTTTAACTAGCGTAGTCTTGGCTCTGAAAGTTTCGTCCTGCATAAGAAAAAAGGATAACTTGTGTTATTATCGCATTCTATAAATGGGAAGTTGCTCTTACATTCAGTAAAGGACATTCAACTTTGACGTATGTATCCACTTCTTTGGGATTCGGGACATTGTAGTTGATGCCACGCACGACCACAATCTCCAATTCATTATCGGCCAATTCTGTATTGCAGTGAACGATGTTAAAGCTGCGTTTTTCGTAGTGAAATTTCGGTAATGGGAAATTTTTTCGTTTCGAATAACGCACCAAGTCCAAATCTTTTTGAACTGTTAATGCTAAATTTTCAAAGCGATTCATACCGCCAATGTCACCCATAGCTTTATGGTGATCTCTAAAATATGAAAAGTAATTTTAGGTATATGATCACAAATAATTCACATTTGTTTGCACCTTGTATTTTTGCACATCATTAGCTGTTTAGCTAATTGTTCCTCTACGCGTACGCGTATATCAGAAATATCATCGTTTGGATCGCAGTCTTCAGCGGTGACAATAGCAAAAGATGCTTCTAAATTTTCGCGTTGAGACGGCGGTACTGGCAACTAAAAAAAAGTAGTTAAGAATAATTTCTCTTTAAAAGTATTCAAAAACTTACTGTGTTCAAATCAACGGGAAGGCCACTGCTGGCAGCATTCAACAAGGCATCGAAGCCTTTGTAGATTTTTAAGTATTCTTTGGCTTGGTCAATTTCACCCGCCTTTTTTGCATCTAAAGCGGCCAGTTTAAATTCCTTTTGACGAGCAAGCAAAATTTTCATTTGCTGTTCGGCCAAGTTGTTTTTTTGCTGATTTCCTGATGTCCGAGTTGTCAGATCCTCATTTCTTGGCGGAGGCTTCGGGGCGACGACAGGTGTGGTTTGGACTTGTGGTGATGTTGGTGTGGTTGTAGTGCACGCCGTCGACGACGTTGAGGAGTCAGATGACGATGGCGATTTCTGTGTTGAGTTTTCCAGTGGTAGCGGTCCAAAACCAGGCGGTACAGGTAATTCATCATATGGTACGGATCGGCCTGCTTTATAGGCTTTTATGGCGTCTTCATATTGGTTCACAATTCTACCGAACCTTCTTGCTTTGCTGGCATTTCCTTCCGCCTTAGCGGACTCTTGCACCGATTTGTATTTGTCTAAACGTTGCTCTAAAGCTTCCAACATTGTATTTTCGGTGATTTGCTTTGCCGAATCAGCTGAAGGTACTACTTGATCAGCAGGCGCTGGTTCTTCCGAATTAGCCTGCATTTTCTCTAGGAATTCCTTGAACTGATCTGGTGGCGGTGGCATATCACTTAAATCTACTTCCTGACCATCTTCGCACATCTTAATGACGACGTCAAACTGTTTAACTACTTTGAGAAATTGCAAGGCCATGGCAGTGTCCCCGGCACGCTTGGATTGAAGAGCCGCAGCTTTATATTCTTGCTGGAGACTGCGCATCTTTTGGATCACAGGGTTAGCGGCATTGGGGGCTTCGTTTGAAGGTTCGTTCTGAGCTTCTGGGTCGACATGTGGTGGTGATGGTGGTGGTGGTGCTTTACGAATGGGAATGGAACCGTTACCGGGCTCTGCCGAAGACCTATCCTGCCCTTCAGGCGTATTGGGTTTTTGATCCGTAGTTACTTCAGCAGAAGGCTTCAAGCTAACTTCCGGTGGTATATCATCCGGATTAATAACTTTACCAGAGCATGCTTGTTTCAATAAATCATTCAAGGTTTTTAAGCCTCGACCAAATCGTCTCACTTTGGAAGCTTCCCCCATCTCTTTTGCGTTCGCCTCAGCCTTTTTATACATTTCAATACGCTGTTTCAATGTCTCTACTATATTTGTAGTTGTAGTCGCTATAAATATTTCTGGGGTTTCGGATGCTTCCATTTGATCGTCTGTTTTATTTTCCAATTCTCCCATTATTTCGATATCTTCTGAGACGGTAGTACTGACGCCTGTAATAGTTTGTAATTCACCTAACAAATCTGGATCGTTTTCAGCGTCATCATCGGCCTCATCATCATCGCTGCCAATATCCTTCAAACTCTCTGCTACCATTTTATCTAAATCATTAGGAGGCATTAATCTAGGCTTCGGTTTAGATCTAATTTTTCCATCATCCCCAGCTATAGCTGCCAACTCTGCCTCCAAATCGCTATCATTCTCGTCATCTGCACCTGAGAAACAACTAGGATCGAAATCATCTGGAATTTCCGTTAATCCAAACTGAAAACCAATTATTTTTGAGGTGACTCATAGTTTTTTTTTTTTTTTCAAAAGCCGAAAACACAAAACTTAAGATGAGAAATCTGTTTAAACCAACTTTAAACCGTTTTACCTGTGATAAATTATGATTTCGTTTTTTTGGTGCTTCAGGTTTTTTACGTGAAAACATTCCAAAAAATTAAATTATCTTAAATACGCTAAAACCTATAAAAATTTATAAGAAACAATAAACTTGTGTGAATATGTTTCCGCAGCTGACTGCCACAGATTGATCCACAATAATATTATATTAAAATATATGCTAACTCTGGCTGGGGTTGCCGATGTCCCAATAAGCGCTTCGGTTTTCAAAATTGGAAGAAAACACTGCCCAGAAGAGCTTATGTCAGCTTTGCAAAACATGGTATATTTAAAAGGAACCAGAAAAACTGATGAGCACTATAGATATGGAAGCAGTTCAAGCGCTAAATAAAATGAGACGATATTCATATACGCAAATTAAAAAAAATTTGAAAAGATTTTGAAAGAATTCAAAAGCCACCTTTAGCCTTTCTTTAAGGAACGTTATTAATGTTTATTTGTAAAAAGACAAGGCGAAAAGAAGTGAAGAAAGTCATAAGCGGGAAAGAGAGAACGCATAATTAATTTAAAACTATGTGCAAATTATTAATATATTACATTGCGTCTACATAAGCCGCCAAATAATTTAGATGGATAAGAGAAAAAAAATAGAAAAATATCGCTCAGCCCAACAAAATCAAATTTTTTTCGAATGCTTGCGAAAACAAAAAATAAAATTAAATAGTTTTAAAATATTTATATGAATAACATTAAAATTATCGAAATTTGATAAAAAAATACAGAAAAAATTTCGCATAAAAATTTATTTCAATCGTTATGTGTTAAAAATGATTACATTTGAAACCGTTAAGACGTGTATTATATACTGTACTTTAAAATATGAAAAATCTAATATTTCATATCGTCTTTTATATATACATTTTATTTTATTACATATTTCCAGTTCGTTTTAACACGGGCAAAAGTAAAAAAAAGAAATATACTGAACGTAATATTTATCGCCCAGATTCTTTTTCTTTTTGTACTTATAAGGAAGCAGCCAATCGATCCAAAATTTGAGATAGAAATGCATTGAGCGAATAGTTTTATTATTATACATTAGTGTATATATTGATGTTTTCACGTTCCCGATCAATCTGTTCATGTGTACTTCACGAGGCGCTCTCCACGATTAGATACAAACGCAACAGGTGTCTCCTGGCCACAATCACAACACAGTGTCAGGCCAACAACAAAACATATAGACCCTCGTTATGCAGTATCACCAACGCTAGGAAATTAATATGAAAACTGGATTGACCCTCGTTATGCAGTATCACCAATGCGAGGGAATAAATATGAAAACTGGATTGACCCTCGTTATGCAGTATCACCAACGCGACGAATTAAATATGAAAACTGGATTGACCCTCGTTATGTTGTGTGTTGTGTTGAAAAAATCACTGTGAAAGTAAGAGGATAAAATTAATCAACTTGAAAATTTTTGCAATCGTTTTAAAAGTAACCTGAAGTGGAAAGTTTAAACGAATGATTTCAAATCCCTTCCTCTCAAATAGTAAAACTATTCTGTAGTTGGTTTTGCAAAATTACATTGCGAAGGCAAAAAAACAAAAAAAAAAAATCTAATTACAACTGTGAAATTTCTCTACTGGAAATTGATAGGAGGCTTAAAACTCATATAGCATTGGCTAAGATAACATTTAACATTTAACAGAATAGAATACACAGCATTCCAAATAAAAGCAAATATTGTCTCCCAGAGTATGTTTTGTCAAATAAATTAATTATTAATTTATCAGTAAAATAATTACCTAAATTTATCGTATTCGTGTTTATGAAACTAGAACAAAATTTATTTCGACATCTTCGGAGGTATTGGATATAAGATATCAGTATGGAGGAGGTTTCGCTGACCGAGACGGAAACTCGGTATTATGGTGATTTATTTTTATGCTGCGACGAGGAGAAGACAGGCAAAATACCTATGCTAAAAGCAACCGAATTGTATCGTTCTGCTAATCTCTCCAATGATAAAATATTTGAAGTTTGTATTAGTTTATGCATCATATGGATAACATATGAATTATTTATTGTCTTCTCTTAGATAACTTCTTTAGCCGGAATACCATCTACTGCCCTACATATATCTCGTGCTCAGTTTTACTCTTGTTTAAAATTAATTGCAGCTACTCAAGCATCTATGCCTCTGAGACAAGAATTAATTGCAGCATCTGTGCAATTGCCGCTGCCTCGGTTCAGTTGGACGGACAATTCTAATTGTGCTGAAATGAAAGTTCATCATCATCACGTTATTCCGCCACCTCCCGTAGCCGACAGGCGAAACTCATTACAACGTCGCACGGAATGGCCGGATACTAATTTGGCACCCCGGCGCAATTCGGCACATCAACACCAAACTGACGTTAGATCGATAAATTCAGACGCTCCGAGTACGGACTCGGAAGTAGAGCGATGCGAATCTAGTTGTGGTGGTGAAGAGGAAGTTATAGGTAGCAGTAATTGTGTTACGGTAATGATTTTGTCGGTTATCTTATCAGTTAGATTTATTCACCTTCTATTATGAATGAAGTATGTTGTATGAGGCGCTTAGAAGTTATCTTATCTTGACATAAGATGATCAACATTAACTTTATGAAATCTTTTAGCATCGTCACGTTGGCGGAGGGGGAGGTTCACCAGAAGCGTGGAGTACTAACAGCGATAGTCCAACACCAACTAATAGTGTGGCTGAACGTCCTTGGGCCAAAGAAACCCTTTGGCATGGGCTTTTGGGCGACGAGCATAGGCAGTTATTAGGAACGGAAGAAGAATCTTCGGATCGCCACAGTAGCGATGAAGAAAATGAAACTGATTTAGAGGCAGTTTATCAGATAACATCAGAGCAGAGGGAATATTATTACAAGCAATTCAAAGCTGTGCAACACGATCCTAATGGTTTACTATCTGGTCAAATAGCCAGGTATAGTGCAATGAATGAATGCCAGTACACCACATTACCAATTGGGATTATTTACAGGGTTTTCTTCGAGAAATCTCGTATTCCTGTCGAGGAGTTGCGTCATATTTGGCAATTATGTGACGTCACGAGGGACGGAGCTCTTAGTTTGTCCGAGTTTACTGCGGCTATGCACTTAGTAGTGTTACGTCGGAACAATATTCCGTTGCCAGCTGTTCTACCAGCTTGCCTTCATCCTACAGCTTTACAACATGTATCGCTGTGTTCTCAAGCGCCGCCACAAGAACCTCCTGAAGCTGATTTGCTCCATTTGGACGACGACGACGATGAGGACAAAACAGATAATACTATTATTGGTTCAAAAATTGACTCAAATAAAACTGCGAACTCGCGTGTGATAAATGAAAAGAACGTAATGAATTTAAGCACATTATCGACATCATCTCAAGTATATCGCATTAATTTTATTAAAAATTCAAAATACTTATTTACTAAAGCATTTCAGACTAGCATAAACCCTCGTCCTATTGTTACTGATGTTGGAAATCAAAAGCAATCCTTAACACCGTTAACTAATACTGCAACTGGAAAAAACCGTAGTATCTCAAGTTCTCCAAAAGGAAACGATCCAGCAATTACACCGCCAATACCTTCAAATTTAACAGCTACGGTTTATGCGGCGGCTCATAACAAAGATCGATCGCTATGGACAATTGTAAGAAAAGTAAAATTTGTACTTAAGCAATTCTTGAACGTAAACCTCTTCGCAGGAAAATCAACCGAATCAGTGGACGAAATTTACAGAATCTCCTACGTCGAATGTTTCTAGTCCCGGTCCGAAACCAGTCAACTTTGACATGCAGCGAACTGCTCAAGCTGTAGTCTCCGATCCACAAATCCTGCATCCTGTGCCATTGCGTGTGACGCCAGTGGGTAAGTGCAGATCATGTTATAAGCACAGTGCCCTATATAAAACGTCTAATTGTCACAGGCGGCAATATTCAAGCTTCCAGTACTGGTAACGCTTCTAATGTTGCATCGGACAAACTGGATGCGGATATAGGAGATAATGTTGTTATACGCGAAACAACTCCTACTAAGCAAACAAACTTCACCAATCCCAGCAATGCTACTAATAATGGCAGCAGCGGCAACAACAATCTACCACACCAGCGTGAGTCCTTGCAGAACAACGATCTAAGAGCTATACAACGTCCTCAGGCAAAAAAATTACCCATTAAAAACATCGGGGCACTCCCTCCACCACCTCAACGTGAACCCAGCATTGGAAATTCCGCAAATATAACTGGAGAGCATGATCCTCCTGCTGCCAATAATACTCAAGCTTCTTTAATAAATAAGAAAGATCCGCCCCCCTTGCCCCCACCGCGACCACATCGGCATGGGCGAAGTAGTAGCTTGGACTTAAACAAATTTAAAATAGCTGCTGCCTGCAGTCAGCAACCGGAGGTAAATTTTTTTTATAGACTTTTCTATTATGTTATACTTAAAATTCTAATAATATATCTCTTCCATTATGCTGCTGTTATTCTTATAAAAAGATAACAGCGCAAACCAGTTTTGATTTGCAAACTTCTAATGGCTTTGCCGATTTTGCACATTTTCCTGACGACAGCAATGTTGACAATTTCGTAAGTAAATTAAATTAGTTTCATTGCGACAGCCATAAGCGAACGATAACCTCTTGTTGTTAGTCGACGGATGTGGCCATCGATTTTGGATTTATCGTAGGGTACGGCAAATACTGATACCTTTATCCTGTATGTTTAGTCACAAATGCGCATTGAAAGTCCTACCAAGCGTGTGTGTGTTTTTGATTTTAATTAATTTTGGTTACGACGGGAAAGATAAAATATGTGTAGTACAGAATAGGAGCATATCCAAATTTTTTGTGAATATATAGATAATAGGGAAGGTTTGCACCAAAAATCATATGCAACTTATCGACCTTACGTCCCCCTAGACAGAAAGATGAAAATATTTATGAGATATCACAAACGACGAGTACGCCTACGTCATATAATATTATCAAAATAAGCAAACATGACTTTCCGATCACTGTTATTAGCCCATCAAAATAAGCTCGCGCGGCTCCATATTGAGATAAGCATTACTTAAAAGCCTCAAAATCTATAATGTATATTAGTTGAAACAATTAAACCGTTACAGTGTGATGGAAACTCTGAACAGTATCAGCAGCAACAACAAATGCATTCATTGCCTTCGCAATCAATAGCAACGGGTACATCAGCGGGTGTTGTGGTCGTACCACTAACCCGTCTTTCCTTGCAGTCTAATCAAAGGATATCGGCTTTTGAAGTTTATCGGAAACCAAATACTCCGCGTAATTCATTGTCGCCAACGCCTAGTGGAACAACAGTTTTGCAAGTTCCTGCTCCAGCCCCATTCGGTTCGGCTGGTGCAGCAGCGATGACAAATGTTCTGCCAAATGCTGAGCTTTATGAAAAGAGGGTAAATGCCATAAGCGAAACATTGCGTCACGTATCCTTCAAAAAGGAAAACAATAATAACAACCTAACTGACATATTGCGACATTTACGTGAACAGAACAATTTGTTATTGCGCTTATGCAATGATCTTAGCGATGAATTACTTACTGTACAAACGCGCAAAGAAGAAATGAGACTAAAATTAGAAGCACTAGGCTTGATGTCAACAGTAAATGATGCAGCAGCAGCACTATCCATTCCGATGGCACCGGGTCAGAGTATAGTACGTACAGGCTCTTCAATTTCGGCTCCCGTTACAGCCAATGTAACAGGCGGTTCAGGCAGCTCCGGTATCCATTCAAATGTTTAAAATGACCTCGGTATTGTTAATAACATAATCTAAAACGAGGCAGCAACATATAAATAATCGTGTATTTAAAATGTTTGTTAAAGGAAGTGATCGTTATATCTTATCGATTTCGTTGGTATATTTTTAAGGCCAATTGCGACCAGAAACTATGATTTCATTAATATATGCACTTGTCATTTGTGTAGGCATTATATTAATTATCGTATAAACAGACATTTTGTTAGCTAACTGTAAAGAACTATTAGTGCAGGTGTCTTGCATCTTGCCACACTGAAAATGCCTTAAGTGGTTTACATATTATACCTGCATAAATATTTGTATTCAGTATAAATTGTTATAAATGCAGAAACTTTAATCAGTATCGTCTTCTTTTGCCCAATACCCTGTGAAATCTCTTCTAATCAATGTGAAGCATTCATTTAATCTTAGAATTGTATGTATAAACTGAAAATATTTACATATATATAACACTTTTTAGCATAATGATAATCTTGTATTTTTCTAAAACAGCAAGGATTCCTTAATAAATTTGAAATTTCAAAAGTTATTAATAAATTGCGCTACCTTTATATAATGATTTGTAAAACTAATGTAAAACTTATACTAAATGTTAATAATAATATTATAAATAAGCACACAGTTGTACATTAAAACTGCGTCTTTCCATATAATAAGCCATCTTTTCCTTTAGTTATTTGGAATCAAGTTTGTTTTCTACACATTCAGTCGGCGTTCCAGCGTCCATCTTAGCTGAAAGAAAACGAGACGAGTTTATTTTGTTACAGAACAACAAGTCGGTTAAGTGGAATATGTTTACTGATCCGCTACCTCCTCAACGTATTATGTATATACTGCTAGAAAGCTAGTCAATCTGAAAGCTCTTTGCCTGTTGCTTTGCCTGAGATCGCCGAACAATCTCGTGACATTCTTACGGTGCTCAGCATCACGCCCGCGACCAATCTTGTACGAAGTTTTTTCGACTCCTATTTTTCAGGTAAAATGTTAAATAAAGTCTCTCTTTCTACAACTAGCTCAATTACTTCAAATTTTGAATTGCCTTATATAATTTCATGAATTCTGTCAACCATTTTCGATGTTATAACCTCATTTGAGCCAGGTGTTCATAATTTCCGCTTCTGTGTACGATCACTACTTAAATACTTAAATTCATCCATTTATGTATAGAGAACTGAATCAAAGTTCTATATGTATACTATAATGTAATGTATACGTATCCGTAGAAGGGTCCCATTTTAAATTTATCACATATCATCTGGAAAAAATCTATTTTAGAATTTCAGCCAAGTATTTGCCGCTTTTGGTCTTGCTTGCATGCAAGCACTAAGCCATCTCTCAAAAACATTTGTTCAATGTGAAAGTTAATCGATTCATCCAGCAGCACTGTAGTCACTCTTTATAAGCCTCTTCAGGACGTCCTGTTTTCGCTAGCATAAATCTGGGTATCCAGCTAAGCCCAAAAATATTTGAAATTCGTGACTTCTATGACTTCTCGTAACTTGCCAGTTCTGAATGCTTAAGCTAGACCCACCTTGGAAAAATGAAAGATCGTTATACATGTATGCCTAGGTTTAGGTTAAATAGGTTAATTATTAAAGTGATGTACTGCATTTATAGTGTATTTGATGGGGATACTGGCTCTTTAGTGCCCACGTATGCAGCCAGTCAGCTACCGTATTAATGTCATAGCAGCTTAAATGGCCGCTTACATGGGAAATTCTACCTTTGGCATTGAGCACTGAGGGCTTGGAATTAATTCGTGGCAACTGTTTCTTAAATTGTGTTTGCGTACAATTTTATTTTTATTTGCGACTGATTAATTTATCTAGAAATTAAATTCACTTCACTTATAAGTTATGTTATCACGTTAGTGTCACTTAAGAAATTGTTTTAAATTTTAATCATTTTTGTTGTTATTCTTAAAATAATTTCTTTACTTTAAGTTAATTTTTCCATATGTATATTTTTTAATTTTTTTTTGCTATAAATTTAAAGTTTTCAGAAGACGTTCATAAGATAAGTTGCAAAAGACATTGAGTTTAAGATCTAACAGAATTTCCTAAAAGATGCAGTGGAGGAATAGAACAAGTCGGAAGTTCAAAAGCGTTTTATGTATACGGGACGGGAAATTTCCGCAATAAAATTAATAAAAAAGGAACCAAGGCTGTAATAGGCGGCGAGTTCAATTCAAGCGCGAGGTAATGTATATATAAATTGGCGAACAAACAATAAATGCAGATATTGGAGGATAGAGAAAACGATAATAAATATAATTTTTTGTTAAAAGATTGATAGATGAGTGCAAAAATAATGACAGTCCATGAAACATATACATACATTAATCTTCCTTACAAAAAGGAGGCTGCCTCAAAATTTTAAAAGTAAACAGCCAAACATGCATAAACCGAAAAGTTCTTCCGAAGATTCTTTCTTCTTATATAATCAGCTCCGTAAAATAAATTTTCGAATGCCGAGAAAAAGAATAACGGAAGTTATACATCGAATAGAAAGTTTAATTAAATATAGAGTAATTCTCAAAGTAGTGAAAAATTAATGAAGATAAGTAAAAGATTTTAATGGTATCAACAAATTTAAAAAGATTATGGAGATTAGAAAACTTATTTCTTGAATTTGAAAATCTCAGATAAGTAGTAAAATTCGTGTAATTTTCACTTTATATCTCTATTGTTATTTTAAATATATGTGGCTTAGTTCGCGTCCGCTTTAGATACCAAGAAAACGGAAAATATTTTTAAGCTTAGAAAGCTACCAAGCTCTTTCCTTTAAACTTACTTTTCTTATTTATCTATTTCCATAATTATTCAAAATTATATTTAAATTTATTTTTTTATTTTTGTTTTTGATTTTGTTTTTTTTTTTTTTTTAATTCGTTTTTACGTATTACTTCATATTGTTATGATTTATATAACATTTTCCATATATTAGTTGTGTGTGGGTGTTGAGTTCTTTATCTTTACTTCTCAGGCCATATGTACCTTGTTTTTTTTCACAAAGCTTTTTTGGCATTTCTTATCAAATGATATGGTAACGACCGCGAATGCGCTTTTCATGATGTTAAGGTCAAGCAGAATACCTTTGCAACGTGCATCAAGCACGAATTGGTAAAATTTAGTTTGTTTATACGTTTTTACGTGTAGCGAACACATAGGTTACATTGCATTACTTATCAAAATTTGAATTTGTTGGCATACGTTTGCGTTGACGCATTGACTCATTTAAGAACTCAAACCAAAATTATTTACATTTTTATTAAAATTAATATTAAAGATTGTTAATTGATTACAAATGTTATACAATAGTAAATTACGAAAAGTAATTAACAAAATTTCTCAATAAATGATTTTCCTGGATATGGTGGAAATTGTTTAGTGGCATACCCTTTATTGCAAACACATCTGTGTACACGTTATCATGTATATGCGCTCTTAATGCGTACTTTCTTCCTTACATGGCATGCCTTGACCCATCTTGTAAAAATTTTGTTGCGAAAATCTTCCAAACGAAATGTTTCATCTTGTGTGTAATAAGTCAACGAGTTAGTTCATGGAATGACGTGTGGACATCGCCACTATTTGATGAGTCCGTTTTATTTTTAGATAACATTGCGACCATTAGCTTTGAAGTTACAGTTGTTTTATATATGTAAGTTATAGGTTTTATGTTGAAAAACTAGACACCTTTCAAAATAGGCGGGAGATTGCAATTCTCTACATAATATAAGTATGATATTAATTACATATCACATAGTGTTCTCAATTTTTTTCTAAGGTTAACTTTACTTTACTTCTTATATGCCACAAAAGCTACTAATAAGCTATTCATATCGGCCTCACTACATACGTAAGGCCTCAGCCCCAAAAAAATTAGTATTATTATTTATTAAAATTTATTTGTCCAAAAGAAAGAAATAGGCAAAGTTTTTGTTTTTTTAATTTTAATAATTTTCAGTGCTAAGCAAAAACACCTCATAATGTTTATCAAGTCGACTTTTAGTTTTTTTCTTTCGAGTTTTTTATCTTTCAAAAGTGGGGTTCTTTTCTAATCACTTTACTAAATTCGAATTTTCCGGCTACGATGGAATTAATTTTTCTCTATTTCAAATTTGATTGTCGGTCGTTTTACAAGCTGGAATCATTCAAATCAAACGTAAGCATCATTAAATCCCACATTCAATTAAAGAATTTGCTCATCATGGTCATCAGGAAAACTTTAGCCGCTTATTTTATTTAAATTTATTTCCTTTTTTTTATATTTTCATATCGTGCTAATGTTTTGTGTCTTTTCTTTTGTTCCTATGGTTAGCCAACTAATATTTGGGTCTTATATTTTATCTCCGTTTGAAGCGTAATGCACATTCCACATGTTTTGCAAAAGGGATCCTTATCAATTTTTAAAAATGTGTCAATTCCCATTTACAATAAGTCATTTATACAATCCAACGTTTTAAATGTTATCTTTGTACTCCTGGCAGCACTGAATGCGGCATCAGAACAGCGAAACGAAAGGAGCACAGTTTCTGCGGTTGTGTATTTCATTTTTTTTATATAAAATTATCGTTGTAACTATACTTGCGAAAAAGATAATTTATTTATTTCAATTCTTTTTATATATGTAATTTATTAACGGATAGTTTATTGTTACATTATTTAAGAAACAATTACAGTTTGCATGTATTTGGAAACAAAAAATAATAATAAATTTTTTTTACGAAATCAAGAAAGGATTTAATTAATTTTGCCGTAAGTGAAAAGTAGTGTAATAGTAAAGCGCGGACAATTCGCAATAAAGCGGATCGCACATAATTGCAAGCAAACGCTACCTGTGTTGTAAATGTTAGTTGCACTGTTGGCAGTGGATGCCGTTTTCCGAAAGTCTTTAAAGAATTTTGAAAAGCGTTTTATTACGGAAGCTCGAGTTGAACGAACTCAAAACGTAATACAAATTGCACATTTGGAACACGTAAAAAATACTGTATCCGTAGATTTTATGGGCAAGATGGGTGGTGGAGGTGGTCAACAAAGCCCTCCTGCTGTTTCGAATGAAAATGTTGCAGATAATACCGGCATGGGAAAGCACAATGTGACCTTAATGTAAGTTTGTTTAGCATTATGTGATTTTTGATTAGTTTTTTTTTTTTTGCTCATATATTGCTGTTTCAGTGCCTTCAAAACGGGAGATAATCAATGCTGTCAAGAGATTAACAGTCCAAATGTTAAGATTGTAAGCAGTAGTGGTAATCACGATCACGGCTCGTCTAAAGTTAAATTGAAAAATATTGTTGACTATAAATGGGAAGTGAAGACATATCCTGCCCATTTGATAGCTGTTCACATAGATGAGAAGTACATTGCCTATGTAATTAATGGTACAAAGTTGCTTTCATTCAAGCCAAGCTTTCATTTCATCTTAATATATTATATTTGCTGTTGCAGTTAATAAAGTGACACGTATGGAAGGTATGGTGCGCGTTGTCAATACTACCAATGGCTTAAGGGCACTTATAAAGGGCATGGCAGGGGAAGTCTTAGACTTGCAATTTGCCCATATAGAAAAGGAACATATATTAGCGTCAATTGATTTGAATTCTTTGTATGTGCACAAAATTGATGAGATTGATGGGGCTTTATTATGTAATTTAATAATTAAAATCGAATCCCCTTTGCCCAATTACACGCCAAAGCACGACAAAATATCTTGGTGTCCATTCATTGATGTTCCTGGTGAAGATGATGAAGACAGCCAGCTAATTGTATGGGCTCGTGGCACCGTGTTTCAATGTTTCAATATTAACCTAATCGTAGCCGAACATGGCGTAAGTCGAATGCTGTTTATATTAAAGATTCAAAATATAATGTTACTGCTATGCATGGTTTTAGATTGGAAAGATTCAAGAAGGTGATATCAGGTCGGGTTTTATCAAACATGAAGATAAAGCAGTAATCATCACTTGGGTAGCTTTATCGCCGGATGGATCTACTCTTGGCGTGGGAAGTACAGATGGTGTCATACGTTTCTATCAGGTCTACATTCACGACAAAAATCCACGTTGTCTACATGAATGGAAACCCCATAATGGCAAGTCTGTCTCTTCATTCTTCTTTCTCGATAATTTGACTAAAAATAATACTGAGTAAGTAGAACGCAAATTCCCTCTTGTACATTGTCCTTATGTTCGTCTAATTTGATTTGCCGTTGCCAGCACTTATTGGAAATACGCTATTACTGGTGCTGAAAATAATACCGAATTTAAGGTTTGGGATTGCGGTACTTGGAATTGTTTACAGACAGTTAATATAATGGCGGCCAATGAAGAAAAGTCTCTGAGATTTATTGCTGAAATTGACCGAACTTCATCCTATTTAGTCATTTCCAGTCTCGAGACTCGAATATGTTATGTAATGCAAATAATCAATAATGTTAGTACGAGCACATTTAAAGATTTTTCATCAGACATTGATGAATCGCTGATGAATAAAGATACAAGTGGTAGTAGCATTGCATCACATTCTTCCAATTTGACTTCGAAAAGTTCCATTTCAATGTTTTCGCCAGCCGTTTATATTAAAAGTATTTCTGAATTTCCTCTAAATTCGGGAATTCTTTCATTTACGATTGTCGATGCCGCTGTGCGTCGCTATAAATGTGCCAATGACAATTATTTATGCGATGAATTGGACGATTATGATGAGGAGACCAATTCTATTTATTGCGTAGTTGTTCACATGTATATCGTGCAGTCGAAAAGTATGCAAGAATGTCATATACTATACCAACCAACGGTGCATGAAAGCGTTGATATAAAGAGCACAATGTCAAGCAGCGAAACTAGCAATCAAAGCATACATTCGAAAAATTCTTTGCATAATGACATTTTAAACAGCAACTCAAACACGATTGACAACGACAGGGTGAATACGGATGACGACGATGGTGAAGAAAATGATCCATCCGTCGACGCAATTTCGACAGAAAGCAATGAAAAGAATCCCTTGGAGGTTTTATTGAGCATGGCATCAGCTACTGTTGTAAACAGCCAACAATCTACTTTAACATCGAATTCAACAGGATCAACCGTAGTGGCAGTCGCAACTGGTACTTGTGGGACGGCCGTTGCTGAAGGCAACGGAGACTCTCTTAATCCTTCGCCAAAATATACACAAGTTAATCTCATGACGCCAGACGCTTTCGCTTCCACATCATCTGCTAGCGGTAAGTAAAATTGTCTATCACATCAATTTGGTTTCGTGAAAGCTTTTGTCTTTGTTTTTAGAACGCAAAACTCCCGACAATGTTAGCAGTGAAGTCCTAAATACTATTTTAATGTTAGCTACTGTCACTGGATCGAATTCGGGCGCTACCAAGCACGATAATAAAAATTTATTAAATTTAGTTAATAATAAATTAATTGAAGACCAAGAACATCAGCAAATGCAATTAAAACATGGTATGGAAATTCAAAAAAATAACTTTATTGGTATGTGGAAGTACATATATACTTTTCATAATAATCGGCAAGGATTGTAAAATTGTAAATTAGTTTTTTTTTTCTTTTATCTTTTTTCTTTTCATATAACTTAGCTATCGATAGAAATCCGGGACGTACTATAGGAGATAATTTAACTAGTGGCGGCTCAAGTCCAAGTCGTGAGGTTCAAGAAATTATGTCTTTGCAGGATTTTGACAAAATTTCCTTTAGTGGTGACGAGCTCTTGGAAGAAGTATCAACGCATACAACTGCTGACGATGTAGACGCTAATACGTTGAGTGTTAAAATAGGTAAACGAAAACATTTTCAAATTTCGGGAATTGTCATTTATTTTCAAAATTCGTAGAACATGAATCATCCATTTGTAACACTAAACTTAGTCAGAATTCAAGTACAACTGTTAATTGGCCAAAAATTCCAGACGTACCTAAGGTGGCGAACACAAAACATTCAGCTGAATTGCAGAACGCAGCAAATTTAATATCACAAGCTGTAAACGCTTCTTCAGTATCCAGTCTTAGCAATAGCCACTTAGCTCCAAATTTGGGAAGTACTAACTCGAGTAATGCAGCGACAATGCCTTCGAATTGCGTTACGGTTACAGCATCGGACTTAAATGAAATGAATATGAAAATGACTGAACTTATAGGTACGTAAATCAACGATCACCTTTAATGAACGTTGTATGTTGCGAACATTAGTTGCAATTCAATTTAAGAAATTCCATAAATGGTTTTCTTAAGAAGAACTGCTTATGCACTTTATCGCAATGCATCTTGTTGCTATATAGTTTTTGCAGCTTGCAGAGTTTCGGTGAGAATATCTCACGCTAACAGAAACTTCAAGATAACAATTTAAATACTAGTCGGCCACATTCAAGGTCTTCGGTAATTGAAACACAATGAAAGACCAATTGATAATGAAGTTAAATTTTTTAGTCAATCTATGTATTTTATATATATATATATATATATACATATATATGTTAATGTATATACGTGAAGCGCTTAATTTTTTTCATATTATGTTTTTCATTTAGATTTAGTAAAAATGCAAACTATTCAAATAAATAATTTGCAGAAGGAGGTAACAGATCTAAAAAATTTAGATGATATAGCAACAACCAACAAAAACATATCTGAATACCCTTTCAAATTGGAAATGCAATTGACTAAAATGCTCGAACAGTATTTGAAACGTTATGAAATAGAACATAAACGTAAACTGGCTGCCTTTATGGCGGAAAGGTAATCCTTCAGTAACTGCATTCGTTAGAATTTTGCTATATTCATTTGATGCATATGTCTTTACAGAGAAGCCCAAAATCGTGAATTACGTGAAAGCATTGTGCAAATCATGAACCAGTATATTCTGACACAATTTGGTGAAATAGTTTCAAAAGTAATGGCTATTGAAGCCCAACGGCAACTGGTTCCCATGTTATCTGCCAAACTTGACGCATTGCAACATCAAATACAAATTGACGTTGGACAAAAATTGACCGCCTTCGATTCAATGCTTAAAGAGAATATTGCGCAAGCGTGCAAGAATAAGGTAAATAATTTCAAAAATTGATTTGTTCGACAAAAACATTTCACTCTTATTATTAACGAGATTTAAGATTAAGTTTCCCAAATGTATGCAGCGTGCCCAAGAGCTACACGTATTCATTGTTCAAAATATCGAAATAGCGAAATCGATAAGACCTGTCCACTTATCTGCCTGATTGGATTGAGATTGTGGTACTTAAACTCCGTCTATTTAAACCTATTTATATTCAAGTTGAAATATCAGGAAAAGAAGAAGCCATGAGCTAAGAAACGAAATAACATAACAGTGGTTCTAGGGCAAATTATGAACACTTGCCATTCAAAATAATTTGTTTGTGCCTTTTGTAGCTTTGTCGCGAATAATGAAAAGCAAAATCCGTTTTCCATTCCATTTTCCCAATTTTCGCTACGAAAATTTTAATGGCCCTTGGAAATGGTCGTAGAAATGTATTGCAATTTTTTCAAAGTTTCTAATGCTTTTTCTCAAGTCAATGTATACAAAGACATAAATAATAATGCCATTATGAAATTAATGCGTCGAAACAAACGGAAAGCATATATCTTAAGCTTAAGTAACAACAGATGAATACATGTATCGATAATGTAATAATGCATGCAGAGCCCGAGCCCGAGATATGAGATGCGCTATTCTGCATTTGGAAAATTTGTTGGTTATGGTAATGTGTGGTTCAGAGTAAATTGTTCTCTGAATTTGTTGTTGTATTAAGTGTGTATATTTATTACAAATTATCTTCTAGTAACATCTTCCACTTGTTTCCTGTTCGTAGCTAAGCATATGTGTTCCATTAACACATGGAATAATCGCCATCCCACAAACAACATTTAAAACAACATTTAAAAGAATTTTTTTTTTTAAAATTTATATTGCCTTTAATTTCAGAGTATTATTGATACATTTGGCAAATCGGTGTTGGTGGGTGTGCAGGGCAGTTTGCAATCTGCTTTCATAGAGTCTATGTCCAGTACGTTAATACCGGCGTATGAGAAATCCTCGCAAAATATGTTCAAACAGCTGCATGAAGCTTTTTCCGTTGGAATTAAAGAATGTAAATAACGCTGCAAGCAAACAAAGACTATTTAAAATATAAATGAGAAATATTTTCCCTTTAAAGTTATGGAACAATTTGATAATTATTTGCAACAACTGCAACCTATGCATGACTCCACAGAAGATATCCTCAACAAATTCTCAGGTTTTCGTCAGCATCTCGATTCGATTTTGACGAAACATCGTAACAGTGTTCATGAGGCTGTGCTAGAAACACGTAAAGATATTAAAGGATTGGAGATTTTACTGTCTCATCAGATACAAGAAATAATACGATCCGAAGTAGGTTTCGCAAATATTTAATGTCTAAACGTTTCAATTTCATCTCATAATATAACCTCTTCTTAGGTGCGGAAATCATTCGAAACTCAGGCCGTAGCTTTACGATCGCAAGCCAATACTCCTGCTCCTCTATATGATCTTAAAGATACCATTAAACACTTGTTGATGCAAGGGCAAATCAATAAAGCTTTTCATCAAGCATTGCTGGCAAATGATCTTAACTTAGTCGAATACACTTTAAAAAGTGCCGATCATAATGCAGTTTTTACACCAGACTGTTGCCTTGAACAGAAGGTATTGTTATCATTAATTCAACAGATTTCCGCTGATATGAGTAATCATAACGAAGTAAAACAAAAGTGAGTTTATAATCTTAACTTACTGAACCGATTAGTGAAGTTTTCTTGAGTTCTGATTGCATTTTGTTTTTATCTTTCAGTTATTTGGCAGAGGCTTTATTGGCAATCAATGCCCATGATCCCATTACCCGCGAACATGCTCCTAAGGTGCTGCAAGAACTGTTTCGCAATTGTCAAATGTTTTTAATTAACTACCCAAAGAGTTCCCAATGCAGTAATGTACGCATGCTTATGAAAGCGGTACAAGCATATAAGAGTCAATTCTAATACACGATTGGTGTTGGTTTAACAAACTGATAGTAAAACTTCATCGCTAATCTTATTCGTCACAATTATTGGCTTCTCAGTGATGGCAGTTGAATATTTAAGCATTTCATAACGAACTTGAAACAAAGAATAGAATTCTTCTTAAAAGCGAAATAACAGAAACTATATACTCTTTTAGGTTAAGGTTTACACGGACAAGCAAGCAACGTATTTGAAGTGATGTTCATTACCATAAGATTAATTCCTTTCCTTTTTTTTTTTTTTTTTTTTTTTTTATTTTTTATGTCCTTTCACTTGCTTTTCCGTCAGATAATTCGTAAAGATCAGAGTTGCAAAATTTCTTTTTGTTCGTGTTCTTATCTATCGTGTTCGATATCTATCTTATAATAAAAAACACAAATGTACGTCAGCCCATATCTACAAATAAGTCCAGTAAAGTATAAACCAGTTATTCTAAGTAAGTCCGTCTGCTTATATGTTTTTTTGTGGACTCCTCTCGAAGAAAATCGCAAAAAACGCTCCTAATAAATGCTAAATCCACTTTTTGAGAGCAAAAAGAAAAAAAAAAAGAAATGAATTAAATGTAAATTTCTACTACCTGTTAACTCAGTTTTTTTTTACATGACTTTCCACTTATGCAATAGAATTTAGAAAACTTATGTTTCGACTTTGAGTGGTGAATATATATAAGTTTCTAATATTATTTACGATTGTTCTTCTTTCTGATTTATACACGAACGGCTAAATAATTTACTGCTATGTGATTTAATAAACGATTTAAAGAACTTGTTCACAACTTTGATTACACAATATTAGTGCAACAAATGAGATATGATTAATTTATTTAGATACATTATCCATAAAACCTTTATTTTGTTTTCCTATAAAAATCAAAAACATTCATAATGTGTAATAAAGAAAATGAAGGAATATTTTTATTTTTTTTTCACTTTTGATGTAATTCCATAAATTTCAATGTTTCGATTTTTATTTTATATGTTCCAGTATAGCGGCACTTTGCAACATGCATTCACATCCACAACCCGAAGCACATACACTGTGATTCTAAAGCGGCAAAGTTCATTAAGATTGAAAAAAGACAAAGAGTTATTATACAAAATGCGTAGCACAAAAAGTTTTTATAGCTATAGATTCTTCATGCTCTCGGTGACAAAAAGACACACGCACTATAAATATAGATCCAACAAATATATATATATATATATATCCTTAATTAGCATATTCGCTTATTTGTCTGAGGGTTCTCTGGTGGAATGCACTCGTTTGTGAAAACATGTATAGAAAACTGAAGCGTGGCCTATGTGCTCCTGGTTTGTGGCTATAAGTCCCCGCGATACTAATGGAGAGTTCTTGCTTTCTATCCGCGAAAGTTTAATTTGTACTAAACAAGCAGAGGCATTCCGGATAATCAATTTTTCAATTGAATTTGTAATTGTTAATGGATTACTATTAGACTTTTGATTTTCAGGGAGGTTTATGTTAAATAAGCCGTAGACATTTTTAAATTAAAAATTGGAGAGCGAGTTAGTATCAACTTTTAACATTTCACGTCGATCGACAAAAGGAATGATGAAATTTTACCAAAGTTAAAAGGATTTACTTTATTTTTATCTTGTATCTAAGGCCGGTTTTTAAAAGGGAATCAATTACGGTTTGTAGCTTGTTGAAGTGATTGTTTTCGCTTTTGTGCGCGATTTTTTTCGTAAGCCGCAAGCATTCCAAGCAATCGTCAAATCTTTTTCAAATTTTTTTTTTAACCTCAGACTCAGATTCTCAAATCGATCAAGCGTACTTTAGGTGGTTTCTGATCAGTACTTCCGTAACAAGTGCAATTGTGAGATTTTTTGTACCTTCAATTATTGTTTTTCCGTTTTTCGCTTACCTTAAACCAATGAATTATGTGAGTTAGATGACCCCCATGGCCACAGGCTAAGCAAGCATTTGCTGCTCCCTTTACTGGCAATCCGCACAAAGTGCAGAAGAGAACGGGACGTTGGCAAGAACCACAGGCCGGTGTACGTTTAGGTTTCTTGCAGCTCGAACATTCTGATACGAACTCTAGTCCCTGAGGTTGCACTTTTGTGTACATTGTGTGCTTTAAAATCTGAAAATATGAAGTCAATTCAACTTAGAAAATATACAAAGACTCGCAAAGAGATTTTTACCAATGATCGCTTTGTTAGCAATTGCCAACCAAAGAGTATTTCGGCGTAAGCTTTTTTGAATTCATCAAACAGCGCCATCCTGCAAGGCCTAATTAGTGAACAAGCGTACAATTCAGTGCTAGCTAATTTAGCATCCATCCAGTCTAACGAATCGGACCAAGAATTACTGCGCAATTGTTTTACATAAAGGCCTGCTTTCCCGCTATTCGCTTTTGAGTGTTCAGAGTGAGTGTCTACGGGCAAAACTGTATGGTACGGTGAGGAATTTGGTGTTAGAAGTGGTAATTTATTATGATAGCCACTAGAAATTGCAACGTTAGCATCGCCGCCATCTTTCGGTGGTGGACATTTATGAAAAAGACACGCTAATGTCACTGCTGTTTGTAAATCTCCCGATGTTGCAAAATGCATAATTAACGCTTCGAGTAAGAACTTTTTAAAAGGATTGTAAAACAGCATTTCGTATTTGGTTTCAGAAGGTATATTAGGCGTTGCTATCTTTTCCGCAAGCGTCCATATCGGTAGCAAATCGTAACGTCCATTGGCCTCACAAATTTTACGATTCTTTTTGCATGTTTCAATAATATCACTTTTGTCAAGTGAGAGCTCTCGAGCCACCTCGCGGCTCATATTCAGTAGCTTACTGCAATCGTAAACGTGCACAATTGGGGAGGAATACGCTGGTTTTGGCATAGTACGATTTTTTGAATGTTTTGAATTTATGCGATCATGTAAATAAAAGGACGAATTTGAGTCACGATGCGTATATAATACTGGTTGCGGACCCATAACATTTCCCAAAAGACCGCCACCATTTATAGCTGACAAGGTACGAGGAGTAACATTTTGATGACGTAACGTTAGTCGTTTTGTGTTGAGCACTTGTGCGAAGTTACATAACATGCCAATGGAATTAAATGTGGCTGCTGATGTGCGAGGGAATGGTATACAGGCATCATGTAACGCGCCGCTAAGAGCTCCTTCTAAGCGAGGGGACTGCAAACGAAGCTGGCACTTCTCTGAACCACCGCCAGACTGCAAAGGAGATGTATTATCGAGGAAAAAAGCAAATAAATCATAAGCTTATACCTTTTTAAGAGCGGTTACTAAAGCTCTCAAACATTGTTCTAAACAAGTTCGTGACTTTTTTACTCGTTGCAAAGAATTTGTTTTGAGAACTTTCAACATGAATTTGGTAAGTTGATCGTGTAAAGTAGTGCCTTGGCAAAATGCAAATTCGGGACCGATATTCGGGCTAGGATATTCGGTTGGAAAAGTGGTTTGCAGTATCACTACATGGCCACCAGCGGAGATTTTAAAAATAGCATAGCGTTTGATTGCGTCCAATATATCGACTTCTACATGTGGCATATTAGTGTTCAAAAGTGAAAATTCATGATGCAGAGAACAGGTTGGCTGATCCGTCAGGGAGCGCGCTATGGAAGATTCCTCTTTTCTTATGTACGCTGCTGATGACGACAGCCTAGGAGGAGACAACTGGACGCAAGACAGACCACACATTTGTACAACGTCTAATCCCTCTGTGGTTGCTGCTTGTATGTGCATATTAGTAGTTTGCTGCAAAGAAGACGATTGAATTGCCTGAAATTTGGTTGGGGTCGCTGTGCGAGATTCTCCCCCCAACTCGTAGTTCTCGTTAGAATCTGAGTCTGGTTCACATAGTTTTAGCAACATATCGTCAATTTTCCAGACCCTCAATGTACGATCCCGTGACCAAGTAACTAATTCCTACCAGTATCGAATTAATTTGGTTTTTTTTTTAGATAATATTTGGAACACTTACGATTTCTGATGGATTTTCGCGGTCTGGACGCCAAGCAAAATCAAGAATAACATCCGTGTGTCCAACAAAAGAGCAGACAGGATCATACTGTTTGCTATTGCTCCAAAGCAAAAGACTGTTTTCGCCACGGCCTAAATGAGGCACTACTATACTTACCAGCCCATTGCCAATAGGCTGCGATTTTAAAAAGTGAATATCTAGTATCAATAAACAAAAATTTTCATTTTTACCGTATATCTTGCTCTCCACACTGGCGATGATGTCGTTATAATCTTTTCGGCACGACGAGGATTGTTGATATCAAAATATTTAACGGTACCGTCTTGACTGGCTGTGGCTAAGCACGTTTCCCGGCGATGACTCCAATTAATACCGTGAACTCTATAATATGTAAAGATATGTGAAGAACAATGTAATGATAAGACAAAATAAAAACCTGTTCAAATGCGCCGTTATGTAGTGTATGGGGCATGAACCTTTGCGTATATCCCATATCCGAAGATCACCGTCATGAGCGGCCGCTAGAAGATTGCCGGAAACGCGATTAAAGCCGACTTGTGTGGCACCCGCTACAAATAAACACGTGCTTAAGCATTCTTATGTGACGCAGATGCAAGCGACGAAACTTACACATACAAACAGCACTGAGAGATAACGTTGGCTTTCTCGAATCTCGCAAATCCCATATATGTGAAAATGTATCGATGGAACAGCTTACCAAAAGATGTGGATTCTTACTGTGCCAATCGATATCGGTCACCATACGAGTATGGCCACGGAGTGAATGTATATAGCGCGGTTCCGCCGCACCCCAAGTCATAACGTCAATATGCTGGCTTGTCTAATGGTTTGGTTGAAAATAACGCCAATCAAAATGTTTGCAAACAAGTAGAAGAAAACATACGGCAATAGCACACGACTCTTTGCTTTCCGGGCAGACAGCAAATTCAGCTGCCGAAACTTCATACTTTGAATTGGTGTAATATTTGCGCAATACCATGTTATCTTGACCCAATCGTTGCAAAGCCAAATTGCGTCGTCCCGCCAACAGTACCCACTGCCCGGTGAAATCCACAGACATCGCTGTGGCTTGTGATTCGCGATGTTCAAAACATTTGCTGCTTTGTCTTTTAATATACGGTTGATCTCTTTCTCTTTCCCCACTTCTTAAGGTGTCTGTGGGAGGCATTATCTATCTACTTTGCTTTAAACGAAGAACTGCGCGATCACTGGATGTACTTTTTTTGGATTAAACAAATGCCGAATTCCGTTTTAAAGTTTATTTTTGCTCATTTACGTTTTTTCTTCTTTTTTTTTTTGGTTTGTTGGAAATAATGGCTTACGATGACGGTCAGAGCTCTTATTAATTTTTGATCCTTTACGATTGATTTTTTACACTTTCGGCCTACTCTTCTCCTTCTTCTTTTATGATTTGGTTTTGAATTTTTTCTAGAATTTTCTTTTTTTTTTTGGTTTATAAACGGAGAATCTATCAGGCCTTAAACGATAAGAGTTTTTAATAAAATTTCTTTCTTTATGTAGTGAATTAAGGTGGAATAAGTAGAACATAAGAAAAAAAAACATTAACAGCTGTTCTTTGTACACTGCCAACTTTTCTCAAAATTAAATCAACAGTAAATTACAGTGTATGCGATCCAAAAAGTATAGCGTGCAACCAAAAAAGTATAGCGTGCAGGCAAAAAAGTATAGTGTGCAACTAAAATAATAAATGTTTAATGAGAGAAAGAAACTCACAGAGAAGAGATAGACAAGGAAAGTGAACGGGAGAGAATTAAAAATTCTAAACAAATCATACAAAGCACAGAACACAAACAATCAAATAAAGACAATTGCACAAAAATGCAATCCAAACGTCACGCACTGAATAAACAAAAAAGGAATTATAAGTTAAAAAAACTTTTAAGCAAAAGAAGAGACTAATATTTTGTTAGCTAAGCAGCAGAAGAAGCAACAAAAATCCTTAAGCAAAGCTGAAAATGGAAACGCAATTGTACAAATGTTTAGAAACTTCAATTGCGAATCATAATAAATATATCAATAGCGACATATAGAGTTTTAGCAGGCAACAGAATACGCCCATTTGTTTGTTAATCTAGGTACCTGTCTTCCTATGCCTTTGCAAAATGTGCAAAGTTCCCTACTGTGGATTGTTTAAAATTAGCAACAACTATTAGCGAGCTATTCCCGGTTTTTATTTACTTTCATATGGAGTTTGTAAGTTTGTATGTGTTTTATACATTTTATACATTTCATATATATACCTTTTATAGCGTTTAAATAGGACGAGATGGATTCGGTTGCCTGAATCGCAAGATGAAGATTTAACTTGGAGGAAATGTTAAATTTACCGCCCATTGCAGAAGAGGCTTTAACAAGCACTGGAAACGTGACATTTAATTGGAAAGTCTTAGTGAAGGTTTAAGAATGGCAAATGACCTTGGCGATTTCTTTATGAACATTGATCCGTCTATGGAACGAAGTCTTATTTTTAAGAGACAAATTGCTAATGCGACTGCTACATATCAGTCTGAATTGAAGGAGCTTCTAAAAACTGCCAAGCAGGAGAAACTTACAAAATTCTTCAAACCATTGCCTATACCTTAAGATAATTAATCAAAATGTTCAAAACCTTCAATTAAATTGATTTTTTATATATTTGATTTTTTTTTTTATTTTGTCACCTAGGAACGTATCCCCTATAATCCCATATAAATTACCATCCCGCATTCACGGTTTCTATATTCGCGGCATTTTTGTGGAATGTATACACCGCGAATAAGGAGCTTTTGCTATATTTCCTTATTCTTCGGTGATGATGTATATTCCATGTATTTTTGTACATTTTATCAAAAGTTTTTATCTTCTTATATGAATTTTGTCTTGTCGACAGTTTGTGCGGGAGGAGGGTGATCATCTGATAATCAGTAAAAATAAGACATGTGTGGACAAGCCAGATTGACTGCTTGGTGTCTACGGGTAAACATTTGTACGGGCGGACATGTTACCAGTAAGGAAGCAAAACACACGCAGTACATGTATATAATGTTTATGGCGCATTCCAGTTTTTTTGCTCCTTCATTATCATTGCGTTTGTTTTAATTTCATGACGATTTCGAATTTAAGAATTTTTTATCCTTTTTTTCTCTGTTTTAATATAATACTATAAATATTTATTTAAAATATAACGGCATAATACATAAATATTTACAATTTAATAATAAAAACTCTTACATGGTCTTGTTAGAAGAAAAATTAGGAAAATAAATTTCTTAATTGCCAAAGAACAATGTTTATTTAAAAACTAAATTAATAGTCACCGTAACCGTCATTTGTTATTAATTCATAAATACTTAACGGGGAGAAAAAAAAAAATGCTGTGCACATTTCGATATAAATTTCATTGTAAAAAAGGTAATGCTTCATAACGAAAAAAAAAAGTTACTTCATAAATTAGACAAAATGGCAAAACTAAAACCAATTCATATGTTTGCGGTACTAATTCAAATTCCTATGAAAAGAAAAGTATTACAATTATTATTTTCTATGTTTTCCTATTCCACGCTGTATTAAGTACCTGAAAACAATGTTCAAAAAAGAAAAAAAAAAACCAAAAAATGCTCAAAACTTAACACTACTCTTATGCATGTTTAATATTTAATATACAGCTAATCTAGCAAAAAAAGAAAAAAAAGGAAAGACAATCTCGATATATGAAAATAAATAAGAGATAGTACAGAACAAATGCGGAGAACGCAGCAATTTGTTACTAGGAATTCAATGTTTCGTTAAATTAAAATAATTAATAAATTAATAAAAACAATAACGGAATAAATGCTCCAATAGCTATATATAAAAGCAATCTAGAATCGTCCATCGAATATGGGTCCGGTTGTCTCGAACCATTGGTGATTTAAATTGACTTGTCTTTCCTTCTTTTCTTAGTTAAATTGGTATGTTGAACGGAGATGGATTAAGCCAATAGATTTGTGTAGTTAAATTGTTATTATTATTATTATTATTATTATTTTTTTTTTTGTGGTATGAATTCAAATCAGTGGAGCACATAGTCTGCGTACGATGGAAGACGGGAATATGAATAATTAATCAAATGTAAAGTTCCTTTAAAAGTGCTTTTTTAAAGCCAAAGTGGAATGAGAAGGCAAAAAATGCGCGACGGGTTTTATTGTCCCATGCTGTCTTGCGAGGGACACGAATATATCCTATATAACAAGTATTTTCATGCATTTCATTTAAATGTTTATACCCTACATCACTTGTGGTAAAGGGCATATTAAGTTCGTGCGGATGCACTTAATACACAGAAGGTCTTAAGATACGCCCACCTTTCATTATATCGATCTAAGCACATCTGTCTCACTCTTCGTCTGATGTCTGTTAATGCATGTTTTTTTTTCAACTAACAGGCCGGTGTTCTTGAAATGCTTTGGTTAAATTTGGTGCACTGAAATCCTTTGGCACAAGGACGATGGCTATTGAAAATAATTCGGATCGGACCGCTTTATAACGCTTTATTCCACTGAATTTATTTCTTAAAGATTTAATTATTTTTCACCTTAATGATCGTGGCTTCAAATCGCAAATGCAACAGACTTTCCAGTGAAATTGGATAGTGCCAAAATAGTGTTGACACAATTGACTTCCGTCCGTCCGTCCCAGCATATTTAGTATACCCTGTAACATAAGTCGCGTATAAATAAGACAACTACATGTCTTTTGCTGAGTTTATTAAGCCTTTCCTATTTAGTAGGATCTGCTTTGTTGACATACCTTTTAAGAACGAGACAAAGAAGTGTTCTCAACGCTAAAGTGTTTATAAAACCGTCCTCGTCATCAATTGTTTTTCCAGCGAAAAATAAGGACATTAAAAGAAAATAATTCCAATTTACGGAACTTTTATGTACCTATGAGCGTAAGGTATAAGGAGCGTTATTGTATGAAACAGGTTTCTGCAATTCACCACAGGATAGAGAGGATTAGTTATCATTAGGCGATATCAGCTAAACTCGCTTAGTTTGCCAACATGAATGAAATGAATTGGATTGCTGGATATACCTTTATAATCAGCCTGTATGTTGATGATGATGCGATTGATAAGGCGGGTATACATTTTTGTGAAATATGTTGAAAAGCAAGTAATAACACAAACGTATCAGGATTAAATTGTAATAAATGTAAAATTTTATTAGATATACGTAAAGGAAGTGATATCTTTTTCTACCAAATACTAAGTAAGGAACGCAAACTTTCAGTAAAAAGAGTCACCGAGTTTCTTGCAACATTTTCTATACTATAAGATAATTCAATTCAACTGTTGCTAACATTTAAAAATCTTTTAGACTAACAGCTTAGTACATATTTGAGCATTTTAAAGCTTAAAATACAAAATTATTTATATATATATTTTATATGCAAGAATGCAATTGATACTCGCAAACAGTATCTACGTGTTTACAATGTAATCCTAAAGTACTTAGAGGGAAGTAACAAAATATAAGGAAACTTTCATTTCATTTATATGTTGAATTGAAAATTAATAAATGAAAGAGTAACGCTATGAACACTATGGCGGCATAAAAAACCCAATTTGGGCTATAAAAGTTTAGATTTATTTAGGGTATTAAATAGATTATATGTGAGATGCCTTTTATCTGTGGCAATAACAAAACATTTTAAATGCGTAGTCGTCAATGCAGTAACTTTGACTGCTATAAAGATTTATGCGGCTTATGGTGCCGGTTAAAGAGGTTGAATAACTGGACATGCGGACTGTGGATTCGAACAGACCTAGACCCGGTTTTGTTTGTATGCGTAACGTGACATCGATAGCATAGTCGCTTAGACCCTCTTCTTTAACAATTTTGTGATGAGGAGCAGCCACAATGGCTTCCAATATTGAATTTAAATACAATATTCTGCATTGAGGAAAAGGTTTAAGGCGTTCATTGATTAATTTCACAATGTATCGCGCGGCGCGTTGTACTCGACCATCGTTAGTAGGCAAATTTTCGCGCTGATGACATGTACACCAATGCGAGGCGATATTTGCATTGTCGCAAGAACGTGTCTCAGGTATCGGCAGAAAAAGGCTAATGCCTCGTGGGACAATATTGTCTGCATCGATAAGCTCTGAAGCTCGAGTTTCTAGCCGCTGCTTTTCTAAAGTTCGCATATCTAACAAATCCAGCATCGTAGCATACAAGTCAAACGGTGTAGTTAAGCGTTTAGCATTGCTTTCCATATTAGCAATGGCTGCCGGGTACTTTCGTTTTAACCAATCCGGGTAAAGGGTTATTAAAAGAGGCAATCGTTCTTCCATCATACCTTGGTAAGTTTTACGAAACGAACCCCAACGTAAACCATGATCGCTCATAAGGAATATGACAGTCCGATTGAGAATGCCAGACATTTCAAAAATTTTTAATAAGTCCTTGATGTCTGCATCAAGCAACATTGGCATATTGAACATGTCATGCGTCATCGTGACGGTCCAGAAGAATGAAAAAAAATTTCCTGTCGCTAAGTAGGGAATTAATTTGCGTATAAATTCCAAAACCACATCTACTGTACGTCGGCCACCTTTGCATAATTCAACGTTGAAACTCTTCATATAGCTGATGTGCTGTTCCATCTCTACCAAAATTGGATGCAAATAATAGTCGGTGGGGGGACGCTTAAAACCAGAACGGCAATAACTGAATAATCCCATTAATCCTACATCTTCAGCATAAGCCGTTTTATAGCCAGCATCTTTGTAGCGCTTCCAAATGAAGGAACATTTGTCGTATTTAGCAGAATGCGGTGTTGGTCCCAAACAAGATATGGCCAATTCGCTTTCATCAAGTCCGCTCAAAGCCGGTATAAGATTCGGATAAGTATTGTCTCCCACTTTGTTGTATCCCCAAAATTCTACATGATTGAGATTTTGATGGATATGGGTGCTCGTCACACGCATTTGCCGCAAAAAATTCAAATGAGACACACTGTCAATGCCTAGTATCATGACTGATATACGATCGATGGAGAAGTTCGGATGCGGTCGCGGTGGCTGTGTCATTTTATCGGGCATCTCTGGAGGTGGTGCCGAAAGCAATCCTTTTATAGGTGTCGTCATCGATTCATTTGACGACCTTCTTAATTCTCTGTCGTCACTTTTCATTTTGTCTAAGATAAAAAAATGAAAATCTTTATGGATACTGTTCTGATTAGAGTCCCAACATTCCACCTTTAAAAATTCGATATATTCTTTAATTGGCATCGGTTGATTGTAATGTAACTTTAACGGCAATGATTCCATATAGCGGTTATGTTGATCGTCTATACGTTTAATTTCTGTGTAATTACACGTTATACTCTCAATGTCACTGATACCGTACACCTCTTCAATTTCGTTAGCATTCATATTCAGTAAGAGATAGGATCCGTGATCGGCTGTTCGTGTTAACGATTTCTTGCAAGTAAAATTTTGCGGTCTAAACATAAACTGTATAATATTATCATCAGTTACGGGAAAGTAAGGCATACGACAACCAGGCAAATCCACAAAGTACGCTTGTGTTATATTATAATCAGCATCGATGCGTGGTATAAACTCAAAATGATCTTTAAGTTGCAACAATTTTGTCTTTAGATTGTAGTCGATGAATATATAGGAAAAGAAGCATAAGCACAGCACCAGAAAGATAATTTTCTTAAATTGTCTTCGTTTCTTTGTCATATTGTAATACCGATAATAATATTGTAGATCTCGTTTCGTCATGTAACGAGGATCAAGCAGATATTTGCCTCTGTAAATAAATAAAAATGTTTCTTTAATATCTCACGAGCAAATTTAAAGTGTAATTAATAGATAAACAACACATAAACACATAAACGGAGTTCAAGTGGAAATTACTGAAGAAAGCAGTGCCTTTTTACTTCTGGTATAACTAGGCTAACTGATTGTTTTAGAGGACAGCTTCTAAAACATTAATAGATTAAAATTTGCTTTTGTGTTGAATTAATGTAAAAGGAGTGACAAACTATGAAGATTTTTAGTAAAAATATATGTTGAATTAGTGCCGTTTATTGTTGGGATAACAAGCCGGGCTCAAGTTTCTATTCTCTATGAAAATTGATTGTGGATCCGGTGAAAAACCCCTACTAAATGCTAATTCACGTAAAAACGAGTAACGATATTGAATACGATTTTCGATGAAAACCTCGGATTTTTTTCTGCAGACGAATCTATGACGCTGCCAATGCTTAAACAGCTTTAATTGCTAAATTAGTTCTGTTATGTATTTACGCAGACGAATCTAAATGCTAAGCATGAGAGACGATTTTCGTGCTATACTTTTAAAAGGGTTCTAATAACTTAAACTGTTGTTACTCCTTTAATGAAGCATAGATTTGGAATAACCATGGACGTATATACTACAGTTACTAGTTCGATGGCCGTTCTTGTGCACTATAAGTAGGACAGAATTGATAAAATAATGAAACTGCGCTAAAGTTCTGTCTTTATGTCTTGTTTATTTGATTTATGTAATACAATAAGCGGGGTTTAGTTCCTAAGCGTCTCTTAACGGGTAATGCTTTGTTGTCCGCTTGAAGTTGAGGGCCACTTTCACAAGCGCTTGCAGACTGGCCTTGTGACTTCACTTGAACAATCTTTTTTCGCTTCTTAAGCGAGATGAAGAGTTTATCCTCACAAAACTTTTTTCACCTTACACTTAAGTATTTAAGAGATCTTCGGGGAAGATAAAAATTGATGTTAAAAAATAAGTTGTATATGATAGATCTACCATTAAAGCTTCAATATATTACTGAAATCTTAAAGTTTTATTAGAATTGAAAACATGTGTACACCTAATAGAATTTTGCGGACTGATTTTGAAAATTCTGTTTAAAGTTTACAACTGACCGTCAATATAAGGTAATATGAAGAGATTTTTGCTTATAACTGATTAGGTAAAAGAACAGACAAACTTTGTGTGAAAATGCATTAAATCGATTTATTGACATTGGGAAAGGTATCTAAAACTCGCCTTGAAAATGTGTCTCTAGAGAATTTCATTAGTTAACTTAATGTGATTACTTCTCTCATGCCATCAGGCATGAACAGGCACAAAAATATTGGATCGCTTTCTATTCTATTAAATGCCCTTAGTTGAGATTATATCAATTGCCAAATTATCATATGTTTAAAAGTTTTCAAACGTTTTGAGAGTTGATTTTCATACCTCCTGATGATTGCATGCAATGTTGTTCGTATAACACAAATGCTTTCACTAACACCTATTTTTCTGATCATTTTTATTTTTACTTAAAAGAATATATATGAGTATATGAGTGACCTTATAATCTGAAAACTTGCTTGCCCGTCGAAGTAATACGTTTGCCCTAATATGATGTTAATCCACCTTTATCACATCACATCATCAAATCCTGTATTTTTTTTTTTAATAATAAATCGCATTTTCCTTTCAATCCTTCCTTTTCAGTGGCTCGAGTAAAGAAATAACACAAATACCTATATACTGCTATTATATAAGTTTGATAATCCGTTGCGAAAATACTGAAATATTGTTTTTGTCTTTGTTGTTGCAGCAGTAGCTGTGACTTACTCATAGTTTATATTCATTTCACCATTGGATTTTCGTTTTTCATATAAAAACATTTATCGAAATCTTGTCTTCGCAAAGAAATTTGCAATTTTTGTAAAAACTCTAATAAAACTGATGCATTGGAATGATTTTCAATTAATTTTTTATATTCATTTCTTTCTAATTTAAGTTTAGAATTATCTCAAATTTGATGCTGGCGAAGTAATTTTGTTTCTTTCTTAAAAAGCTTTTCTTTTGACAGATGAAAAATAAATGACATGCGCCTTGCTATATCGATAGCGTAATCAAAGCAAGGATGCCAAGGATGCTGCAAATCAAATTAATATAAATGAAATTGAAATTGAAACGATCCCTTCAAGTAATTACTTACTAATAGTGTCAAGCTCATCTGTAACGGATTTTTTTTACATACAATAAATTTACTAAAACGCAAAGCTAGGGTAATAAATTTTAAGTATTTTCTATGCGAGTGAAAGCGAAGCGATCTAGAAACACATCAACGTAAAACAATGTAAACAATGTCCGTCTTTCATTGGATAATTTATATGGAGACTCTTTGGAGTCAGTTTTGTCATTTCATAATCCTGTAGTAGCTTTTAATGGTAAATTGACTTTCGTTTGTAAGCCTAGACCGGCGTTTGGTTTTCGTTATTTGAACATGCATCTATTCATCGGTCGATATGATGAAATCCACCTAAAACAATTGCTCCTTGGCGGATTAGAATGAATACTGTCCAGGCATTATCTCCCTATGAACATCGATTATATCTGATCAATTTACTTAGCCTTGAACGTAGAAGATTCAAGGCGGTATTTCGTCATAATTCTTGGTCAATAAGCTTGATTTTAGTATTCGTTCAAGGAGTTTCCTTGTCCTTCATTTACTTTAATGTGGGAGTAGTTATAAAATCTTTCTTCTTTTTTCGTCTTAAGCAAAGAATTTGACAATAGATCTCTCGATGTCCAGCATATAATTCTTGTTGTAGCCAACAAGGCTGTAAAAATAAGGGAAAAAAAAGAATGAAAGAGGATTTGTTTGTATCAAAAATTAAAGAAACCATAAAATTAAAATGGCAGGACTTCAGACGAAGCATTGGAAAACTGCGTTAAACGGGAATAAATTATTTCTTGTTTGGTTTCAGTGGAATTGAGAAAAGACCTCATTACTGTTGTTAGAGATGCCGTTGAATTTCTCCACTGTAGTTTTTATTTTATAGAGTATATTTTCCATCATCAAGATTGTAGATAGAATGTAAAAATTTATATGAAACTGTATATAAACATACGTTGATGATATTTAATGATATAGAACGCACAGTACGTGACAATCAAATTTATTAGCTAACAACATTCATATGTGAACAATAGCTATTAATTATAGCCGCACAATGATGACCAATAAATTGGAATTTTGCAAATATCTATGAAAGAACTTCGTCTAGTGTGCATCTGCTTTAGTAGGTTTTTTGTACCCTAATCCACTTGTGGTGCAGTTTGTGCGAACAACATCTAGAAGGATTTGAGGGAGATCTATTTTTTACTTTGTAGATCGATTCAGAATTATTTTCTATATCAATCTAAGTTTTCCTGTACGTCTATACGTCTGATGTCTATCCATGTGCTCTTGTCTTCTACCTACACATCGCAATCTTTGATGAAATTTGTCACATTGCCGCGTTTTGTTCCGAGGACGAACACTATTGAAATTAATTCAGATCGGACTAACTTTTCGATTAAAAATAGGCGTTTATATGCCAAAGAGTTTCAATTTTTAATATTTTGTGATAAAAATTGGTCCTTATTAAAACAATCTTACGCAATTTGGACCGCATAGGTCTAGTTTTTTGATCGCGGCGTATACAGGGCTTCCTATGAAAGCAAATCCTTCAATGGGGACAAAGTATAATTTGTGCTTTGTTATGATGAAAGCAATTTGAAAATAATAAAATCGTTGATAAGTAAACTAAGTTTGCTAAAATCGGACCCCCGTTAGTTGACATTTTGAAGACTTTCATGAAAATCATGGATTTACTTAAAAAAAATATACAATTTTTTGAGTGTATTATTAAGCAAATGCGTGAATGATTGATTGTATTAGGAGAAGTGGCCGATTTTGCTCGACGGTAAAATTCTTACTTGCTTTTCTTATATGTATTTTCAGGAAACATTGTCAAAGATCAGATTACAAGCAAGGGTTTAGATTGTATTCAAACAAGGATTTTGTATGACATGCTCTACGCAACGGTTGATGGTGCAAATGAATTCTACTATCACGAATATCTGGTAAGTGTGATGTTTGTAAACTAAAAGATGTGCTACAATCTCTGAAAGAGTTTGCAATGCAAATCCGATCATGTAAGTAGCGGACTCGATACACCTTTCTACGAAATCACGATTATCGTCTGAAAAATTGATGTAGAAAACAGATTTGAATTACAATTTGCACATTTGCAATAAAGACTGAGCTAAATGAAGTTGTAATGGGACTTAAGATTGTGTACATAAAGTGTTACAATTAAAGATTAAAAACACGAATTAAAACATATTTAGGATTAAAGGTCATAATAATTAATGAATAAAGAAGCTGAAAAGTATTGCAACAAGCATCAGCATCTGCAAGTGTAACAACAGCAATAGTCCTAAGAGTACAATATATTAAAAGCAAAGAAATGAGAATATTATATTCGGCCATGGCCGAATTTTACATTTTGATATGTTCGTTTTTTTTGCTTTTCTTTGTTCCGAGTAAGAAATTTGTGAACATGTGGCTTCCATTTTCAGCTTTATTATAATCTTGGAATTAAGCCAAAAATACCTAAGTTTCGTTTTATCAGCTTAAATTTGCGTCGCTTTGAATATGTTCGCGAAAGAGGGGTTGGAGACTGGAAGAAGAATCAAGATGCTCTGTGAAGTGTCACTTTGTAACTATTGTCATTCTGCGCGTAATAATGACTTTAATAGCAATATAATGCTAGAGTACCGTTTACTTATGTTATCCAAGTATTTTACTTATCTATTTATTTAAATAAATACAGTACTACAGAGAATTGCTGCCAATTTGTATTAATGGATATATGCGTGTACCTTTCATTTATCCAGAGCAGCTATTACTTTGCAAGTTACTATGCTATGAAATTCGATGACGTCTATACGGATGACTAACCATGTCTTGGAGTGGACAGAATACGAAATTCATGCCGAAAAGACAACTAGTCTTTCAATGCTGCCTGCAAAGGATCCACTTTTTGAATATGGAATCGCTTTTCGACCAAGCAATAATTTGTTGATTGAGACCAATGCTGTGTCCGAAGAAGCAATGTCCACTTAATATAGCTAAGAGAATAGCAAAGTGCAGGTTACCCTTGCATAGAAAAGTTATGCTACATTAGGTCGAGCGTTAGCATGCTGCAGAAACACTCTGCCATTATTTTTGGCTTATTGCGTCCGGTTTAATTGCATCAATTTCCTTTTCGTTTTATTGAAGTACTTCATGGAACATCGTTTAAGGTAATGATGCTCTCGGCCTTGCTTTTTGCTCTACCAATAATTTATGGGTTCTATCTTCCTTCATTCGTCTCCTTCGTCGAATTAAACGTGAAAAAGCAATAGTTCACGCTTTTTGAATAAGTCGACCTATTCACACTTGTGTGGAAAGCTATGTAAACTTTAGTGACATACGAGCGCATAAGATTCAACCTCTATTTGACAGACGCCGTCTTACGAAATATGTGCAAAATAAATCCATCTTTCCTACGTCTGCTCAATCGTGATCAGTTCTAATGACTAAAGAGCTTTTAGCCTCAGAGCAATTCGTTGGCTTTCTTCTTATTATTTCAGTTTCTCCTAAAGCTCTTCCTCTTTCCACTATACGGATTTTCTCAATTAAGTACACATTGATGCATGTAAAGAAAAACGTATTAACTCATACGTCCCGTACATATCTTATTTTCTTATTGGAAAATTTTGTTAGTTTGTTTTGCTTGTTTGGATTCCCAATCGGAATACTTAACGATTTAAATAAGTTTGCGTCCTTGTGATCTCCTAATTGGTTGTAATATTGCTCAGTTGTGCCATGATTTCGTCTTTATTTGTCTCTAAAGTAATTATACTCAACTAAAAAGTTCAATCAATCGATTATGTAACATGCATAAAAGCGCGTTTGAGATTAAAGTGTCATTTAGAGTGCATTTAAAAAAATCTATAAAAGGTGTGTATGTCAACAGACTGATCGGCATTATTTCTGCCTGACCAATTGGAGAACTTGAACAATATATCTGCTAAGTGTAATGAATGATGGGTATCAAGTTTCATTCAACACTATTTTGAGACTTTCGTTTTCATGCCTTACGCTAGGTATGAGTAAAAATATATTAAATAAAGCACTTTCTCTTATTGCTTGCTCCAAAAGCAAATAGTATTGGAAATGGTTTGAATTGCAACATTGTTCTGAGCACAGCTCATATAATAGACGCTTAGTCTGGAAATGTTATTATAAGAAAAAAGTTTTCTGTTCCCAGCAGTTCCCAAAACATCGATGAATAATAATATTTTAGCATGCTGAAGGAATGCGAAAACTTGGGATCGGATGAAACCGCTTTTGGATCTCTCTTATCCTCTCCCTGTCTACTACATAGGCGTTCCTAAATAGAGAAGGCTTATGTACAGCAAAACAGCGTAATAAAAATTTTCCCCGATTAGTTTGGACTATATAGTTTTCTTTTCAGGATCTCTCCTCATATAAGGTATCGCACTACAATTAAGTGTTTATGCGACAACCGGTTATCATTAGGTTAAAGATTTTGCCATAGAGTGTAAGTTGATAGTTGATCTTGTTCACCTACAAAGTTTTTTTAACTTGTTATACTTCCTACCACTAGTGGCAATTCAAAATTAATCTAAGGATATCTGTCCGTCTGTTTGAATAAATCTTGTCCACGTAGTTTTATTTTTAAAGGATGCAAAATATTTTAAAGAAAATTTTTTCATTAACTAATTTTGGCTTAAGGACGCACGCCGATGAAAATGAGTTTAATCGGATCATTTTTGACTTCAATCTCCGTATAATTCAATATTTTGAAAATGTTGTTACATGAAAGAAAACCATTGAAAAGTAATATATTATGGAACATGGACGTGGTCAAATGTTCTCCTCGGCATCTATTTGTCTAGAATAGGAAATCGGCTAATACAGATATTCTAGCAAGGTCCGACACCTATATGGGAACCCTCTTACAAAGATACAAGGTTTAATTTTCTGTATTTGATGAGGAGAAAAGTTGTGACATATTGAATTATGTTGTAGGACACTTGAAGGTCATTTCATTAAACCGTTAAAAAAATCTCTGCTGAATACTGCAATAATTGTTTATATTGCATCTACAATTTTGATAACTATACGACTCACAGATTTGCATTTTAATACTTTATGTTTTTTTATTTTTTTTATAAAATATTAACATTTATTTCATCGCCGTGTTCTTTGAAAAGGATATTAAACTTTTCTTGCATCAAAACCTTTTAAAATTTATTAATATCTTCGCAGTGAACTTTAAGAGAATTGCTCTACAAATTTGTTTTTAATTTAATTAAGTAAAAAAATTTAAATATTATAAAAGATTGTTTTTTTATGAAAATTATCACAAAATAATACGAGAAAACTTTATTTTTCACTTATCTTTGCCTAAAGCAAATTTGCAATATTGCTCTTAAGCAATTTGCTGGCTAGTTGGAGAAATGTTAAACTTAATAATTGAATCTGGAATTATATTTAAATTTAATTAAAGTGAATAAAAGCAATAAAAGCATATTTGCATTTGCTTATTTATTTATAGGGATTTAATTTTTTCGATTTAATCTTAAAGGCATAAGCTTTAATGTGAACATGATGACTGAGTATCCAGCCATTATCCAAAAATATTAAATTCTTATTCATTCATAAACGTTGCATGCATACAAACAAAACAGTGTGTGTTGTAATTTCATATGTAAAAAATTCCACATCCCATATCCTTGATATGAATAGTGAAAATAAATACAACAAAGAAATTAATAACGAAAAACGATGAGAAAGCATTTCTTTGTATCAACGATTAAAGGAACATAAGGCCAAAATAGCAGGACTTTATAAGAAGCATTGAGACGCAGCACTATAATGACATATGACATATTCGCGTTTGGTAGAATAGGGAAATCCTTTCCTGCCGCACTTTTAAGCAAAACTTCTCATATCAAGGACGCATTTTTATATGCAGGATCGTATTCCTTATCTCGAACTCAAAACGTAAAGTGGATGATATTATTTTAGACGTAGCAAGGGCTTGCCATTAAGAGCTGATCGCTTTCTTGTCGCAAACCCAATATATTACCAAAATCGCTTACGTTAACTATAGCTATTAATTATATGACTGCAAAGTTATGGTCAATAAGATGGATTTTTCGTGGAGCTATAAAAGCATTAGTTCAAGCATGCATACGTTTTAGTACAATCACTTACTTTCTTTGAAGTGCTATCAAAATTCAAACTATAAAATCAAATTCAAGTGCCAAGTTGAGAAGAATTTCTCAGTTTCAAATAATTGAAGAATCGTTGTCCATGAGAACACTAAAGCAGTATAATGATCGAACAATTATTATATAGCTGCCTGCGTCAAACGTTCAAAATAGTGCATAACTGCTGCGATTTTCGTTTAATAGTGCAAAGCAATCGTTGCACTTTTGCTATGATGTTCATCTCTTTAATTTGTTTGCAAACTATGGATGTAAGGTTATGTTATCAGGTGGGAGAGGTGGAAGAGATATTTACAAAATTAAATGATTTTGAACCTGTAAATGGCAAACGTTCGCAACTTGCTGCAACTAGCGTTGGTGAACCCGAAGAGATATTTAGTGCTAAAGATCCAATTGAATCAAATTACAATGAATATCCAGTGAGTAAAATTTATTTTCCTATTGAAATATCAAGTTTTTAAATAAATAAGTTAGCGCAGGCTAACGTTAAAGCGGAAGCGAAAGTTAAATGGTTTCAAAGCAAAATTTTAGATTTTGACTATAATCAAAGTCACTTAGTCAAAAAAAATCTTACATACTTCCTCAGAAGGTGTTAAGTTGAAATATCATGTCATTTGATTGATGATGAAATTACATTATTAGTATGGCAAGCTACATAGCACATAGCTACTTACTTACCAAAGTTTAACCGAAAGTAATTATAGCTATACATATCTATATATTTTTCTTATTTCTTTGAATAAAATGTAATTAGAAATTCTAAAGCACCATCCCTAGCTCTTTTGACCGGGTTTGGACACTTCACTAGCTCAACGAACGATTAGTAGTCAGGCAAAGTCCCTATTTATTGATTGTTGTCATCTAGGCATGATATTGGCAATGCACGAGCCTTAAGAAGAGTAAAGTTCATCATAAGCATTGCCTCTAATATATCAATTAGATTGCGGACATTGTTTAGATTCTTACTAAGAATCTGAAGTGAGGAAAATAATTCGAAATTGCGTCCATATTGGCTTAGCCTTATTAACATTTATGTAGATTTCACTCAACAAGGCTTTTAACTCAACAACTCCGTTAATCAATTTTACTAACAATGCGATCGCAAAGTCATGGTCAATAGAGGGGTCCATGGCTTCCATGGGCAAGTTCTTTAAGGCAAAAAGCGAGAATTGTTTTTGAAACAATTCGATTATATGAACATAGCAACCATTGGTTACCTCCGCAGCTCGTTCGTTTTTTTGTAATGTAGGGAGCTTTGAATTCAGCGCTTAATGAATCCGAATGTAAAAATTGCTTCATTAATACTGAACAGAATAGTATTGTAAAGTAAACCGTTTTGCGTTTGAAGTTAAGCTGTAAAGGGTTTACTTCCAATTCTTAGTAGATAAGATTGTATAAGGTTTTATACCCACCACTGAAGGATGGGGGTGCACTCATTTTGTTTTTTTTCGTAATGTATGCGATACTCAGAGCCCTTACAAAGTACATATATTTTTGTTCAGCGTGAAATTCTGAATTGATTAAGCCATGTCTGTCCATCTGTTCGCGTGTGTCAGCGTGGTGTTTGTCGTTGGCACTTTCGTGGTCGCATAAATGAAAATATCGACTTCAAAATTTGGTAGAAATATTGGAAGTTTTTGCATGCAAGTTGGTATTCGAAATGGGCCAAATCGGAGGAAGGGCCCGCTTTCAGTGCTACGTAAGCTGAGAATACCTCAGTTTTTCGTAAATATATAAAAATTTGATTTTTGCTTATTATTCATAAACTATAGCAAATAAATCTAAAAATATTTGAACGTGAATTAAGAACATCTACCCATTATTGTAGTGTACAAACTTCAAAAAACCCATAAGACTTATAAATATTTGTCTAGTTACAGATTTGGAATACATCTAGGTATGTCCGTCTGCCTGTAATGTCTGGGATGAACCTTCTCTCGATCGCAAAAATGAAGGCAAATTTCCGAAAGAGTTTGAAAATGGCGCAAACAGGCCAAAGAATGTGCTTACAGTGCCCACACGTCTATACAGTGCTCTACACATCTATCGATGCTTTCTGTGCATTTGCCGCTTTGCTGATAAACTACAATAGTTACTCGACATAAATTATCATAAAATTATTCTTCAATTCAAATAGAAAAAAACAGCCTCACCCATGTGGTGACCATTAAAGTTTTTCGCTTTTTTCAATCGTGATGGGTATAAAAGATTCGGGTATTATTTCTTTATTGGTTCTATTTTATGGTGAAGCTGGTAGGCATGAAAGATTCGACCACAGTCGAATATATTATTATTATTATTATTATTAATTTCGCCAGTGAAATAAATTCTAAGACTAAACTCTTAAAAGCACTAGCATCTAAAGCTATCGGCTTTTATTAAAAACTCTACCGCAGTTGAGATTCGAACCCACGACCATTGTCTTCCTAGTCGAGATTCCTCGCCTTCGGCTACTCAGGCGGATACTTTTTTAATTGCTTTTAATTTTTTTAATTGCTTCGAAAGTGATTGGTAACTGATTGATATGTAACTAAGCTGTGATCTATGAGAGACATTGGATTGGAATTTGACATTGAAGTAATTAGTTAGCGATAACAGTATTTGGCTCACTGCCAGTAAAGAAAAGATCATTATTCCCATATATTTGACTTATGATAAGTATATCCATGATTTTTGATTTATTTGCTTTCCGTCTCTTTACAGATGATAGTTCCGAAAAAAAGAACGTCTTTACTTCTCGATCGATTAGTGATGGCTTTACACCACGCCTTAGCAAAAAAACAAAACGCCAGCCAATTTATCGATAATGTGCAGTCGGATCGGAACGATGCTTATTCTCGAATTCGTTATGATGAAAATGAACTTAAGAATGGAGAGACAAGCAAAGGTGTTGTTTGTTAACTTATCTCATGCATGTTGAAAACACTTAATAATTTTTTTGTACATCTGCATACGGTAGACTATGCGATGCATGGTGTTCTAATTTAATTTGAAAATTTTTAGCTAATGCTAAGGATAACCGTGTCCGAATATGTTTATCCGCCTTTCAATTGGCTTATAGACAGGGCGGCGTTACTGAAAGGGTTTGATAAAATTGGTTTAAAGCTAGTGAACTTTTCCCAAAAAAGTGAATCGCGTCAAGTTAGGTGCTATTAAACAATCTATTACAATCTATTACGGTTTCATCATCTGGTATCAAGAGCCACAAAAGCAATCTTTCAGCTTCGGCCTGACAGCGGAAATAGCCCATTGCGAGAGTTTCGTAGTAGCTATGGTTGCCCCCAAATTCACGGGAACATTAAATATTTGATGTGTTAGATAGGCCGCGCCGTAGTCAGACGGAAGCACATGTGGAGCGCGAGCGACGCTCTTTTACTCCGTGTGCCAGTTAAGCCTTCACGGCCGGTACCTACGTAAAACAATTTATCAAGTCTGCCATCCTACGGAATAGTCTCTGCGTCATCAATAAATACATATATATCTCCATAGATATTTTTGGCTCAATTTACTTTTTTGGGTATATAAAAGAGGAATGGATATAGTTTCAGATTTATTCTATGCAATAAAAACTCTCCTTTTCTTTTGTATTATCGTATATATATATATATATATGAAACGATTGAAGTACACGTAAATACTGTTTGCTCTCAAAACTTTTAAAAACCATACATTTTAAGCGAACGTATTTATAGTCATAAAGGGTAGCAACGCAGGACTTACATCTTGAAGTCTCGTCTTCAGTTAGTCTGTTCTGTTTCCACCAAAAAGTTTGCTCGCTTTCAGACAGCGGCAATTTCGATACCGTCACAAGTCAGTCTCCAAACGGGAAAGATCATACATATTTCCTTTCCTCACAACAATTTGCTTATGGGTATATCTTTCATTCATATATGAGAAGGTGCCGCGCTTGAGGGACCATCATCGCGTAAGGTTATGTTCTTTCTTCCAATATGTATACATATATGCATACAGTTTATGCAAATCTTTTGTAAGTAGCGTCTTCGAGGCAATCTCTAAGGAAAACGTGCACCAGCTTGTTGTTGTTTTTCATAAAAGGAAGTCTTGAAATATCCTAATTGTTCTCTTATTCAAGTTTATATAGTTTGCGTATATGCTGTGTTTCCTTTTGTGCCAAACAACAAAGCTTACAGTATCTGAGCGTGGTATTTATGCTAACGTTGCTATTTCCTTTGTAACTTCAAAAAAATACAAGTAAAAAATCCCTAACAGTAGCGGGAAATTAGTCACATTTATTACCTTGGGACACGTGTATGGGTACGGGTGGAAAAAGGGATTTGAAAAAATACGTAACAATAACGACAAGGTTTCAAAATAAAAGCTGCAAATTGTTCCAACTTATATAAGAGATAGGCGATTGCATCGATTGGGCGCCCAAGACATACCCCTAGTAACCACTAGCACTGTGTAATGGTTACGATCCGTAGGTGAAGCAATATACCATACAAAGTACAGGTATACATGTAAAATTCTCTGTCCTTAGAGATTTTGGTATCGACAAAAATGTTTGTTTCATGTCCGTCTTTTATAATGTTTGGAACTGAAGTAGGTCACTTGGTGACCCTCGTGTCATGATTTGCCAACCCCTGCTCTATAATATCCCAAACTCATGATGGTATAAAAAAGGTAGTACAATTAACAGACTAATATATAAGATTGTCGCTTAAGATTAAAGACACGCTTCTCATTTAGCTTAATCGTATTTTTCATAACTTGGCTTACGAGTATTTCATAAGCTGCTGAGTGTTATGTAATTAATTCTGTCGCGTTTACATCTTATGGTAATTAATCTATCGTTGGGTTTACATGCAGATGCACCACTTAATGATGACATGTACAGTGATGATGAGCCCGATTTGGGAATGGACTATAACTTTAGAGATCTGAATTCCATACATCGCGCTACAGGTCAAACTGTAAGTTGGATTATTAAAGCCTAGTAACCTTATGAGATTTTGGCCATCAGTAAGAAAATTTTGGCAATTGACACAGAGATTTCAGAGAAGAACAAATAAAGGTATGAATATTGGCCACACAACGTTATTGACCGCAGCGCTTAGATCAGCACGTTCGCCGCATAATACCAACACTCGTGCATATTGGCGATGTTACTTTAATCCTGTAAGCTGCTTTTAAAAACAACTACATTTTGTTCATTTATCCTAATACGGCATTTCCATTTCTGTATGTGTTTATGTGTGCAATTAGATAAAATCATAAGAAATTTTTATGAAATAAAAGCTAATATCTTGCAATTTTATGCGCGTCATTGAATTAACTTCAAATGAAACTTTAATATCATTTCTACAAGTTTTTATTTACCTATACTAAGAATATTTATATATATATGTATGTATTTAATAAAAATTGATTTTATATGTTTACATTGTCATTATATACGTTTGTAACACTTTCATGTTCTCATCTATTAAAAATATAAAATTCATTCTAATTTCTACTTCTCCACGTAGTGCTTAATATAGTTAAACTTCATTATCTACAATAATTCGATAAGCATCAGTTTCCTCTTTGTTACATTGGGTTATAAGATTACATTGTCGTTAATGGCTTAAATGGAGTTGGAGTTTCAATGAACTGGGTCCAGTTAGCCTTGAGTAAGATTGTAATTCATCTGGTCGGCTGTGGAGTCTTGTGTAAGGCCCAAGGCACACGGTATTCTTTTGACAGAGGTTGTGACATTTATTTTCTCCACTCTTGATTCAAGGTTTTCTTGTTTTTTTTTATTACAAATTGCTTACGAAAATCGACAGCTAACGCTAAATAGCCGCGATTATTACATTATTCAAGATCTCGTGTTATAAGCAAGTCAAAATTTTTATGTGGATTCCACGGCAGTGCTTAATTGAAATTGATCATGATGACGTAGAAAAATCTCGTCAGAATTTAACTTATTCCGCAGTCATAAAAGGAAAACACAAAGATGTAGAAAATGATGGTGCTTAGGAGAAGAAGAGAACAGCAAAGAATGGAGCTGAGGGAATGATTATTTGCACAATCACTCAAGGACACCCGATATGCAGTTTCAAAAAAGAGTATCGGATTTGTCAATTATGTAAAGTAAAAGACGAAGAAGTCAAAACGTAGTTTAGTAAGGATTGTCAATAAATTAACATCGAACTATTTATTTATTTTACTGAACAACACAAGAACTATTTCAGGATGTTACGAAGACTGAATAGCTTATCTGATAATACCTTGTAATAAGTATTTGGAATTGTTAAGCAATGGATTATTCTCTTGGCTTCAAAGTCGATATGAAGTCGTTTAAAATATGTCAGTGTTCGCTTCAGTCATGTCCAGTCATTTTTCGTGAAAGAATTGAAAGGAACTTCTTTCAGCTTGCTTTGAAAAGTTTCTTTCACTCTTCAATTGAGAAAAAATTACTTTTTCATTGGTGCTTCGGAAGGACGTAAAGTCAGACATTTTCTTATCAGGATGATTGATTCTCTCAAAAATTCCATTAATATCAAGTAAGAAAATTTCATTCGATTGTGACCGATACTTTTATACCCATCATCGTTGTCCTAAAAAAGACTAAAGGAGTAAAGGAGTAATTTTTCGAACTTTATAGCATTGGGTGGGCGAAATTGATTTTTTGTATTTTCAGAATAAAAGTGGTGATTTGTATGGTGTACGTGTTGCACTTTATGATTAACAAGTTGCATAGGCGTGTGGACGTTGCACACACGTTTTTTGAACGGCTTAAGTAATTTTAAGTTCTTTTGCAAATTTTTAGGCAATATATTCATTTTTGTAAATATAGAGGAAGAATATTTACTACAAATACTAAAGAGACGGACAGACGGACATGCTTAAATGCGTTCCGGATTTAAAAATAACCAAGAACTTATATAACTTATGGGTTCTTTGAAGCTTACTTTTGCGCTTTTCAAAGGCATTGAAAAAAAATTCTAAATTGTGATACACTATAATACTAGGTAGGCGTGATTCATTTTTGCCATTTTTGTACAGATACTTCAGTTTCGCCCATGGAATATACGTCAAAAATTTTTGTAGTCTTACCTGTTGTAGTTTAAGAGTAATGAGCAAAAAACCAATTTCTTATAAGGAGTTTTCAGTTTACGTAGTCTTGCAGACTACGTGCCCTTTGTTCCATTTACCCCTTTTAAATACCAACATGCGCTCAATATTTCTGCCAAATTTGAAGTCGATAATTTCATTTTTGCGGTCAGGCGAATGTTTACAACGGACACAGACGGACAGACGAACATCCTTACACCAATCCAGCATTTAATGCTGATCAAGAATATATGTAGTTTGTGCCTACTCTGAAGCTATCTTCTGGGCGTTGCAAACGTTTCGATAAAGTGAATGTATCCCCCCTCCTTCGGTGATGGGTATAATAATATTCATCGTACCATCATACACCTACAACAAGTCCACGTCTAAGTAACGAACACTGTGAACACTTTTGTTTTCCGTGTTCTTCTCTTGTTACTCATAGCGCTTAACGCATGCATCGCATAAAATTTCATTCATAAAAATAGCAAAAAATCAACCGCCCCCCTTCAATGTTACGAAGTACGAAGATTTACCCTTTTTCGTTTATTTTTCTTGGATCATGGTGATGGGTATAAATTCGGTCATAATATTCGTACTTGTTTTTTCTTTAACAACATTAAGTTGATATCATTTTTATATATTTTTATCATTTCAATATAAAAGGTTGTCCTTATAGAAGAAGGGGGAAGAAATGAAAACCTTATCTTGCAGATAATTCCTTCTTGTCAATCTATCTTTTAATTATTTCCTACTTGTGTTTAGAAAATATATGATAGGTAATCAAAATGGTGTTAATAAAACGAAATCGTTTTAATTATTCGTTATTTTAAGAGTTTGGGTAAATTTTGTTTGTGAAGATAACAAAAATATTCCGACAACAAGCTTAACATATACGATAACAGATAAAGTTTTTTTATGACAAAATATTCATAATTTATGATATCCGTTGTTAGATGAAAAAAAATCATCATCATTTATATTTAAACACATTAAAGAAGAGAAGGCCAGTTTGTTACGTATAAACATACTCCTACACCTAAGCATATGGTCCTAAATACACGTATGTACGCAAAAGGGGTTTGTATATTTTCAAAAGCATAAGTTCACGTGCGTGCAGTGCAGATAGTGCAAGACTAACTTAAATACTGGAAAATCATTTGGTGATCATGAACTCATCTGGGCTTTATTTAATCATTTAGAGTAATATCCTCTTACCATCAAAGCATCATTCGCCCGATTGATTACTTGCTGTGATTTTTTTTTTTTTATTTTCACAAATTCGTTATCGTATGTATTAATACGTATTATCTAAAGCCCATAAGCAAATGCGCTTTAAAATTTTCGTGATCCATTTAGAAATATATTCGACAAAGCAAAATACCAAAAAGGGATAACTAAAAATCGGACTTTGCTTAAAATTTATTCCACCCATCAAAATATATCGTCGGAATCTTAATTCATTTTCTTGTCTCTGAATATGATATACATTTGAAAATTTCTTTAAATAGTCTGCCTTTATATAAGATATTGTGACAAATAGCTGACAAGTAAAAACCTTATAAACCGATCCAATCCGATCAAAAATCTTCACGTGAGGCTTTAATGCCGAGTAAATTTTTGAAAAAAATTTTTTTTCAAATGTTCGCTTATTCAAACAGGCATGTCGATGGGTAATGGTCGTAAAATTGGGCCGATTCAATCCTTCTTCAGTAAAACTTGTTCTTGGGCACTAATATCTCCAAAATTTCGATCTCTAACTTGGTTGAATAAAAAAATACTAATGTAGAGATTCGGCCGGCAGATGGACAGACAAGTTTAAATCAATTCAAAGCATGGTTATTAACGGTTAGCGGATCGTTATAATAAAGAAGGGTCTGCCTTAGGTTCTTCCGCGCCCTGCATATATTCACACAAACTTATGCCCTCTACAACGAACGCATTAAGAACATCATGCGTCGGTTTTCCACTTTTCGTACACTGCGATCATTTTTGATGTCCAGAGTAAGAGGCGGCTTTCTTCCCTAGTAATCCATCACAGTTTTAACCACAAACCACCAGCTTTTCTATGTTGCGTCGTTTTTCATATACACTACAGAGTATTGTGTTTAATCGAGTGTAAGTCTAAAAAAAAGTTGATCTATCTTAAGCTCTTCTACATGTTGCCACAAGCCCGCAAAAATTTATTATACCATTACCCCGAGCCAGGTAGAGTCTGAAAGCAACAACAATTGCAAGCAATGGTACCTTCTTTCCCCGAAAAATTCCAGGATTAATATACGCCATAATGTATGTTGGCAGAAGCATCTCTAAGAATTATATAAGATTTCCATGTAAAAGTGCTCTAGATGTGCTAGTGCGGCAAAAAAAGGTGGGTATATAAGATTCGGCTCAACCCGATTATATTTTTATTATTTTATTAAGCGTCTCATTTATCTACTTTATGATTCATATTTAAATTCATGCGGTGAGGTATCTGATAAAGGATGCATTTCTTATTGACTCAATTTCTTTAATCAAACGTAACACTTGTTGAAGTTTTTCTATTCAAATTCAAAAAACCAACTGACGTAGCTCTTTCATTGTTCATTTGCATTTTGATTGAACAAAAAGTTAAGTTGTTTCTTTGAAAATGTAGTTAAAACTTTTATGAGACACGTGATAAATACATATATTGCGACATCATTTACTCTTTAGAAGATTGCGGAACTAATCGATAAATGTTTCTAAACAAATTCTTAGGATAATAAATATTTCCATGATTGAGTTATTTTTTTACGATATTTTAACTATAATGAGATCAATTACACCATCTTGCACGCAATTATAACCAATATATTATAGAGAGACATATTGTTATAATAGTTTCACGAGAGTAGTTGGAATAAAGATATAGAAAGTACTGGATGATATAGGGCTTTAAAAAGGCTATTACGTGCTATGCATTTCGCATGAATTAAGTAAAAATACTTAAATCCATGAATGCGATTTTTGAAACATGTCCATGCCCTATACACGGCAAAGATAGCAACAGTAGAAACGGGAAGGAAATTGAAAAATCGAAAAATGAAAATTCTTGCTGTGACCTTGCTGGCGAAAAATTCTGATCATCTTTCTTGCAGTTTCAACGAACTATTGGTAACTCATTAATTCTTCTTATCCTCGAATTTTATTTTATAAGCAGAATTTCTGTGTACTAATATCCAATTTTTTTTAGCCTACATCCTTAAATTAAAGATAAACATAAATCAATTCCAAATTAAAATCTTAATGTGACAAATAAAAACGCTAAACATATATGAATTTTTTTTTCATGTATTTATTACGTTTATGCATAACTACACTACGCTATCGATGCACACACACACACATTTGTTTTAAGCGGATATCACCTGTTGTTATCTAGAATTATAAAAACTTACCTCCGTGGTGAGTTTAGCATGCTGCTATGGAGTAGTCTAACCCAGCAAACAATTATAGAATAAACCGATCGTAACTGATTTCCTCTAAACTAATTTAAGCATAAAGACATCAGTAAAGATAGGTCCTATTTATTAATTGAACCAAGTTCCTTTAATGTTTCTCAATAAATAATAAGTTAAAACCTTATAGTGTGGCACCATCTCACAAGTATTCATGTAACGACTTTTCCAAATAAAAGTTTATGTAGGAGGTCACCGAGAAGGTGGTCTGATCTAAAGCATTTTTAATAGTCTTTGTTCTTGGACCAGACAGAACACGTCAGTGCATGAAGTTTCAACAAAACATCCAGAAAATTGCGAACTACGGCTACACGGGGGAATAAGAGGGCAGACAAGCTCAGATCAATTCAAGGAGTGATTCTGAACGATTCAGAAAAGTGTAATAAAAGGTATATCTACTTCAAATTCTTCTGGGTGTTGTGTGCATCTGCACAAATTGAACACACTCTTGTACCTGTACATAGGTTACTTGGTGAGATTAAAGTACCCACAAAGTATGTAACAATCAAAATCATATGTGGGAATACCTGGCCTAGGGAATACATAGGCCTAGACAGACTGTTTGGAGTTTACATTGAAAGTTCTGACGTTAGCAGATTTCTCCTAGATTTTATAGAAACTGGACGCACTCCTTACCTATCAATTGGCCAAATATATTTTGGAGACATATTTTTTTTTGAAACGACGACCAAATTATATATAAAAATATGTATATATAAATCGATAAAGATTTCCTTGAAGAAGCCATGAAATTCTTGTAATTCGTATAGGAAATGCGCGTGAATTTGAGGAATGCTTGCGTAGCCTTCAAGTTTATGTTTACTCTACTTACACTATAATTTTGACTAAAGGAAAGAGAAGACTACTTTCCTTAGATTAACTGGTTACAAATTGTTTAACTAATATAAAATACAACTTTTAAAAACGTCACTTAAGTGGCTTTAATGGATTTAAAAATCTGTCAAATGTTCATTGTGCTTATGCTAGTTTTATAGTTGTATTGGTGTTTTGTTGACTAAGTTTGCTTATGTGAAAGCTCAACATTGCATTGTGCACATATTCTTTCCATTAATTTCAAAGTATTTGAAGTTTCCGTAACGTATATAAGGCTGATGCGCTGCACTGCAGATGACAAGTTAACGGTTTTGCTTCAAAGTGTTTATATCAAAAATCCTTTGAAAAGCGAACATATTATAAAACCAAAAAATCTATAAACAGAAAAAATAGAAAATCCTTTCGTAATAATTTCCTCAGATTTCATTACGGTCTTTACATTAAAAAAAAAGTAAGTTTCATATTTTTTTCTTCATATTTTAAACTTTGTTTTCATATTTTTAAAATTGATTGACAAAATTTAATTTTGAAAATTACTGAGGCTCGAAATGATACAGTACGCCGGGTACATCGGACATTAGTGATTTCAATATCTTTCGGTGAGCGATAAAAATTTATTTAGTGCCTAAGTTCGATGAAAAAATTTGATGAAAATGTGAGGCAGCAACAAGTTAAAATTTGATGCTTACATATTCATATATTCTTCTTCTTCTGCTTCTAAGTTTTCTCAAATCAACTTTAGAGCAAGATCTGGATTGAAAGTTTCTGCAGCTCACTTATACTAAACAAATGAAAAAAAAATTCGCTGTTTTCTTGTTTGTCGTATGGATGTGCAAGATGGCTCCCCATTGCCAATTTGACGAACTTTAGATATGGTATCAAAATCTGTAAACGTTCATATAGGCGGAATGATAAGTGGATGTGAATGGATCAAAAGGATTAACCTTCTCGAAATTTTTCGGTAGCAGAATTGATAATAGCTTCCCTTATATAAAACTACATCTCCCTAGTCCCTTGTGTCATTAATATGTCAAAGTTTCTTAGAAACTAGACCGATTTCTTTGAGGCAAAATAGACGCTCATAAGGGGACAAGTGGTCCGTTATTCGTAACATAAGCGTGGTTGTGGTAGCTCTTAGTGGACCGAGTTCGTCGATTGTCCAATAAATTAGAGGAATAGCCGCGCATTGAATTGTTGCTTATAGTTTTTACTGTTTGCAAAATGGCGATCTTCCTGATTGCTGGGACGGCTTTGTGAGAAGTTTCGTGGTGGTGGATAACGGTAATATCTACACCTGAGAGTTCTAAGTATTGAAGTGCAGACATGCTTCGAACACGTCCAAAAGGGATTAAGTACATCCTATTACATCTTATCATAGTGATATTATCAATTATTTGTGGAAATCGGTTTACGCCTAAAAAACGCATTATCTTAGCGGATACAGTGGAGCCGAGACTAAATAGTCTCCCAACGCAACAATAGTCCTATAAATCATTCTATCCCGCCCAATGTTCGTCCAGAACATATAATTTCATGCAGAACGGAATATCAACACGAACTTCTTCGGATTGCCCTAAGTAAGCGTTTGCTTAAGCTCTTGCGTAAAAGTAGAAATCAGATAAACACAGCCGTTCAGACGTTCAGGGAAATCGTCGCTTAACGCAAATTTTTCTACTGCACTGCCCACGCATTTCTTATTGGACTTACATTTATTAAAGAAATTCTTCTTAAACTTTTAAACAAGTGCGAGATCCCTCTATTTTTTTGTCTCCTATGAAACTGTTTATTAAGGAAAAAGAAATTTGTTTACCCTATTCAAGCTTTGCTTTTTTTTAAATCAAAAAAGCCGTCCAAGAAAATACGTAGGTGGATGCTTTTAGGCACGAAACATGGATACATTAATGCAGATATTCGTACTGGTCAAGGACATATGCACCTAATGGGATCTTTGACGTAGTTCTCTGGATGCTCATTGCAATGCGGTTACAAAATATAAATATAGAAATTACTTGACTTTCAAAAGGCTTGATATAAACATTTCAGAATTGTTTGCAGTTTTCAAGTTTTATCAGTTTAAGGCGCTTTTCTACTTTATCGAAGCTTGCGTCACCCAAACTTATTACTTTGTTTATAACATTAAAATAAAGGTTTATTTAGTGGACACATCATTGGTGTATTGGCTACTCCTGGATGTCTTTAATTCCAAGAGATAGAGAGCAATATTTCTTGGGTTAAGTTGCAATATTTCTAATAGACTAAAAGATTTCTTTTACATTTGATTGCACTGATGACGCCGATGATTCGTCAAAAGTTGTGTGGGTTTCGCTGTCTGAGAAAAAGCAATGGCACATCAAATACCCTTCGTTTTAAGTCTTTATTGCTGAAGCAATACAATTTGTCTAAAAAGGGAATTATTTTTAGTAATTTGAAGTATTTGTTGTCTTGGGGTGCTGAAGCCGGCATGGGTGAAACAGAAGATGTATGGATTTTCGAATAATATCGGATTGTGCAACAGAGATAAAGTCTTTTCCCTTCAACCATACTCTTGCTAAAAGATCAATTGGACCTGATATAGAAAAAACACTGACTTGCTTTCATATACCGTTTTAGACACCATGTTGCTCTTCGAAAAGTTGCAGTACCGATATCGAGTGGAGAGAATGATCTCGGATGCAAACTAGCCACAAGAATTTTTTATGAATCGGCTAAGGTTAACTTATAGAGGACTTTTTCTCTCAAAGAGATTCGAACGTTTTAGAGTCGACATAAGCCATCTAATGTTTTGATGGAAAGTTACATTCTGTCCTTAATAATTCGATCTGTAAATCTCTCATAGAGTATTTAGTCCATGACAATATATAGGCAAACTACCTTAATTTCCTGTAGTCCTTAAGAGATAAAAGCGGAAAAAAGAAAAAAAAGAACAAATTGTAGGTAAAAAATATTTACCCCTCTTCGCTAATTCCAACATTTTTATTACTATTATAAATAATGTTTCAGTTTTAATTAGATATTCGATATTCGACACTCACTTGCAATACGATTAAAATCTGCCACCATATTTACGGCAACGTAACTACATTAATTATGTTGGCATGGGGGAGGGAGAGCGAGCGTAAAACAAAAGCATACTTTGCTGCAATTATGATATTATAATATACTAGGGGGAAACACATTTGCACATACATTTCTATGTAAATGCTGTAATAAACATATTTTTCTATCGTCCCATTATTATAGTTCAGTTCACTGAGGGTAAGGATGTATGTTGGAATCTGCATATGTTCTTAGTTAATAAAAGTAGTTTACACTAATGCTAAGTTTACCTTAGTTCGTTAAAGTGGATTTGGATGAACGTTTGCTTTGCGCACATAACAATATAACGTATATATATATGATATAGTGTATATATCCATGTGGGTGAAGCATATAGAGTACTTTATAATGTTTGTGATATTTACTCTAATACTTATTTCATATTAAAATTGAAGACTTCCACAGGTTACTCCTGTTTCGATGCATTCGTAAAGTTACACTAATTTTGTTGTTAAGTTCATTATCTACGATAGTTTTGCTGGTGGCATATTAATTTTATTACTTCATCTGTCATATCGAAAAGTATGCTTGCATCGCATCGTCTCTGATTATTATATACTTAATCAATTTCAAATTACGAAGCTATTTCGCAATGTCTGCTCATCTTTTTTTCGACTTTGGAATCTCATAAATAAATCTCAAGAACTAACCATCGTTTTTAACACATCAGCGATTTACATCGTGTTAAGCCTCACAGGCCCTATATTTTTTGACTTCGAAAAAATACAAGGAACGAATAAGAAAATTATATTCTACTCGGTTTTTTTTTGTAGCAAAATAACCAAAAAACTAAATCTTCAGAGAGGGTAGGCGTGGCCAATTAAATCTATTTTTGTAGAACATATTTGAAAGTTTTCGTCATCTGCCAAAGTTTAGAGGACAAAACCCCACAATCCAGTGATGTTCTCAGTCTATATTGCATTTTGGTGTAGTCCTTTAGCCGCTTCGATCTAATTCGCATACCTTTTCCGAAATTTAATGGCGATAGCTTCATTGTTGCGACCAGGGAAATGCTTAGATCAGACGTTACATAGGCATGATATTACTAAGTGTGATACTGCGCCTATGGTCGTGAAATGGCGTGGACAACTCCTCGATGCATGTCTGTCCCAAATTTTGGGACGACTGGATTTTCCCTGTCCAAGATATGAGATTCATTTCTGATTGTGAGCCTACGGAGGTAATCGCGGTAAAATTCGTTAGAAAATTGAGCAAAGTTAACCAAGTCGAAATGCATAAATATTTTTTTTAGCGTTAACTGTTAATTTAGCGTAACGCAAAAGAAAATGAAAAGACAATATGAAATAATCAAAATATATAAGTGTAAAGTTCAAAAGCTTACCGTGGTACGATAAGAGTAAAGGCAAGGAGTTAAAGCTTGGTATAATTGAACTGACGGGTGAAAGCGGACGCAATATGCCGAACGCTTAAAACTCGTTTGGGCCGTAGAACTGCGACACACCCTCCATTTTATTTATCATAACTAAAAAGTTAGTTCTTCTGTGAAAAATCTCGAAAGACCGCTTGTTTTTTCCGCAAGGAATTGATTTTCGGCTAAAAGGTATAAGAAGTTTTTTTAAATAAAAAAATTTAGAAAAAGAATTCAAAAAAAGCAGATCAGTATAGAAACGTAATCCATTTGTAGGATAAACAGATCCTGGAAATCGTATTGACTATGCTTTAGGACTTAAAGCCTAAGGTATCATTGTGGTAAAGACTTTTCGTACTATTTGTCTATCAATGAAGCCGCTATCTGCGCTGCATAATTAAAAAAGAAAGTCTACATTGTGGGCTTGATAGTTGAAAATCTTACCGTAAACATACATTTACGCGAGTAGATATTTATCTACAGTGCCTTTCAATCTTTAAATGTTCTTTGCTTTTTGGTATTTTAGGGGTATTGTGAGCATATATCTGCCCGGTTGCAACTTTTGTACTAAAGCTTGTTACAACACTTGACAGGCGGACAGACACACTTGCCTTACATTAATGTAAATAAAAAGTAACCTTTAAATAACTGTACAGCGTAAAATAGTCTGCAAGCCCTTTTAATTTTTTTTTTTTTTTGTTTTGTGTTTGTTCTCTTTACGCCATACAATGCCGTAAAGTCGAACGGTATTAAATAGGATTTGCAAGTACATAGGACGACGTTATGAAAAGTTTTAATATTCCATAATTTTTCTTTAAAAGAACTAATTTCCTCTTAAAATCACCTCGTATGTGTCCAAATATTTATCACAAGCCATACATAGTTACATGACATCAAGTATTTATTTTCATTAATTTTTTCAAATTGAAATAAAATTTTTTAAGATATTATTCCATAGGTGAATACAGCACCACGTATATTGAATTTTTTGAAATGGCTCTCTCCGAACTATATCGAGATATTTGGATAACTCGATTAACCTACGTACGGTAAAGGTATTTGTAGATTTAAGCAAATCGCTTGATGAACTTCGAATGATCTGTGTATGGTCAGGCGATTCTGAAGTCGGGGCAAGACCACTCAAAGAGTCGCCGAATTTTCAATCGGACAATGATTGAATTCCTAAATTCCTAAATTCCGAATCTCTATGATGGGAAATTTTTTCCGGGGGGGAATTGAGAGTAGATTAGTTTTACTTTATGCTATTTCGGGTTTTTTATTGCTCGCCACTGATCGAATGTTTTGAAAGAATAGATTTAAGCTCCAGCTTAAAAAGAACACGCGGTTAATAGATGAAAAGAGATTTGTCTCAAGTTCGCACAATTAATGGGTCATCATATAGTATTTTTAAAAAGAATCATCTGTCGAATATTGTTCATTGGAAATCGTCAATGGCAAGCATTATTTCTTTCTAAAGCACTGTTAAAAGTTCACCTAGGCCTTAATTCGTCCTAATTCAGATCGTGACTTGAAATGGCATTGACTCAGCGAATTAGTTGTTAAGGCGAATTGTGTTAATTTTTATTGTGATGATCATGTAGTTGACGTTATCTTCCGCATGCAAATAGCATAAATCGAATATTTGTTTTAGGTAAACATATTGAATAACGGATATATTTGTGTTGGATTGATTCAAAATATGACCATGTTATAGTATACGTTCACTTTCTTCTATCAAAGTATTAAAACTAAATTAAAAAGAACTAACTAAACCTTTAAGTTGAGTTTATATAGTTTTCATTGTTTTGCCAACTAATACTTAAGAAATTCTTTGATCCTTTAAGTACAACCTTGCAATTGATTTCCCTTTCGGAACGGAAAGGAAAGAAAAGGACAATTGGAAAACCGTTACGGTAGCATATCGTAACCAAGTTCCATTTATGTGCTCACGTATATATGTTATATGTTTTTTTTTTTTTTCTTTGATAAGGATTTTACGCAAAAGCGGCACGTTTCATAGCTTTTCAAAGTGGAGAAATGGATTTATTGTGTGTTGTTATGCAAGAATATGAGAGAATTTTTTTAAAATCTTTTACACTGAATGACGAACGTAAGGCCGAGTATAAGGTAAAACTGCGAGGATGGGAAAATGTGTAATAAAAGAAAGAAAATAAACAAAAAACTTCTACCATTTCTGGACTGCAAAACAATTCTTGGGTAATGCGTTTCCGAATAAAAAAAGGTACATAAGAATATTGTAAAAGGCAAAAGTTTACAGAATTGTCGACTTACTGCATGCAACAAGTTTGAATTTCTTTTCAACGATTGCCACTTAGTTCTGTTTTTTGGTCAAAATGTATGACATAAGAGTTTTATACGATTGTGAATTTTTTCAATTTCAGATCACTATGGTTAAGCTTTTGCACAACATTGTCTTTGCTTGTTTTGTCCTACTAATTGCCGCCATTAATAACATTAATGCCCGGCCGGAGACCACTGAAGCCTATCAGGTGAGTGAACATTTGGTTTAGAAAAGTAACAACAAAAAAGTCATTGCAAAAATTTAATAAATTTTTTTTTTCTTTTGCTCGCATATAAAGAGTTGGGATAACGTCGACTTTGACATGGACGATCTTCGTAAAGGCTATTATGATGTTCCTTTGGATCGTTTGCAATTGCTAGCGGCACAGTACAGACCCATGTAAGTAATGTCAATATTGCGTATATGTACTAGTGAAAAATCGTGCCCCATTAGGTAGTACGTAGATGCTTGTGTTATTAATTGTGCTTGAATCTCGAAGTATTATCTAGAATGTGAAAAAAGGGAACTTGTACTTTCGATTCCATTGCATTCATGCCTCTAACTCTAAATTATATAATTTTAATTAGACTCGCCTAAATTGTAATTAAAGTCGCCTTTCATCAATGATGACTTCATTCGTAATTCACGGATTGCTCCTTAGAGACTAAATATCATTTGAAGAAATTTCTTTGGAGTTTAAAGTAATTTGAATGCTTATCAAAGTTCTATAGTAGAGTTTCGGACTCCTCTCTAAAATGAAGTGATTTGTTTTCATAATCATTTCTCCGCTCTCCGCTCAGCAAAGCGAATTTGTGGTGGCTCACGTGATAGCTGGAGTTCAACAATGAATTGTAGATAAGAAAATAATAAAAAAGAAAAACGGCCTGAAAGCATGAAAATGAAGTAAGAACAGAAGCTGAGTTACATTCATTTTCAAATGGGAAATCGGGTTGTTACAAGACTACATAGTGTTTGGTCGTCGCGGAATAATATTTTGCGAGGGCGAACAATGACTGCGAACAAACGCTATCAGCAACTTGGTCAATTCAGTACTAAAATCTAAGCGAACCTCGGTTAACCAAATTAAAAGACAAAGTCTTGTATAATAGCCGCGTTCGCTTTTATGTGTAGGCAAACAGATAGTACAAACAGAGAATTTAGGATGAGATCTCTTTCAACATCCGCTATTCTGCTTCTGCCCTGTCCTTTAAAATTTTAATCTGGTTCACTTTAGGCAAAATAATTTGTAGGACAGCAAGTTAATGTCTATGAAAGAAACAAATTATCACAAACACTCAACCTAGACGACTTTCTTCGCGGAGAAACCACTGCGTGTGAAACATTACCTATCGATTGTGGAAAATTACTAGCTCTTCGTATTAACTCTAATAAATAACTGACAATACTCAATAAATATTCTCATCGGATGCTTTTGCATGTCACTTACAATAATTGCTCAAATGTTTTTTTTTCATCCTTAGGTCGTACTGGCGCGTACCTTCATATGATGTTATGAATGAATTGTTGCGTTTACCTAAAACCAAACGTGAAGCCAAATACAAGCAATGCTACTTTAACCCAATCTCCTGCTTCAGAAAGTAAATTGGTTTATAATTCGAACAAAAAACAAAAAAATGCATTTCTCTAGTCACAATCATATATTTGTTAAAATAATTAATTGTACGTTTATGAAATTAAAAACAAATACTTTTTTATATTTGTTTTCAAATACGCATAAGCCTATTGAAAATTATAAATGTAAATGCTTAACACTTATTCGATTATGAGTAATTACTATATTTGCAACATTTTGTTTAGGATCATTTATGTAAATTTTCGTAATTTCGTTAAAAAATTTGTTCTTTGATCATTTGGAAAAACGAAAAAGAAAAACGAAAAGAATATCTTTGGTTTAATCTTAATCTTAATATCTTCGGTTCGGTGCCATTTTTGCATATTTGTAATTAACTATAAGTCAATACATATGAATTTGTACAAAGTTCCATACTGATTAAATAAGTATTCAACATATATTACGCAAGCATAAACATATTTACATTAATTTCTATATATATTTAATAAAAATAAAATCTAATAAAATAAATTTATTTAAATGATTCGCGGGTAAAGTGAAAACATAAAGCAGCGAAAAGACTAGGACTTAGGAACTTAGACTGTGTAAGCGATACTTACTTTTTTATACCTAATACCGCTTGTAGTGCAGAATTATATTAAGTTTGTGCGAATGTATGCCACACCCAGAAGAATTTAAGATCGATCCATTTTTTATTATATTCACGCAGATACATACTTAGCTCCATTCAGATTCATTTCTTGAATGCGAATCGATCTAAGCGTATCCGTCCATGTTTCCATCTAGGGTCTGCCCATGGGTTTAACCTGCAAACCGCCTTTTTCCAAGATATTATCATGAAATTTAGTGTACTGACATGTTTTGGCGCCAAGACGGACCCTATTAAAAATGGATCGGATCGGCCCAAATTTTTAAAGGGCCCTCAAATAATGCCTTATTTTCAAAATTGGAATATTATGCTCAATAATAGCACTTCGGCATTCTAATCGGATGTGGGAAATTTCTGAACATCCTCACATACAACCAACCCTTCCTACGAACACTGAATTTCCATATGGCAAAAAGTCGAATTTTCAATATTTTATGCTGAAAACTGGTTCAAAATTGTAATTTGCTTTTGGACATTCCACTTCAGACAAGGTTCGTATAAATAATTAAGCTTTGTATGGCAAAAATGTTGAATTTGTCAAAGTTGGATCAAAAAGGTAAATTTTTTAGACCGCACCGTATGTAAGAGTTCTTAAGTGCGGTAGAGTTTTCTTTAATTATAGCTTTAGTGAGTGCTTAGTATGTAAAGGTATAACGTTTACCGATTGGACACACACCCATTAGCTGCTGCTACCTTCCTGTCTCTTTTTCTTTCCTCATTTCTTTCGGACTGTCATCGCAAATTAAGTTGACTATGTTGTGGTCAGATCACTTGACGTTTTGGGCACCTTATAATATGAGGGCTTTACAATAAAAAATATGGCTTTACAATAAAAAAGGATAGAATTTTTCGCTGCATAATCACGAAAATGAATGAACTGCATTGGGCTCTGTGGTGTGGAATCCTTAGTGGTCGATCCTTCCTGATTGTTTATTTTTGATATGCGATGACTTTTCTTTACATTTGCTTTGATTGCCTTTTCCATCGAAATTGTGCGCTTCAACGATATTTTGAACGGTTGTACAACATTCGCGGGTAGTTTCGTCCAATTTGCTTTAAAGTGATACATTAGCACTCTGGTATTTTGACAGAAAATTCTAATTCGTATGTAGACTTCATGCCTTGAATAACTTTCCGTACATCAGATTCGGTGGTGACCAAGACTATCGACTATGGCCTCCAGCGGTCTGATATTTAAAAGCACAAAAAACTGGAAAGCAAATAGCAAAAAACTGAAGCGTTCGTGAGCTTATAGTGGATATGAACACATCTGCGGTAAAAGGTACGTCAATTATCTTAGAGGATGCGCAGTTCATTTATTATTTCAATTATCAATTATTGACGCATTTTCTTTTGCAAATCGGTCGAGCCATGGTTAGCATTTAATTTACTTGTCATAAAATTAAAAAAAGCCACTTCGTCGCGCGATAAGGGGTTGCTTATCATGAGAGCCCGTATGCATGATTGGGTTTAAAAAATAGGCCTGTGATCACTTTTACATGGCTATTATGGACCAACGTTCATCATAAACTATTAAATTTTAAATCTTTTTGCAACTCAAGAAAACCATTGTGGGGGCTAGAATCCAAAAAACGGATCCACATGGCTCAAGTTTTGCCAAGTTCTTTTTTAGGTCACATAGATCATTTTTGTGATAAAATTTTTATAATAAAATATTAAAAATTGGACATTTTTGGCATATAAAGTTTTATTGTTCATTAGAATACTTCTTTGGGATAGAATTCAAAAAATAGACTAAATTGAATACAGGAATGCATAAACTAACATCGGATAATCAGATGGACAGACAAGCTTACAAACAACTCCTTCTGGATATGACGTTCATCTGCATAAACTTAATATACCCTATACGACAAATCATGTAAGGTATAATGAAGAAGGAAATAATGAAAGATTGCTTAAATAAATGTATTCTAAAATCTCAGTGTGACTCATGCTTTAACGTAAAGTACCTGCTGATAGGGCTGTAATTTTTAATGATGTTTTTCTATGCCATTTCAAAAAGCTAACTAATGATTGAATTAAAAATTATTTTCTTTAAAATCGCTAAAATTGACTTCTTATGAAGCGTGCGATACGTGCACATACATAATTCGACATTGAACGGCTTTTATATTTCACAAGATGGCGGAACTAATCGAGAAATGTGTCTGTAAACAGATATTTGTAAAAATTTTATTGTTTTTGGTGATTCGAAAACATATTTTAGCTATGATAGGGGCATATACCTCTCTTCCGATGAGGCGGCTATCACAGTTAGGTGGAACAGTAAAGAAACGAATGAGAATTGAGAATATACGAAGTACTCGTACCATATATAGGGATCTCAAAGGAACCCATACTAACCCCAACAAAGTTTGTGAGTCAGTTCGCTTCTGTGGACAGGATGGTGATCTATCGTAGGCCAGAAACGCCGGAAATTGTTTAAAGCTGTTAATTTTTCAGCAGTTCCCTCAAAGGAACGTAAAATGATTTCTTTTTATAAATGTCCGACATGAAGTCGGAATAGGGCAGAAAGAGGACAAATTGCAATAGAACGACAAATGAAATATTTGTCTCTTAAAGTCATCTGATACCTTAAAATAATTAAGAAAAATTAGTTATGGAGCATGAGTAAGTTATGTTAAAATGCATGAAATACCAAAGTTCTTATCTGGACAGGAACATGAAAGATACTTCACTTTTCGTCTTCTTTCTTATGAATTCTACAGGAGCCAAAATAGCCAAAGCGGCAAACTGACTGGACGATGAAATGACAGACACTCATAGCAAGTGCTCATTGAAAAATTGGTATATTGTCCGTCCACTCTTAAATTGAACAAGTGAATGTATAAAATGAAGTGGCTTCCAAGTTAACGTACGCCCACTACGTTTCGTACGACAAATAGTGAAATGACTCCGACGATAAATCCACTATGTATTGATGAGCATAAATACAGTTTTTATAACTGATGCCGTAGTTCTTGCATTCCAATACGAACAGCCCTGGTCACATGAATAGCTCATTCTATTCACATGCTATTTCCGAGTTACCATACCTTTAGGATTGTTTTTATTACTTCTCTACCTTAAATAGACTTTAAATTACTTTTATTTTTTTTCTCGGAATCCAAATGTACGTAAGAGTTATTTATATTTGGCGGTAGAATTATGACTGCACTGGCATACATCCCCGAAAGCTGCTCAGCTGCTGAGAAACCAGTGGGTATCTGGGCAAGCAACTAAGGCATCTTCTTAAAAGGCCACCGCGACTTGCTGACGGTAATGGTTGTAATAGATGGGAGGAAGCGTAATAAGATCCAACTTTTAGCTTTCCATTCCTTTTAGAACATTGAGAGCACGCGTTGAACAGCATACGTCGTGGATACGGTAGGATACTCTCTATGTGGAGTTTAGCAGTCGAAGCATGTAAGCAAGGTACGGGGCTAAAGTATTACAAAAGTGAATTTGCCTAATCGTCGGCAGCTTGTTGTCCATTCAGTTCAAGAGAAGAAAAGAGAGAACTTCTCTCAAGATCGAGTTAGTTAACTTGGGTTTTCGTTCCACTGGCTTATTAAAGTAAGAAAGTTTCAATTGAGTAAAAGCGATCTTAGTCGCGGTACTGCTGCTGCCTTTTATTAATTATGCAGATCCTAGCTTTCCTTTTGCATAACTTGGGACTTCGAAAAAGAGCTGTAAAGACTGTGGATAAATCTGTCGAAATTAAGAAAACTAGTTAAGTAACTAAACTAAGAAAGAGGCCCACTGTATAGAACCACAGCTGGCTGCATTGAGTAAAAATTACAAATAAATTGATTTTATCTAGTTTTCATTGCTTTACTAACTAATTTATAATTATTTTATTGATCCTTTAAGTAAAAAGATTTACGTAACTTTTGCTAAGATGCTTGTTATTGAAAAACTGTTGCAATTGCATGTTATTTATATTGCACTTGTACACGTAGCATATATATATTTTTCCGAATCGAAGCAAAGGAACACGTATCGTATTTTTTCATATCGAAAACATGCAGTGATTGTATGGGTTTGCGCAAGAGTAAGAAATTTTTAAAATTTTCTTTTACTTGAATGATGATGAAGGTGAGGATGAGTTTTACGTATATGCATGAGAATGTGGATATGAAATAAATGAAAACTAATAATTTAATAAATAAATTTAATAAAATAAATTTAATAAATCTTTCTTAGATTTCAGAACGTTTTACGTATTTTGTGAGTTTGGGTGGACAAAGTCCTTACATTACATAATCTTAAAATGATTTTCTTGGAAAAATTATCATTGAACTCATATTGTCGAAGAAAATCACAAGGTAACGGTATTATTTGTTTGTGCATTTTCCAATTTCAGACATCGACATGATTAACTTTCTATATGGCTTTACCTTGGCTTG